AACTTCCCACAGAATAGAACAGTGACTAAAGCAAATGAACAAATAATGAGCATACTAAATGATGAGATATCATCGAAAGAGGTTGTACATGCGGTGAAAACACTTAAGAACGGTAAGGCAGTTGGACTAGATTGTTTACTCAATGAGCAGCTTAAGTCTGCCGCCCAGAACCACTGCGCTCTCTCAGTGTTAGTTAAGCTCTTTAATGGTTGCTTGGACCTTGGTGTCTACCCATGGAACACTACGATTGTGAGCCCACTCCACAAGAAAGGATGTATCTACGACCCCGATAACTACAGAGCCATTGCGATCGGGAGCAACCTTGGTAAACTTTTCGCGACAATCCTATTGGACCGTTTGCTAAAATTCAGGAAGGAACATTGCCCGGACACAGTAAACCAGCTTGGCTTCTGTAAGAATGCTAGAACTGTGGATCATCTGTTCACCCTTTCCACTTGTGTAGACAAATACGTGAATAACAAAGGACAAAGACTCTATTCTTGTTTCGTGGATTTTCGCAAAGCTTTCGACTCCATCAGTCGTGAAGCTCTTCTGTACAAGCTCTCAACCCTTGGTATAGATGGAAAATTCCTAAAATGTCTAGAACATATGTACAAGAATTCCAAAGCTAAGATCAAGCTGATCGCTAAAATATCAGACTCATTTGATATTCTTGCAGGTACGGAGCAGGGCCACCCAATGAGCCCCGAACTATTCAAAACTTACATCCATGAACTTTCGGAACGACTGAACAGTGTTCAAGACATCTCAAGTCCATTGCTGAATGAAACTATTCTGACCCACCTCTTGTGGGCAGATGATCTTGTCCTCCTCGCACTTTCGAAAGAAAGTCTTCAGGTCATGATCTCTGAACTTGAGTCATTCTGCAGAGAATGGGGGCTCACGGTGAACACCAAGAAAACCGCCATCATGATTTTTAATAAAAGTGGAAGGCAACTCAAAGAGAGTTACGGTTTTCAGTACATGGGAGCAACAATCCCATCAGCGAAAACATATTGCTATTTAGGGATCACCTTCTCACTGTCGGGCAGCTTTAAGACAGCACTAAACCTTCTACGACAAAAAGCTCTCCGGGCATACTTTGGACTGAAAAGTGAAGTAGACCTTAACAATATATCCAAGGTCGCAGTTCTTAAACTGCTCGACTCCCTCATACTGCCAGTTGTATCGTACGGAGTGGAAGTCTGGATCAGCAGTAGCTCAGGAATTAAGGCTTTTGCCAGCACAACTGACAATACGAAGCAATCCCCACTGGCAGGCATTGCAGCTGACCCATTCGAAAGAATGCACCTCGCCATCCTTAAATGGACCCTTGGAGTTGGCAAATCTACATCCAACGCAGCTGTTTGGGGAGACTGCGGAAGAACCCCTATTGTAGTTCGATATGTTAAACAAGTCACCGATTTCCATAATCGCCTTGCAAGACTTGAACTAGAAGACTCACCAGCCCTAGCCAGGCACGCTTTTGCTGAGCAGAAGAAACTTGATTTAGGTTGGTTCAGAGCACTGGAATCAATGCTAATGATACTCGACGAGAACAAACTTGAACATCAACTTTACAACCCATTGTTATGTCAGGAAAGGGCACATAACCGATTTATCAATCTATGGGAAACAGAAAGACAAAGCAATAAGAAGCTTACGTTCTATAATAAAGTTAAAGGTGCTTTCGAGCAGGAGCCGTACCTCACGCTACCGTCGAGAACTGGAAGCAACTTAGTGGCTAGGATCCGAATGAGCGGACATAAGCTAAACGTAGAAACTGGAAGATATGGAAGCAGAACTGGAAGTCAACATCACAGAATTTGTGAATTCTGCAGCGAAAAGTCCATGATGGAGCTCTTTGTTAATCTTCCTTGTGTTGATCTGATAATAGAAGATGAAGAACACTTCCTTAGAACATGTCCCAGGTACCATTCCAGTAGGACTAACATGAAGGAGCCCACAAAGTCATTACTATTTCATGACATGAAGAGCCTCTTTCTACCGGAGCACATAGTGGAATTCACCAAGTTCGTCGCTCAGCTGTGCAGAACACGATTCCCTATAAAGAAGAAACACGAACATTAGTGTCTCAGTACGGGATATCACATTTCCTCCACAGCCCCTTCATTTTCACTTTTTCTTTACACTCATCAAACACCTTAATGGTAACGGATTTTCTATTTGGATTTCGGACTTTGACCTTTAGCTATGCTGATCTGACATTATCTCACTGTAATATAGATCTATTTTTTGTAAACCTGTAAACCTGTAAACCTGTAAACCTTAAACTTAAAGCATTTGACCCAGTCAAAAAAGTTTCTGTTTTTGCGGAAAGTCGTGTTAAAGTTGATGCCGTGGTGTCAGTAAAATGGTACGGATATACAATATCGTCTCGCTTTATATGTACTAGCAGGAACCCGTCTAACCCAAAAGTGGTGTCAAGACTCGACAGACTAAAATAATTATTACCTATTTAAGGGGAGATACACCAAAAACGTTTTTGCTCCGAACATCGATTTTATTTTATATTATGGTTAAATAGACAAAAAGAATAAGATTGCACACCTTCAAAATTTTCAAAAAATATTCACTCATCGAGAAAAAAAATATTTTTCTTTTTCGAAAATTTTTAAAATTTGGAGAAGTCTGTCACTGTAATACCGATAGTTCGGCCATTTTAGAAGTTTTTTGTCTGATTTTGTTACTGAACATTACTTACAATCCGTACAAGAAGCTAATGAAAGGATTATATAATTGAACGATAAATGACGAAGTTACAGACCAAACAAGGTCGAAAAAATAAAAATTGAAATTTTTCCCACTTCTAAAGTTGTACATTTCACCAATCACCCGGGTCAGCAGATATCGCTTCAAAAATTCTTGTGAGTGTAGCTGATGATCATATCAAACTTTTTGGAGTAGGATTTCTCCCAGATTTGAGTTTTAAGCTATGCAATGTGGCCTCAAACGACTTAGTAAAATTCATCGTAAAAAAGGGCAAAAAAGGCAGATTTAAGGCTTAAAATGCCTATAACTCAAAAAGTATCAGTTTTTTTGAAATAATTTTTACAGGATCGTAATCAACTTGGTAAGACAAATCTTTTAGTACGACATTTATAATATTTAAAGACACAAAATTTGTAAAAAAATGTGTACAATTTGTACAAAATTTATACAAGGGGGGACCCTTGTGTTCGAGCTAGAAAATTATTTCAGACAATTTGTCTTCTAAAAGCACCTATTTGGTACTAAAAGATTCGTCTTGCCAAGCTGATTACGATCTTGTAAAAATTATTACAAAAAAAACTGATACTTTTTGAGTTATAGGCATTTTAAGCCTTAAATCTGCCTTTTTTGCCCTTTTTTACGACCAATTTTACTAAGTCGTTTGAGGCCACATTGCATAGCTTAAAACTCAAATCTGAGAGAAATCCTACAATTTTTATTTTTCGACCTTGTTTGGTCTGTAACTTCGTCATTTATCGTTCAATTATATAATCCTTTCATTAGCTTCTTGTACGGATTGTAAGTAATGTTCAGTAACAAAATCAGCCTAAAAACTTCTAAAATGGCCGAACTATCGGTATTACAGTGACAGACTTCTCCAAATTTTAAAAATTTTCGAAAAAGAAAAATATTTTTTTTCTCGATGAGGGAATATTTTTTGAAAATTTTGAAGGTGTGCAATCTTATTCTTTTTGTCAATTTAACCATAATATAAAATAAAATCGATGTTCGGAGCAAAAACGTTTTTGGTGTATCTCCCCTTAATTCGCGTTTTTGACACCACTTGGGAGTCCAAATTTTGGGCATTAAAATTATTATTCCTTGGCCAATTTTTTATTTTTTCATGCTGATTTGAAGGCCATTAAAGCATTTGACCCAGTCAAAAAAGTTTCAGTTGTATATCTTTTACGGTTTTTGCGGAAAGTTGCGTTAAAGTTGATGCCGTGGTGTCAGTAAAATGGCACGGATATATATATCATATATACATACATATACAACTGGTTTTCTTCTCTTATAGAAAAAGGGCTCTACTAGCTGTAGCTAGGAGCATGAAATATCGGTACAAAGCAAACTATGCAATTGTCAAACTATAAGTTTCATGTTTGAAAAGCAATCTTCAGTGACATAATTAACATAAAAATGGCAAACATAATACAACACAGTGCTCCTTTATCAAATTTTATAATTAACAATTAACAATTACTCAATACTACAAAACCTATATAAATAACTACAAATCCTAATAACTAATAAATACTAACTAAATATGTCTAACTAAGAATTTCCTAGAGTGCCTACATTTAGAAATAATTTCTGATCTTTTATTAATAATGCCTGGGGTTTTAAGTATGTATAGTTTCTCGTCTAAGCAGAGGCCACAATGCCCCGCTCCAGCCTTATATTTCTTCGATTTAGTAATAATCTTCCAGTCTATGCTATATTCAAGGAGAAGATGATTGAATATAGCATAGACTGGAAGATTATTACTAAATCGAAGAAATATAAGGCTGGAGCGGGGCATTGTGGCCTCTGCTTAGACGAGAAACTATACATACTTAAAACCCCAGGCATTATTAATAAAAGATCAGAAATTATTTCTAAATGTAGGCACTCTAGGAAATTCTTAGTTAGACATATTTAGTTAGTATTTATTAGTTATTAGGATTTGTAGTTATTTATATAGGTTTTGTAGTATTGAGTAATTGTTAATTGTTAATTATAAAATTTGATAAAGGAGCACTGTGTTGTATTATGTTTGCCATTTTTATGTTAATTATGTCACTGAAGATTGCTTTTCAAACATGAAACTTATAGTTTGACAATTGCATAGTTTGCTTTGTACCGATATACATACATATATATACATACATATATATACATACATATATATCGTCTCGCTTTATATATAGTAAGATATATAGTAAGATTTCTTGAGCAATTTTTACACAATTGTTTACACAATTATCATAGTGAAATATTTCACTCACCAATTCACCACTTCCCAGAGTTGTTACACCTGTTGCAGAGGGTTGACTCGCCGCTGCAGGAGCTGGTGGATTGTAGCTGGGCTGGGCTGGCGGATTATAAGTTGGTTGAGCTGGCGGATTATAAGTTGGCTGGGCTGGTGGATTATAAGTTGGCTGGGCTGGTGGATTATACTTTGGTTGAGGTGGTGGATTGTAGGTTGGTTGAGCTGGCGGATTGTAAGTTGGTTGTTCTGGCTGGTGATAGGTCGGTTGAGCTGGTTGTTCCGGTTGGTTAAACGTCGGTTGTGCATCAATTCCAGAAGCTCCAGGCTGAAAAGTTAGGAATAATGCTCCATAATGTGCAACCCAAAATATTCTTAATTTAGTACTTGTTCATAATTTGTAAGCTACTGCCTCTAGAGAGATGGAAAATAAATAGGACTCTAAGTAAGGTCAACATAAAGTGGACCTGCTAGTTGGGAATATTACCTGCTCATTGTAATCAGCTTCAGCCTCAGCCTGCTCCTGGTCGTGTAGCGCAGGTCCGGCTACCGGCTCCTCGCCACTTCTCCTGCACCTGAAACAAAGTATTGTAGTACATAGTATATAGTACATAGCACATAGTACATAGTACATAGTACATAGTACTTAGTACATAGTACATAGTACATAGTACATAGTACATAGTACATACTAAATCCAAGCTTTTTCAGATGATTCTTCTTAAGCGGTTACATGCTGGTATGGAGTGTCTCCTCAGGGAGAATCAGTGCGGACTTAGACAGAACCGCTCATGCATTGATCAGATTTATTCTCTCCGAACTATTATTCATAACTGTCTTGAGTTTAACATTCCTCTTTACATTAATTTTGTCGATTTCAAGGCAGCGTTCGATTCTATCAGAAGGGACTTTATTTGGTGCAGTATGAGACACTATGGGCTGCCTGAAAAATATGTCAGAATATTTCAGTCATTTTTTGGGGGTACCATGAGTGCCGTGAGGGTTAATGGGGAGCTGACAGACTGGTTTGATGTTAATTCAAGCACAGGTCAGGGTGACATTCAAGCACCTCCTGTCTTTAATTTCTGCCTAAACTTTTCTGCATTTCTGGCTGAGACCAACAAGATCATCAGTCAGGGCGCAGTGCTGCAGAAAAAGATGAAGACGGTCGAGGAAAAGGTCATTCTGGACACCGATTATGCTGATGACATGGCTATTATGGACAACTCAGGGGAAGGCCTACAGGAATCAACTGATCTATTAGTTCATTACAGCTCCTACGCTGGGCTCAGAATAAATGCAAAGAAGACCCAATGCATGGCTGTAAGCAAGTGCGCCTCCCAGCGACCTTTCATCAAGGATGATTGTATTGAGCTGTCGGATGAGGGTGAACCCGTCGAGCAGGTTAGCAACTTTGTCTACCTGGGTGCAACTATCAGTGGGGATGGGACAATCAACAGAGACCTGGATGTCCGTATCCAGAAGGCTAATGGCGCCTTTCATCAGCTCTGGAACATTTGGAATAGCAGAACTATAAAGACTCCAACCAAGATCAGGATCTATAGGGCTGCTGTTCTCACCATCTTGTTGTATGGAGCTGAAGTCTGGAACACCACCAAAAAGCAGATGAAACGCTTCGAGGTTTTCCATCAAACCTCCTTGAGAAGGATACTTAGGATTAAGTGGTTCTTTCATGTGACCAACGACGAAGTTCTTAGGAGGGCTGGCATCAAGTCAGTTGAGACTTTCATCAGTGCTGCCAGGCTACGTTGGTATGGACATGTAGTTAGAATGCCAGACTCTAGACTACCGAGGTTTCTGTTGAACTGGAAGCCAAATTATGGAAAGAGGTCAAGGGGCAGACCCCGTAAGAACTGGAAGTCCTGCGTACTCGAAGATGCTGCTAAGTTTACAGGTGTTGAAAACATCGACAACGACACAACAGAAGCTTTGGCTACCAACCGAGTACAGTGGAGACATATGTTACGCCGCCAACGCGATGTGTGTGATGTAGCCCACTCCAACGACTAGGAGGAGACCTTACCATGTAACATGTATGTATGTAACATACTAAATATCAAGTTGCCAGAGCTAGAAGTTAACAGATAATATCCCCTCACTTCAGGGACCTTTAATAAAGGTAGTGTCCACAAGGAGTCTCAACAATACACTAACCTCTCTAAGTAGGTAGCCTTCCACTGCGCATATTTTTTCTGGTACGCGTTCTCTTCGTTGAGGGCGTCAAATAGAGTTAACAGTTCGAACAGTAGTGACGCTGTGTAGAACGTCTTTATGACCTTCCTGTCATTTTGTGTAGTAAATACTACTGTATAATATCAACACACTCGTATCAGGATGGTTCTATGTTATTAATTATTAAAACCAACATTGATCAAAATTAACATTTAACAATAAAACCTATAAGTTGTTAATATGGTAACACTGGTTGCTATTACTTTACTAACATTAAAAAGTAACAATAATAACCTACAAGTTGTCACTATAGTAACACTGGTTGCTAATTGCTATAGTACCATTAAAAAGTAAAAATAATAACCTACAAGTTGTCATTATGGTAACAGTAGTTGCTACAGTAAAAAGTAACAATAATAACCTACACATCAAAGTTACCAGCTCTGTCCTCTCTGTCCGCAAAGAGGAATAGTTGCAGAGCTTTACTCTCAATGTGTGAGGAGGCGACTATATCGTTACCTACTGCTTCGTTCTGCTGAGCTATCAGGTTCGACTTTGCCTGGAACAGAACCAGTTTTAGACAATTATATGTATGTTTTAGATATGGTCACAAATAAGTCTGTTTATTTTGGAAATTAGTCTTTAGAGCTGTTTCTGGTTGGAACTTCCAACATTGCATGAGGAAATATCGAGATAATATTCAAATTCAGATTATAGATAGATAAAGAGAATATTCAAATTCAGATTATAGATAGATAAAGAGAATATTCAAATTCAGATTATAGATAGATAAAGCACCTGTTCCAGTTTATCCATAATCCCCAACAGAAACATTTTACCCTCAGCATCGCTGCTGCATAACTGGATCCCCTTCTGTACAAAGTACAGTTGACCTGCAGGGAACAGTAAATCAGTTCTATGATATATCTGTGTAGCGTGTATATGATTATTGGAGTGTAAACATGTTGTACAGGTCGCAGCACCTCGCCACAAGCGGTGAAGCTATAATGTATTGTCACAAGGACATATAATCGGTAATGATTGAAGGATTGGTATGACCAGTTTCATCTACTTACGTCTTACAGTGCAGTGCTACAGGCAATTAAAGCACAATCTGCTGTAGAAGATTACGAAGGACACCATAGCAATAGTTAAATAAAGTTTATCATGGTAACATTGATAGTTATTATTACAGTTAGTTACTATTACAGTTAGTTACTATTACAGTTAGTTACTATTACAATTTATAGTTAGTTACTCAGTTACTATTAAGTGTTACTATAAAGATACTCACAATGATAAGCTACGACAGGGTCTCTAGACTCGAACTGCTTGCATAGTCTCAGGTAGGGTGCTAACGACTTCAGGGACCCTGGCACATCCATCTACTGATTAGTAATTAGTTGATAATTTAGCTAATTGATCGGTCAATAAGCTGGTTGTTTAATTGACATTGTATTTCAAAACACTCGAATTAGCAAAGTCGAAAGACACTAAATCCACCTCAGTGTACAATATGAGTATTTTATAACACTATCTGTTTGCGTGGTACGGGAATAGTCTTTAGTTGAGCAATTTCCGATTATTATTTTAATAAAAATACTCGTTTGTGGTAATTAATCGTTTAGTACTTCATCAATAACATTAAAACCCATAAACTGTAATAAAATACTTAGCCTATCATTTATCAATCTCAATGACAACTTAAATAAATTTAAAAATTCATCAGCTCATTTATTATAGTTTGTAGTTATGGAATATTGATTTCGAATGATATTTTCAAAAATGTAAGCACGTAAGAAGGTTTGAAACACACTCATGAGATGTTTCCAACATGTTGTCTGTTCAACAGATCCGTATAATATGTCAAAAGAGTCATATCTTCGTCTGAAAAAGTTATCGTCTGAACTGATAGTGTAAAATTATTAGGTAATCTGGTGTGAGTATGTGTGACGTCACGGCCCTAACTATAACGTCACGCGTCATCTGGTCACGTGTTCTATGGCCCCATATAAGAAGCTACCGATCACGTGATGCCCATATAAGGAGTTACTGGGTAAGAGAAGGTTTCTTGATGTTGTTAACCCAGACGTAGTGGTACATTATCACCATGATAAAGATAATGCTACCCATTAGGTTACAGAAAACTGCCAGCTGCATGTCGTTTATCATCTTGTATTGGATCTTCCTATTTGAAGTGTGATTTAATAAACGGGCAGTTGGTTACGAGACAGATTTTATCTGATGTATCTAAAAACAGGGGTTAGACTCAATGAAATTTAACAAATCTAAATTTGATAAAACCATATTAGGTATTGGTATATATTTTCGGATTTAGCAATTTATAAACTCAAATAACACTGATAGACGATAGTTCAGGAAGGGATATAAATATTTACAAAAACCTTAGGTATAATATGAGTCATCATAATTCGTCGTCTTCACATAGAAAATTATTAGGTTGAGATTATCGATTAGCATCGTTTTAAATCACGGCCAGGTACAAACTATTATTACTGAAGGCTTTTCTATTTTCTAATATTCCATCATGTTTTTTATATTTTTTCATTAAAATTTTCACGAAAGTATGATATCGTCTTGGATTATCGACCACTCTTTTAAAAGGGTCGAAATGGAACCTTTTTATGTGGGGACGACGTTATTTAAAAGATGTTATATAGGGGGGGGGGGGGGGGGGGGTCCAAGGGGAACTTTGGGGAGTTTTGGGGAACTTTTTTTTGGGGAACTTCAGGAAACCTGGGGGACTTTCCCAAAGTTCCCCAAAAAATTATCAATGAAACAAATAATTTTGGGGAATTTTGGGGAACTTTGGGGAACTTTTTTTTGGGGAACTTCAGAAAGTTCCCCAAAATTCCCCAAAGTTCCCCAAAGTTCCCCAAAGTTCCCCAAAAAAATTATCATGCTGCAAGTATCAACAAGTAAGTTAAGATTATACCTTATAATAACATACATGTTAACATTAATGGGTATTAATGTATATTAGAGAAATTTTGAATAATTTTGAATAATTTTGGGGAATTTTGGAGAACTTTGGGGAGTTTTGGAGAAGTTTTTTTTGGGGAACTTCAGAAATCTTGGGGGACTTTCCCAAAGTTCCCCAAAGTTCCCCTTGGACCCCCCCCTATATAAAGTACTTTATATTATAAAGTAAAATAAAACATGCAAGAGCCCTTCTCGTACAAATATAATAATTTACCACACACTAAACATAACTTACTACAGCAGATCCCCGATTTTATGCCATTTATTGGAGGAATAATTAAATAAAATCGGGGATCACTAAACTTTAACTTACTATACTCAGAAACTAAAACGATTCTTTATCTACAAATAGTTTATAATATTTCATATAATTTTAAGAATTCCAAAAATGTGTCCCTCGGAGACCAAGGTGACAGGACAGTACCCAAGAAGCCCACATTGTTTTCGGGTAACCTCCACTTCCAGAACGTGGAAATTGGTTGAACAGATTGAAATGTTGGGTATGAATCACGTCTTTTTTTCGAAATTTAATTCTGGACCTCTTCTTTGAACTTTAATCGTAGATCTACAAGTCCAAGCAAAAGGACCACTTGGACTATGATTCTATCCCCAATTCTTACACCTAAACGCGATGGACAATGTTGGGCTTCCTGGCTACTGTCAGCAGATTGATAATGGTTTAATCGGTTTTGCAGCTAGTCCACCTTGAACACTACTTGGCTACTGTCGGCAGATTGATAATGGTTTAATCGGTTTTGCAGCTAGTCCACCTTGAACACTACTTGGCTACTGTCGGCAGATTGATAATGGTTTAATGGGTTTTGCAGCTAGTGAGCACTACTTGGTGTTGCTAGAGATGTCGGAGGTGATGAAGGCGTCGGAGTCACTTGGCAGTGGAGTGGGAGTCAGCATGTGCAGGACGAGGTCTAGAGCAGGTGAATACTGCTGACACTTGACGCGCGCAGCAGTCACCAGGTCCTGCTCTAGGGTGGTGAGTTTTTCTGAGGTGCTGACCGCACTGCACTGTGATATTAATGCTCCATGCTGAGGAGGGGGGAGGTTTTATTAAACTAAATATTTAACTTTTACATTTATCACATCATGATAACCTTGCAAATATACAAAAAATACTTAATTTTAAAGAATATCTCATAATAGTGATAACAACTTTATTCAAAGTGAGAGAGGAATGTTACCTGGTGAGGGTGAGGGAGGTGTCTGAACATTTCCCGGTGGTCCTCCTCCAGGTGTATCACCACCAGGTGACACAGCAACAACACCAGCTGGAACCTCAGTCTCTCCGTGTACCCGCACATTGCGGGGCCTCCTCCCTCCTCACTTAGTGTCACTAGCACAGTACCCCACACCATCACAAAGTTACCTGATCGTAGTGTTTTATTCGTTAATTTAAGTCGTGTTGAATTTTTTAATTTCGACATTCCGAAGTAAAGTTATGACCCGTTGAAAAATATAGATTTCGTCAAGAAATACACATAAAATTTCAAACACGCCAATAATTCTGACACCCTGCTGCATACTATCAATTTCACTAGATTGCATATTTTGGATTCCAAAAATACTTCAACCTGCATACTTTTTATACATTTAACATTTTCTGCACAACGTTTAAAGCAGCCTACTTACCCCCATAACAAGCACGAGTGAGGCACTGCGCGAGCGCTAGTGTTGCGTTTATCCTCACTTTGTAGTTCTTGCAGTGCACCACAACAGAGGTCAGAGTGGTGAAGAGGTCAGTTCCCCAGGTGCTGTCAGCAGGACTTAGTACTGGGTTCTGTAGTGTGTTCACCAGCGCGTAGCACGCATTCCAGCGTGTCTTCATCATACCTGGTTTACGAATGTAGATTGTAGATTTGCACTTTCTTTTTAGAATTAAAGTGAAAACGGAACACTTTAAGAAACAAAAAACCTTTAGATGTACAGCAAAAATCATCAGTTACCTGAAGTACATGCCCTAAGAAGACAGTCGACACTCCGCGCGACGTACTCCCTAAAGTGTGCCTTGCTGTGCGTGCTCTGCTTCATGAATCGCAGTAGGTTACCCAGAGCGCGCACAATGTTGCTCTTCACCTTGTCGTTAGACGCTGCTGTTTTTAACGACACGTCCAGTAACCTAAACATTATGAAGGTCAATCATGAACCTTTCAGTGGAGTCAAAGTTTCCAATCATGGAGATCCTGCAGAATAAAAAAACTCACACAGTTGTGCCAGATATGACATTTAAAAATTCAGGTCCCACACAAAGAAAACACAGCTTATCCAAACCTGCCGAGTAAAATATCACTGAAGTCAGTGACAAAGGAAGGATTATTGAGTTTGTTAACGACGAGAGTATCCGATAAGTTGCCCAGACTCCAGCTAACTCGGAGAAGAAGTCCACTGTCAGCACTGTCTGTTGTCTCCAGAGCTGTGATGATGGCGTTAGCTGTGTCCGCTACGAATAGCAGGTCGTCTCGTATACAAGGGTACATTACTAGTACTCCTAGACATCTGAAACAGAGGGTTTATTTGTAAAGTGAGAAATGTTATATTACTGATATGATGTGATCTTAAAACGTTGCTAATATGTTACACTTACTAGAACGATACTAGTATTTCACTGATATTATAAAATTAGTTTTGAATTTATTGAATTGATAATAGTCACGTGGAAACAATTATTTTTGGTAACTGCTGACAATACAATTCTTATGCAGCAGATATCATCAGTATCATCAGTCATAATTCATGAAGATGAGTATGAAAGACTAAAAGACGTAAACATGGTAAAGATGTTATATATTTTATGCAGTCATTATTTTTATGTAGTTACATTAAAGTACGTCCATCTTCAAGCTAAAATTTTCATTTCGCAAGTTGCAATATATTTTGTAAACATTTGATCATCGGGCACATAGGGTCAATGATCGGTGGGTTTAGCGTTGTTACTGCAAACAGACAAAAGGAACATTTCTATTTGTTCCCTCTACCAAGTAAAAGAAAGAAAGAACAAAGCCTAATATTGCAGTGCGCATTAGCCTTTCTTATAGCTTTTTAAAGGCTAATGCGTGCTCAAAAGATTAGTTTTGTGACTGCCCAGTTTATTTTACTGGTCCTATGTATTTTACTCACTGACCCAAATTTCACTGTTTTGACTGAATTTTTCTTGAATGACCATCTTACAAGGTCACTGAGGATGGAACAAGACACGATTGAGGTGCTCAAACTTTAATTCCCAAAGAAAGTTTTGATAAACGGAAAATCATCAGAATGAGATGTTGGAAGATTTTTTGAAGAGGAGCTTTTTTGCCGTTCCCTTGACCGGAATTTCGCGGTTTTGGTCGGTGAGAGTGACACAGTACAGGGAAATCCGGTACAGGGAATCCAGTACAGGGAATCCAGTACAGGTCGCCATCAAGGTTCTAGAAGCAGTATACCCGGAGAAAACTTTGATGTTATGAACATTTTGAATATTTCCTACCACTGTTTTTAATTTTACGTTTTTAAAAATTTATTATTTTTATTTAATAGCGAGTAATTTCATGTCATCATAATTACAGAAGGAACGATGATACACAGTGAATTAATAATAAGGATCATTACTGATAACCATTTCGTGAGATGAGAACTAAATATGGTCTGTGGTTCTTGTCTTAAATATCAAACTTAAATTACAAATTAGTTGTAAGACCAGATGAGAAAGACTCAGGACCTAATCAGCTGCTGAAGTCGTGCATTGTCTCACGTAACTAAGGAAACGTTATCTCACGAGAACCTAAGATCTAACATTTGAGGGCAGGGATGTAATTTCCAGTACCATGACCAGCTAATTGATACAACACCTGACATTTAGTTTTAGTTCCTTTCGTAAAGGAGTAAAACTAAATACGGTCTTGAAGTGCCCCGTACTCCGCTTCAGATCTCTACATGATGTATTCAAATCGGATTTTCGAACTCATGATGGTCATATAATATCCAATTGCATCATGTCTTTAAATTACAGAAATTTCAGAAATTTCAGAAATTGCATTTTCAGAAATTGCATTTTAATCATCCGTATTACAGACTGTTATAAGGATGATTAAAATGCACAATTGACATTGTAGGTGCATAATTTTGGAATGACCGTAACAATTGGCTGGCGTCGTATGTCTATAGGTTTTTAAGTATTCCCTAATCGATACTTTTACCGCATCAAAAAATATTCATCACAGCCAAAATTATGAATAGTCACAGCGTGAGCGTAAATGTGAGCTAGTCATGGCGGAAACGCGCATTGATAATCGGTGCTTGCTCGCACACGTGCAATCTTTTGATGATGCTACGCAACGACGCAGTCAAACTTAGCTGGAATAACGCTATTATTATATTTTCATATTCTTCACTTCCAACGTTAATTATAAAGAAATTAGAAAAATTCAGTATCCTTTTTCTAACTCCGTGCAAAAATCACGAGGTTTCAATTCCATTTGCAAGCTGTAACTGTTTCTTGCGAAGGGTTACTTTTTAGTGTATTTAATCGTTGCTGGAGAGATTTTGTCAAGTTTAAAATATAGTATAGAGATGATAGAAAATGTGTTTGCATTTTTTTTTGGAAAGTAAAGATTTCAAGCGATATCAATGTTCACAAGTCATACAAAATGTGCTTATTGTCATTACTCTGCGGTCATATCCAGACGCTTCTAATATTTCCCTAGCAAATGTCAGTAAAATTGACTTTTGCACCAGATGGTAGAACGATTTTTGTCATTTTTCTTCTTCTTAGATCGACAATAGTCGTTTTCATAAATATTAGGGGTCCTTGGTCGCATGGTTACCGTTTATCGCAGCCGTTTCACAGAATAGGTCAAGTTTTTAAATAAATAAAAGCATATATCTGAATACTGACCGTACGGCTGTAGGAGTTAAGTATTTGGAGCAATTTTCATAACATGCTAAACGTCTCTCAGCAACTTATATACGAGGAACAATTAATGAAGTTATAAACCGACGTTTCGGCACCTTGACTGGGTAAAACCTTGTCAAGGCCAATAAGTCGGTTTATCACTGTACTCTTTCTTTAATTTGTCCTCTGTATATTGGTTGCTGAAAGACGTGAAATTAGTGATGAAAATAGCTCATAATTATAATAACAACTTTCTCTTGGTCGGGATGAACTGTCTTTTAGTTTTGAATAGACGCGGCGATTAATTAATTAAATAAAGTTATTAAACGAATTAAAAAATAATGTTTATCTGATATACTTACAGCTTATATTTTGATGTAGATTTCATCCGAATTGTGGTCTTTTACTGTGGTCATCCAACTTGTGACAGTTTTTTTAGTAACTGAAACTCTGGACGTATACAACTTTTGTGATAGAAATCTAGTAACGAAACTGCTGTTAAGTCGGTGCTAAACTGCTAAAGTGCTAATGTTAAGGTCTCCAAGTCTGCAATGCTTTTAACCACTCGAACGAGTTCAACGACTTGTCTATCTGCTACCATGGCATCTCTTTTCAGGCTAATAAATGACCGTAAACGATGGATAATATTTTAAATATTCTATTAGTAAACTATCATAATATTTGGTATCTGTTCTTTTAAATGTGTCGCGTAATGGACATAAGACTTGTGGAAATCTAGACCATAAAAAAGAGAGCGAGCTATCACTACCATGTTTGAGGTATTACATAGAGTTTCAAATTTCAAATTAACGCCCAACCACTGTGTTCATGTGATTTTACATGACTTTAAACCAGCCATATGTAACTTTAGAACAAGCGATATTTCGAATCTAAGATTGAAAAAACATCCACAGTTTTCCTTGTTCAAGCTTTAATAAAATTGCTGCAACGCCCCTTCTTGTCCTTCTTTTATGTAGTCACTAGTCTCAAGCTAGCGGTTCATTCTCACTCACCTTGAAAGTTGACAAATTGTCAACAACTTCAACTCCGATAAACAATAATCAATAGGTACTCACATTCAGACTTCAGTGACCACCCTCAATTTGCAACTTATAGTATTATGCTTATTTATAGTATGATGTTACAGAATAATAGTTCATATTTAAAACAGGTGGAACATGTAAAAGGCAGGTGAAACATGTAAAAGGCTGTATTACGAGTAATAGTGTTATATTATGTATATATAATTTTGTTTATTTTTCAATTTCAATTTGCAGTCACCAGGGCGACTCTAACTCTTACGATTCCTCACAGCATGTTAGAAAATAGCGACTCTACAATCAGCGTCATCAGCGATACAGAGCGTCATATCTGGATAGTGTATCTCACAACAGGGCAATTCCACAGTAAGGTTCCACTTGGTGAAAATGAAAAATGTTAAGATAGGCACCTAATTTTGGTTAAAATATGTTCATTAGACTCTTAACCTTACAGGCCAACAAAAGTTTTTTGTTTCATATTGCATTAACTTTTGATTTTTCTCATTCAAAGGAACACTACTCGGAAATGAAAAAAATCATTCAAATTTTCAAAGGGCCATAGTTTGGGTATGCAGCAATATTTCTCTATGAAATTCCATACACTTAGGCATAGGCATAAGAATGAGAGCTATGCAAAGTTTCAAAACCGTTACTCAAATACTTTTTCAAAAAAATTTCCACAAAGATGGTGTCGCGTCTGTCACAAAATTAAGCAAAAAAGTTTTTTCAGAGCCACATAGTGCTATTTATATTAAAAAAACCACTGTAACCTATCTCTTCTGAAGGTAAGGGAGTACCGTAGAAATTATCAGGCTTGTATCTTTTAAGAAAAAATTTTTGGAAGGGGGGTCCCAACTTGTCGCGTCCGTCACATTTTTTTGAAAATGCTCCAGAAAATCTTTAAACAGACTTTAAATGCATTTTTCTTAAAGCTGAGGCCGTCCTCAACACAACTATGTCGTCAAATCGAAAATTGGACAGAAAATGACCGAGTTATGTATAATTTTGTATATGCCCATATATGGGCGTACGGCTCACTTTTAGCCATTTTTATCCATATTTCCATTATTTTGACTAAAACCAAGACAAAAAGAAGTCAAATAAGGTTGGATTGTGTTGACTATGTTGACTTGACTATCAAATACATATGCAATTCAATAATTAAATTTACTGAGTTTTTGCCATTTTATTTGCTTACAACTTTTTCAGAGGTAAAAGGCACAAAAAATGGACTTAACCCTATTTTCGCATATTTTTGAAGTAAAAATTCAATATCTTCCACATTTTAAACACTAAAGTAATGAAACTTTTAGGAGATGGTCTCAACAGTATGATGCGTTGAACAGTGACGAATGTTTTACCAGAGTTATAAATTTGTTCAAGTTGAGAAATAATTGATGCCCCTAGACTGATACCCTAGCGTATGCCCAAAATGGACGATTTTGGCTATTGCAGACCTCTTGAGGGTATTTGAGGCCTAAAAATTGGCATGAATACAGAGTAGATGTCACTGAACAAGATAAAAGTGTCAAGTGGAAGATTTGGAAAAATTGGAAAAAAACGTGTGTCCGTCACAGTCGCGTCTGTCACAATTTGAAAATGGCACCACGCAAACAAAAATTGAGCAATCTCCAAGAAAATGGCATCTCAGAAATCCCTAAACCTTCTTCTATCATTGTAATTCCAAATTAGAGACAATAGATAACTTTTTGAGATAAATTTGGGTACCATCTGAGTAGACACCCAAAAAAAGTGTCATATTTAAGTCGCGTCCGTCACAGGGGTGCTATCTCAGAAAGTAATAATGGTAGGGGTCTGAAATTTTCACACAACCTGTAGAAAGGTTAAATGTGGACTAATAAACAGTTGGAGCTGATAAATAAATAACATCTCGAGTACAACATTCGTTTGAACTTTAAAAAACAGCAAAATCGTGGTGTCCGTCACGGTGGAATTGCCCAACAGTACTTGTTTCCACCTTACTTGGAGATACTATCATCCTGATAGCATCAATACGGTACAATGCTTTCAAACTGAACAAATTCATCGTGGTAATCATCAAACACATGGCAGTTTGTGATTTGGTAGCCAGCATAGCTTTCACTCTCCCAACCATAACCTCCATGATAGCACACAAGTGGGTTCTGGGACAGTTCTCCATGTACGTGGAGAGGTTCACAGTGCACCTCTCCTTCCCCCTCACTAATGTACTGATATGTGTGCTGACTGGCTCTAAAGTGCTGTTTTTACAGTTCCCGCTCAGGACCAGGGCGTGGTCTGAGAGGTCAGCACATTTGGTTTGTGTGTCTTGTTGGACAGCGACGGTGCTGTACTCAGCAGCAAAGTTGGTTCACTATCAGAACAAAGTGTACTTCAACTATGCTACCTACGACATCGACTACAAAGATTCAGAAAACGACAAAATATTTTCCATAGCTGTTGACTCTGTGTACTGCGTACTGATCATGATTGTGATGATAACGACAGTATTCACTCTCAAGTATCTGTTTGAAGCAAGAGAGGTAGCACGACGTGCTAAGAGCGCCAGCTCCCTCAGATGGCATGGCATCCTAACAGTTGTCCTAACATCTGGTGTGTTCTGTGTCTCCACCATACCCTGGACTGAAAACAGAATAACGGAGCAGTTTGTGGCAGCTCCCCCAAAAATGATGCTCTTCCACACCAAGCTTAAGAGGGTAACTGACTACCTCCCCATGTTGGGTGTCACTTCTAACTTTTATATATATTGTGTGACAGTACCCAGCTTCAGAGAGTTCCTCGTCTCCCTTATCTCAACTGTGTCTGTCAGTATCTTCAGCAGGGACAAGGCGGGGGAGACTGAGGATAGAGGGAGTGGTGTTGTCAGTAAGACTGAGCAGCAAAGGTCTTCTGTCTGACAGGTTACACTTCTCATGTTGAACTGCAGAAATATCATGAGGACAATTTTACTACGGGAGAGATAAGAGGTAAAACTAAAGCGCTGCTGGGATTGCCAATAGTGCTTCTGCTCTTGACTCTTGTGTAGATAAGATAGCCTTTCTTTTCGTACTGCCACTAATTATCCCTATTTTTGTTTGGTTACTAGTGGAGTTTTAAAGTTTATCTCAGAATGCTGCACACCAACTGCACCGTCAGCTGGATGCAAGGGGATACAAAGAGACATCATATCTGGATAGTGTATCTCACAACAGTACTTGTTTCAACCTTACTTGGAGATACTACTAGCATCAATTCAGTACAATGTTTTCAAACTGAACAAATTCATAGTTGCTATAATCCAACACATAGCTGTATGTGACTTAGTACTCTCCCTTGCCAACGTCCTACCTTTAGTAATCTCAATGACTGCTCAGGCTTGGGTCCTCGGAGACACGTTAGCTATTGTAGAGAAGTTACTTGTGTACGCCTCATTTCTGGTGAGCGACATGCTGATTTGTGTGCTGGCATATAGCAAGTTACTGCTATTACAATTCCCTCTCGGAACAAAGACCTGGTCAAAGAAAGCAGCGCATCTGGTTTGTACAGTCTTCTGGGCAGCTGGCGTGTTTTACTCTCTAATAACACTAATTTCAAGCAATATGAAGGTGGTTTTCAGCTGCATAACTTACGATAATGAGTACAAGAGCAGAGAATTAGAGCACGGTATTCCTTCTTTGGTGATAGGCTCTGTGATTGTCACGTGTATATTAACAGTGTGGATAACCACAGGTTTTACCCTGAGATACTTGTGTAATGCCGGGAAAGTGGCGTATTAAGCGAGGAGATCACAGGGCACTACAAGAAGCAGTAACCGGGGTACTGACTGGTGGTTTTACTGTGCCTCCATGCTTCCTTACACTCTGTTAAACACAAGGAAATATTTTGTACCCTTGGAGAAGTCGTCAACGAGCTTGGAGCTGGAGAGTACCTCACCAATGTCAACGTTATACCCAGAAATGATCAAGATGAACATAATGAACAAGAGCAGCCAGTTTAAAAAGTTGTAGGCTTCCATTTATTTTATATTTTCCGTATTTTCAATGTCTAGATGTCTTATGTCAACTTTGAAAAATTTCAATCATCAAAATTATTAACTCTTTTTATTTTTATTTTAAAGTTTAGTTGGCAAAGCCTCTTTGACAAAGGAAATTTAGTATGAATTAATGATGACGATGTTGACATTGAAATTGATTTCGACCGGTCGAGAAACACTGATGGTCATTTGATTTAAAATGACCATGTTGACTATTAATATTCACATAACTAGAAATATTCTATAACATGTAGTATCGTGACACTGCTTATTGGAGAATTATAACCCGGGCTGTCCCTCCTACATGACATCAAGTATACTTGACAATGTGCATTATGATAATTAAATTATCATAAGTACTGCTCTGCCCAGCTCATATGCTTGCATTATAGAACAGGATTATAGAGTCTTGGACCTTGCCCGTCCCATTTAGTTTTACATACTCTACTAAGAACAATAGAATCCAGGGCACAAAAGAGTTAGCGTCGATTATTCAGTTGAAGACAATACGTTCTGACGCCAGGCAGGAATTACAATATCATAGCTGGCCTCGTTATCAGTTTCCTGATATAGCAGCCAATAGAAATCCTCTAACTCGTTCACGTGACGTAGGAAAAGCAGGGAGAGCCTACACTCTGCCTCTGTATTCTCAATACTGTCTTAAAGTATACGACCTTCGTTTGTGATGCTTCTTGCAGCTCGAATAGTGAACTCAGTTTAATTATTCGCTCATTTAAGTAAAACGCTCATTTTGTTTATGAAGAGAAAAACTAGCGACGTTTTGAAGAAGATATCTAAAGATCGTGATAGAGACAAGAATATGGCGATAATGCTCCTGATTCTCCTGGTTTTCGAACCAGTTGCTGGAACTCTTGGTATGCTGTTAGTTCCTTAGTTGACAGCATAAAAACAAACCCCATTAATTGATTAGTCCATAACGTGGGCTACGATTCCAATGTGTCAAAAAGCTTGGGAAATTGGCAGAAATTGGCACTTAATAGTATAATCAATAGTTAATAGTACCATGTTTACAGTATGCACTGAAGGGGTATCCTAGGAAGTTTCTTGAACTTATCAATTTTGTAATGAAAGGCAATCGATTTAACTTTTGTATGACTCTACATTAATCTTAGTGGCTTAAGCAATTTATAATACACCCACAGATTGTCGGGAAAGAAACGACTTGAAGGGTAAAGCATACAGGGGGAAAATCTCTGTTACCAAATTTGGGAATATTTGTCTAAGATGGGACTCTCAGCATCCTATTCAGCATACCAGTATCACTCCCGAAAAGTAATAAGCTAAGTTGATTTAAATGAGTTTTGTAGCAACCTTTATTATCACTAGCAGGAACCCGTATAAGTTATAACCCTAAAATGGTGTCAAGACTCAAGAGACTAAAATAATTATTACCTATTTAATTCGCGTTTTTGACACCACTTGGGGGTCCAAATTTTGGGCTCTAAAACTCCTATTCCTTGGCCAATTTTTTATTTTTTCATGCTGATTTGAAAAGCATAAAAGCATTTGACCCAGTCAAAAAAGTTTCAGTTGTATATCTTTTACGGTTTTTGCGGAAAGTCGCGTTAAAGTTGATGCTGTGGTGTCAGTAAAATGGCACAGATATATATATAGCTTTGGCACAGATATATATATAGCTTTTTCCGAGAAACTAATCTTTAATAGATTAGATAAAATGTACGCAGCCATTCTTTACGTTTGATTATTACTCAGTATATTTTAGTTTTGTACCGTTTTAAGTCACATAGTTTTGTACGTCTTCCTAAGACTTGTTTTCCTTTCCTAGTTTGTAAGTTATTTTAAAGATTTGTGAATATTCCAGTTGCTTTTAGAACAATTTTATCTCAGATAACGATGTTTAATAAAATGATGCAAAGACTTATTTCGAAGATCTAATCAACACCGACTTTTAATGTGTAGGAGTACAGCTACAAAATATATATATATATATCGTCTCGCTTTATATATAGTAAGATTTCTAGTCACCTTGATAAAGAAATATTCCGCACTGCATAGTTTTTTTTTTCAGACTGTAAGCAAATTGAACCAGTAAATCATAATAACACAATTATTTCCAGAAGCCCGACCGCAGATCTCGAGGAGAACTATTGCCGGAATGCTGATCAGTAAGTTTCCTAGTTTGTTCTTCGTAAACATTCCCCCCTACTATTCTTTTGAGTAATTCTTTCTTATCTTTAACATATCAAGTACCAATTGTGGGTTAACTTCATGTAGATTTAACTTTTAAGAAGTAAACTTATTGTATTGTGATGGAAACACAGAGGTGGCAGGTTAGACGTGAACGGACAAACATTCTAGGAGAATCTGTAAACAACTTATAGTTCAAAATATGATGACTGATACTGAGAACAATTAGCAAATTCAGCATCAGATTAATTAATTAATTAAATATTTTTCAGAGAACCAGGTCCCTGGTGTTACAATAGTGCTGGAACGTCAAGATTTGAATTATGTGATGTTCCCATATGTCCAGGTTTGTGAACATTTCGACTCTCACATTTCGACTATGTTTTTGATCACATCGTTCAAAAGAAGAAGCCCATCTAAAAGACTACATAAAATATGAGAGCAATGTTTTAACTTTAAACGCACAACAATGACAGCCTTTAATTATGTGCATATTATGTGCATATTATGTCATAGAATAAAATAAGTCTCCAAGTCTCCAAGTAAGATGTTATCTTGGAGGTATGTATTTTGGCCCACAATTACTTCTCTTCATCAATAGTCTGTAGATTCTAGATAGCCACAGCCCACAGGCAATAGGCATGCATATTCTTATTATTCTAGTTGTACAGGTAATTCTGGTCTATCAATATGGGATTTAAGTAATGTTGAAAAATCTATGGCAAAATGTTTCCTTGCAGTTAAAGTTGTAGTAACGAGAATATTCACAGAATGGGTACCGGTGCCGGTGGACATAGATCCGTACATAGATCACGACCTGGAGAGGACGCCTCTGAAAATAAAGACGGATAGTGAGACAGGGAGTGAAGAATTGATCAGAATCTTCTTTTACAGTGAACAACGGAAAAATGCAGGTCGTATCGACATCCGAGATCAGCAGTATCGACTGGGTCGATGCATGGCAGACTTTCATAGTCTAGATACTGTACCAAGTGGTAATGAGAAGAAATGGGAGATCACCAAGGTGACCATCGCATCAGACGTAAGGATGACAATCCAATGCAACGGAGAAATAGTCAAAGAATTTCAGATGTCATCTTGTGACTATGGAACATGGCGCCAGTTTTGGCTTCAAGAAGTGAAACTTATACGGTTTGGTCTCAGCGACACCGCTTCAGATTATATCTACTATTCACCAGGTAAAAAGACGATAAGATGATTGATTAACGAAGTGTGATTTTAACTGATTTAAGATAAAATTTATAATTTATCTTCTAGACATAAACAGAGAGATCTAATGGTAAGTTTCCCATAGATAGACACTACTATAAATTAGTGTCTTTTGAAAATATTTGTATATGTAGAGAAATCTATGTTTGATGGGTGCAGAAAATATACACTAAATACGTACATTTCAGCGGAATGTACAGGCCTCAAAACGAACTGGTACAACATGAAGACAGATACTCAGTTTCCTATCCTGGCGAAGACAGCCTTCGTTCTGAGCTGCAATAAAGGATATGAACTGACAGGAGATAGGATAGTGACTTGCACTAAAGACACAGAGTTCGCATACTCTACCGAACCTAAGTGTGGTGAGTAGTGAGCGCTGACTGAGCTGCCTCAAATTGGAAGGAGGATGCTCTGGGGGTTCACTCAGATACGATCACCCGTTGCTTTCAATTTATGAGGTGGCACGACGGACCTACGTTGATGACAAAAGTCTGCTCCTTTGCAATATAGACCACTCCCCTATAATTATGTGTATAGGATAAGGAAGCTTCTGTCATGTCATGCTGCATGCGACGCTAGCCATGTGTTAATTAATTACAGTGAAGTTCCTCCTTCGCAAAGTTATTTAATTCCGCAATTTTCTGGATTCATTTATTATTGATGCGCGGCGCAGCATTGGTCAAATAAATCGTTAATTTTTACCATGCGCGAATCCCACTCATTTATTAAAAACATAGTATGTAAATATGTTGCACTTTTTTCCAGTCACACTTTTCATTCGAAAGAATTAATGGCGAAATTCTTGTTACTGTATCAAATCTTATTTTTCTTACCATAAAAGGTTTTGGTATATGTCCCCTTTAGTACTTTGTTAGCTCAAGTTATTGATGATGGGGAAATAAACAAAAACCTCCTCAGAAGACAAGGAGGTGGATGTTACAGTTAACGGCGAGAAGATGTCTAGACAATACCTCGGTTGCTGGAGAGATTCAGGAACCAGAGCTATACAGCCGATTGAAAAGAAACATGATCTACTCAGAGACAATTACGTTTCTCGAACTGATGCAGTCAACAAGTGTCTTAAGGCAACGTTGGCCTTCGGATACACAGTGTTTGCAGTGCAGAACGGAGGGTGGTGTGCAAGTGCTGAGGACGCTGAGGACACTTACAAAAAGTACGGACGGTCCGGTGGTTGTGGACCTGATGGGGAAGGCGGAGGCTGGGCCAACGACGTGTACAAGATCAAGCGTAAGTTTACTAATTTCTGGTTTTTCTTCTTCTTAGCGTAAGTTGAATCTTTTCTGTTTTTTCTTCTTTCAAAGCCTTGTTAAAAGTTGAAAGTTTGAATACTAAACCCTAATCTAAAAGCTTGCTAATTGACCATATATGTAAGTATTACAATTTCAGAGCCGGTTTGTATTGAATTCACAGTGGACCACGGCCAAGTTTCGCCCAGAGGACCGGTAAAAGAGAACACAGTCGTCAGAGTCACGTGTTCGAACCTCTACGTTCTGACTGGTGTATACGAGGTCACGTGTCAGCCTGGTGGGGTGTGGTCAGCACAGCCGGAATGTACAGAATGCGGTATGAATGTTTTTTGAATTATATAGTAGTTCTATACGACATAATATGGAATACAGCATTTTTATCCCGCTCATATCAACAACAAAAACAAACAATCAGTAAAATATGTTAGACCAAATGACGGACCCGGGACCAGCACAATTACAAACTAGGACTGATGGTAAATCAAGGGAAAGCATGAGGCTAAGCTCTCCTTTTTGATTTACACATTCAATTAACAGAATAACCTGGTAATTTAGCAAGAATTTTAAAGCAAAGCTATATTGATTATTGGATAGCCTGTTATTGGTAAGTGAAATTAATGTTTAACTATTACAATTAACGTTGTTAGCTTTGATCCTTTTCTACAGTTCACTCAACGATTTAAATGTATCATTAAGCAGCCAATTTTTGGGAGTCATGGTAAATTGTTATGTTGGGTCTGATAATCACTATAATTATTATTATTTATCGTTTTGAAACATTGACACAGTTCCCCCCAGATCTCCATCCGGATGTTCCTGGGCCTATGTTGCAGGCTTTTTCACTGTGGTGTATTCATTTCAATTAACGTTCCTTGTTTTGGTCTTCCAGATTCCTCATGTATTATAGAGCAGTCAATATGTTGGTTTTTATGTGAGTCATTCATCGTTAACTGTTATTTTGAATTTTGATAATGATTATTTATTATTGTAACAGGATATTAACGCAGTCCCCCACAGGTCTAATCATGAACCTATGTAGCGAACTTGCTCAGCAACTAAACCAAACCACAAACCCACAAGTCTCAACGCTCCAGGGACTCCACAGAGGCATACAGATTTAAATTTAACATAATTGTAACATCAGATTTAACTCGAAGTTTCTGACGATTTTATGAAAACGAGTTATAGTGGGTAGCATTTTATTCATCACTAGATGATTGGGACGAAGATACTGTTTAATGTTTATATAACAAGATAAAAAGAATTTTTAAGATTTACTAAATATTGAAACTTGTAATATTTTGTCTCAGATCAAACGTAGATGATAATTAAAGAACTTATAAACTACACGGATAAAGTTAAGCGTGGTCCGATGATCATAAGTCCATAAACATCAGAATACCAATCATTGCCCTCTATTTTGATTTTTTAATTCAGAGATATGCACAGCTATCCTTTGGAGAGCTATAATTCTCACAGTTCATATTATATTTTTAAGTTTTCCATTCTCGCCATTTTGCTATCGCAAGTGCTTATACAGTGTAAATTTATAGTGTAGATAGTGAACACGAATTTAAAAATTCTCACAGTCGGTTTATTAGTTAACAATCTAACGATCTAATTACCTGCAAGCAGAGGAAGTGGCAGGAACAGTAGGGTTAGTAAGCGCTAAAAGTAGGGTCATGATGAGACGCTGCGTGTGCACTTCAAATGAAGCAAACACTGTGTTACCTGGACGCGGTAAAATGTTCAATATGTACTGAGGGAGTGGTATCTTTTTAAATCAAAAGAACAGGGAATATAAAAGGGGGTTGAATAATCTGTATCAGAGGTATACCTAAATAAAAGTTAAATTACCGATAGTGGAGAGAATATCACAAGCTCCAGGCATGATTGGAGAGTGCTCGTTCTGCAGTATCGGCACAATCGCACTGCTCAAAATATTGATCCAGTGCTCCTTCAGCGTGCTAAGTTCAAGCGTGCCAGCTTCAAGGGCACCGGATAGTGCGCGCCCCAGCTCTTCCAGCACAAGCAGGGACATGTTCTGTATCAGGGTGTCCACACTGCTGGCTAGTGTTAGTTTAGCTGCATCTGTTATCTGGGGCCACCTGGTGAAGTAGATGCTACTGATATTGCAGATAAGGACTATATCAACAGAGAGGTCCCAACACATTAGATGTTTGTATATATACGTACTATTATTTGTATATATATGTACTATTATATATATATAATAGTACAATATGGTCTTGTATTTAACACGCGTGTACAGTGTTCTCCATTATTAACTGTCTCAACAACAATGCTGCAAGATGACACTGACCAGTGAATGACGGGGGTGAAGTAGAATCTGAGTATTTGACAAAGAGTCTGGAGAGTATCTCGCTGGTGTGTTGTCTTTCTGAGGTGCTCCAAACACATTCCTACTGTTTGCTCATTGGCACCCAGCCAACTTCCCACCTCTGAGATAGTGTGGGTGTTAGACTTAACAATTATATTATATTGTCTATTTAGTCAGTCATCTACATGCTATAAAGTTGACTTAGTAGTTCCTTCCCTCGACCCGGTGTGTCTAAAATAAAGCATCCCACTTCTACATGCCTGGTAGTGGAGTTTCTACAGTGAGACAAGCACACAACAGAGACAGTGCTGCTGCCTCCACTTTGTAGTGTCCCACACTGGATAAGTGCTTCATTGATTCAGTCAGGATCTGGGGTAATGATTTAGTTTAAGTAGGCAACATATTATAACATTTAATGACCGCAAACTGAACGTTCATAAGATGCTTTTCAGATAAGTAATGATAAATATCCTAAATTAAATTCTAAATATTTCATCAGAAAAATAAAAGTACTCACACTCGATACAAGACCAGGTTTCAGTTTCGAGAAGGGCGTGTGAATGACAAGTACAGCCAGACACTGGAACAAGTGTGGAAGTACAGCTGGCACACAGCCAGGTATCTGCAGCAACAGCTCCGAGTGAAGGGTTAGCAGGTCAGTAGCTAGACTCTGGGAGAAGGGGGTGTAGGCCGCTCTGCCTTTACCTGTATAGGATGCAGGTTAACAGATTGCATCGGAACTATAGATCTAGTAATATTATCATACCGTTAGATATAAAAGCCCTATCAAAGTCGCTTTGCTGCCTAGGCAGTTTTCATCTTTCTCGAAAATGTTATATTCCTGCATATAATAAAATAAAAATGTGAGTTCATGAATAACAAATACACGCTTAAAACGTGACTATCGACAGTTTAAGATGATCCCTACTAGGTCTGGAGTCAGCAGCTACGAAGTAGTGTTTAACAGACTCAATGAGAGATGATAGAGCTCCTAATCCTGCTATCCTACACTTCACGTTCGGTTCCTTCTGTATCACGTTCAGCAACCCTGGCACAAGTATTATTCTTAACATTTACTGACATTATCAGACTGAAAATGTGTATTTTTTGGCCCTAAGGTTTGTAACTCATTAAATAGAATCTTGGTACAAACAAATGGGTGTAAAATGCAAATTGTGTAAACATGATTTCCTACAGTCCTACAGGTGCAACAGAGAGATTTGGCCAAAACTTTTGCCTCATGACTTTTGTCCAGGCGTGAAACACAATTCTAACTACTTTCACAAATAATAGAAGTTTTGAATTGCAATAAGATGCTCATTATCGCTGAGTCGTCACCAAGTATTTAAAGGGGGGGGGGGGTGTCATGTCCGTCTATGTCCGCCTATGTCCTGTCCTTTTTGGATTCTATGAGACAACGGACGTGTTTTTTGGGACATTGGCGGACACGGACGGACATTGGCGGACTCGGACGGACATTGGCGGACTCGGACGGACATTGGCGGACATTAGCGGACAAACATTTTGAGGACTGAAGAGTACTGAAGAGTACTGACGAGTACTGAGGAGGATGGCTGAGAAGGATGGCTGAGGAGGATGGCTGAGGAAGATGACTGAGGAGGATGACTGAGGAGGATGACTGAAAGGGAGGAGAAGGATCAGGAAGACCCAGGAAGAGGAGGAGGAGGAGGACCCAGAAGGAGGACCTAGGAGGAGGAGGAGGAGAACTGAGGAGGATGACTGAGGAGGAGGAGGACTCAGGAGGAGGACTGAGGAGGACTGAGAAGGAGGAGGACTAAGGAGGATGGCTGAGGAGGATGGCTGAGGAGGATGACTGAGAGGGAGGAGGAGGAGGAAGAGGAGGAAGAGGACTGAGGAGGAGGAGGAGAAGGACTGAGGAGGAGAAGGAGGACCCAGGAGGAGGAGGACCCAGGAAGAGGACCCAGGAAAAGGCCCCAGGAGGAGGACTGGGGAGGAGGAGAACTGTTGAGGACTGATGAGGAGGACTGAGGACGAGGAGGAAGAGTAGGAGGAGGACTGATGAGGGGAGGAGGAAGAGGACTGGGGAGGATCAGGAAGACCCAGGAGGAGGAGGAGGAGGAGGACCTCAGGATGAGGAGGAGGACTGAGGAGGACTGAGGACTGATGAGGAAGAGGAGGAGGATGAAGAGGAGGAGGAGGACCAAGGAGGAGGACCCAGGAGGAGGAGGACTGGGGAGGAGGACTGTTGAGGACTGATGAGGAGGACTGAGGACGAGGAGGAGGAGTAGGAGGAGGACCAGGGACAAAAGGATTTCGCGGCATGTACGAAATCGCGAAATTTCCCATTCTCCGCGACAAATTTTATGTATAGTTTAATGTATAGCCTGTTAAATTTCGCGGTACCGCGATTTTTGGCCGAAATAATCGCGAAATCCTTTTGTCCCTGAGGAGGACTGAGGAGGGGAGGAGGAAGAGGACTGAGGAAGATCAGGAAGACGGGGGGGGGATCATGTTATTTTTTGTCCGTTTTTGTCCGTTTTTGTCCGTTAATTTTTGTCCGTTTTGAAAATATAGCTGCCAAACGGACAAAAACGGACAAAAACGGACAAAAACGGACAAAAATTGTAACTTTTGATTTAAATTTTCTCCACAATTTGTAACAGGCTATCTGCAGAAATGGGTAGCCCGGTTAATGACCATGGTCCTTTCTCAAACTTTTAATCTTCAATTAGGCACAAAGAATACCTAGTCTACACATTTTTTAATAACATAAAAAGGGATGAAAAGTTTTATTACTGCAGAGTAAAACTTTGTTAAACACAAAGATTCTTGAGCACATTTTGAGTCAGACTCAAATGCGCTTAAAAACATTTTAGTATATAACAATAAATTATGTTAACAATAACACCAACAATAATTATAAATTGAACAAATTATTGAGAGATGAAAGAGAGGAAAAGGAGGAGGGGGGACTGAGGAGGGGGACTGAGGAGGGAGAGGAGGGGGGCTGAGGAGGAGTGAGACTGAGAAGGAGAACTGAGGAGGAGGAATGAATAGTAGGAGGAGAAGAAGGACTCAAGAGGAGGAGGACCCAAGAGGAGGAGGACCCAGGAAAAGGCCCCATGAGGAGGACTGGGGAGGAGGAGGACCGATGAGGACTGATGAGGACTGATAAAGAGGACTAAGGACGAGGAGGAGGAGGAGGAGAAGGACTGAGGAGTGAGCAGGAGGACTGATGAGGAGAAGGAGGTGTATGAGGAGGATGAGGAGGAGAAAGGAGATAAAGGATGAGGATAAGGAGGACTGAGGAGGAGGACTGGTGAAGAGGACTGATGAGGAGGAGGACTGAGAAGGGGAGGACTTAGGAGGACTGAGGAGGGGAGGACTTAGGAGGAAGAGGAGGATTGAGCAGGAAGAGGACTGAGGAGTAGAAGGAGGAAGAAGACTGAGGAGGATCAGGAGGACCCAGGAAGAGGAGGAAGAGGAGGAGGACTGAGGAGGAGAAGGAGGACCCAAGAGGAGGAACCAGGAAGAAGAGGAGGAGGAGGACTGAGAAGGAGGAGTGAGACTGAGAAGGGGGAATGAATAGGAGGAGGAGGAGAAGAAGGACTCAAGAGGAGGACTGAGGAGGAGGAGGACTAAGGAGAAGGATGAGGAAGAGGACCCAAGAGGAGGAGGACCCAAGAGGAGGAGGACCCAGGAGGAGGATCCAGGAAAAGGCCCCAAAAGGAGGACTGGGGAGGAGGAGGACTGATGAGGACTGATGAGGACTGATAAAGAGGACTAAGGACGAGGAGGAGGAGGAGTGAGGAGGAGGACTGATGAGGAGGTGTACGAGGAGGATGAGGAGGAGAAAGGAGATGAAGGAAGGAGATGAAGGATGAGGATAAGGAGGACTGAGGAGGAGGACTGGTGAAGAGGACTGATGAGGAGGAGGACTGAGAAGGGGAGGACTTAGGAGGACTGAGGAGGGGAGGACTTAGGAGGAAGAGGAGGATTGAGCAGGAAGAGGACTGAGGAGTAGAAGGAGGAAGAAGACTGAGGAGGATCAGGAGGACCCAGGAAGAGGAGGAAGAGGAGGAGGACTGAGGAGGAGAAGGAGGACCCAAGAGGAGGAACCAGGAAGAAGAGGAGGAGGAGGACTGAGAAGGAGGAGTGAGACTGAGAAGGGGGAATGAATAGGAGGAGGAGGAGAAGAAGGACTCAAGAGGAGGACTGAGGAGGAGGAGGACTAAGGAGAAGGATGAGGAAGAGGACCCAAGAGGAGGAGGACCCAAGAGGAGGAGGACCCAGGAGGAGGATCCAGGAAAAGGCCCCAAAAGGAGGACTGGGGAGGAGGAGGACTGATGAGGACTGATGAGGACTGATAAAGAGGACTAAGGACGAGGAGGAGGAGGAGTGAGGAGGAGGACTGATGAGGAGGTGTACGAGGAGGATGAGGAGGAGAAAGGAGATGAAGGAAGGAGATGAAGGATGAGGATAAGGAGGACTGAGGAGGAGGACTGGTGAAGAGGACTGATGAGGAGGAGGACTGAGAATGGGAGGACTTAGGAGGACTGAGGAGGGGAGGACTTAGGAGGAAGAGGAGGATTGAGGAGGAGGAGGACTGAGGAGTAGAAGGAGAAAGAAGACTGAGGAGGATCAGGAGGACCCAGGAAGAGGAGGAGGACTGAGGAGAAGGAGGAACCAGGAGGAGGAACCAGGAAGAAGAGGAGGAGGAGGACTGAGAAGGAGGACTGATGAGGAGGATGAGGATGAGGAGGAGGGTGACTGGGGAAAGGATTGAGGAGGATGAAGACTGAGGAGGAGGAAGAGGAGAAGGACTGAGGAGGAGAAGGACTGAGGAGAAGGAAGAGGAGGAGGACTGAGGAGGAGGACCCAGGAGGAGGAGGGCACAGGAAAAGGCCCCAGGAGGAGGAGGATGACTTGGGAGGAGGAGGACTGATGAGGACTGATGAGGAGGAGAAGTAAGTGGATGAAGAGGATGAGGAGGACTGAGGAGGAGGACTGGTGAGCAGAAGGAGGAGGACCCAGGAGGAGAAGGAGGAGGAGGAGGATAACTGAGGAGGAGGAGAAGGACTGAGGAGGAGAAGAGGGATCCAGGAGGAGAACCCAGGAGGAGGAGGAGTAGGACTGAGGAGGAGGACTAAGGAGAAGGAGGACTGATGAGGACTCAGAGGAGGATGAGGAGGAGGGTGACTGGGGAAAGGACTGAGAAGGTCTGAGGAGGAGAATGCGGACTGAGGAGGAGGAATCAGGAAAAGGAGGAGGAGGACTGAAGAGGAGGACTGAGAAGGCGAAGGAGGACTGATGAGGAGGATGAGGATGAGGAGGAGGGTGACTGGGGGAGGACTGAGGAGGAGGGTGACTGGGGGAGGACTGAGGAATATGAGGAAGACTGAGGAGGCGGAGGAAGAGGAGAAGGACTGAGGAGGAGAAGGACTGAGGAGGATGACTGAGGAGGAGGAGGACTGAGGAGGAGGAGGAGGACTGAGAAGGAGGAGGACTGAGGAGGAGGAGGACTGAGGAGGAGGAGGAGGAGGAGGAGGAGGAGGAGGAGGAGGAGGAGGAGTGAATAGGAGGAGGAGGGGGACTGGGCAGGACTGAGGAGGAGGACTGAGGAAAAGGATGAGGAGGAGGACTGAGAAGGAGGACTGAGCTGAGGAGGAGAACTGAGGACTGAGGAGGAAGAGGAGGAGGATGAAGAGGAGGTGGACCCAAGAGGAGGAGGTCCCAGGAGGAGGACCCAGGAGGAGGACTCAGGAGGAGGAGGAGGATGACTGAGGAAGACTGAGGAGGAGGAGGAAGCATCTAAATATTATTTCCATTTTTGTTATTTTTTGTCCGTTTTTGTCCGTTTTTGTCCGCTCTATTTTTTGTCCGTTTTGATAATATAGGGTTCCGAACGGAAAAAATGGATAAAAAACAGGATCCCCCTGGAGGAGGAGGAGGAGGAGGAGGAGAAGGATGACTGAGGAGGAGGACTGAGGAGGACTGAGAAGGAGGAGGACTGAGGAGTACTGAGGAGGATCGCTGAAGAGGATGGCTGAGGAGGATGGCTGAGGAGGATGACTGAGGAGGATGACTGAGAGGGAGGAGGAGGAGGACTGAGAAGGAGGAGGAGAAAGAGGACCCAGGAGGAGGACTCAGGACAAAGAGGAGGAGGAGGACTCAGAAGGAGGAATGAGGAGGACTCAGAAGGAGGAATGAGAAGGAGGAGAACTGAGGAGGAGGAGGAGGAGGAGGAGGACTGAATAGGAGGAGGAGGGGGACTGGGGGAGGACTGAGGAGGAGGAGTACTGACGAAAAGGATGAGGAGGAGGACTGAGGAGAAGGACTGAGGACTGAGGAGGAAGAGGAGGAGGATGAAGAGGAGGAGGAGGACCCAGGAGGAGGAGGACTGAGGAGGATGATGAGGACTGCAGAGGAGGAGGACTGAGGAGGACTGAGGAGGATGGCTGAGGAGGAGGAGGAGGAGAAGGTGGAAGAGGAGGAGGAGGAGGAGGAGGAGGAGGAGGAGGAGGAAGCATCTAAATGTTATTTCAATTTTTGTTATTTTTTGTCCGTTTTTGTCCGTTTTTGTCCGCTTTATTTTTTGTCCGTTTGAAAATACAGCTGCCAAACGGACAAAAACGGACAAAAAAACATGATCCCCCCCCCCCCCCCGGAAGACCCAGGGGGAGGAGGAAGAGTAGGAGGAGGAAGCATCTAAATTTTATTTCCATTTTTGTCCGTTTTTGTCCATTTTTGTCCGCTCTATTTTTTGTCCGTTTTGAAAATATAGGGTACCGAACGGACAAAAAACATGATCCCCCTATAACAGCAAAAATTGAACATTTTATTTAGCAATTTAGGTGTCCATTTATGTCCGCCTATGTCCGCCTATGTCCGTCTATGTCCGCCTATGTCCGCCTATGTCCGCCTATGTCCGCCTATGTCCTGTCCTTTTTGGATTCTATGAGACAAGCGGACATAGACGGACGTGACACCCCCCCCCTTTAAAGCTGAATTCAGCTCCTCTAGCTCTAATTCTGTAAGTCACTCGGAGTTAAAGCGAATGATGAAGCTGTAAACTGACCAGCAGTAGGGTCCTGAGGGAGAAATGCGGACCACACACTGAAGGTCCTGCTCTTGTGAACACAGGAAATGCAATGTTGCAGAGTTTGCAGACTCGTCAGTCTTGTCCTGCACTTCACGGCCGTCACCTTGTTCTGGATCCCTTCTTCTGTGTCACTCTCGCTGTACTGGGCGACACGTGATGTGTTACGTGTCAGGTGCTATCAGCTATGGTTTTGTCAGCAGAGGGAGTTCTGCTTTATATTTATAAACGTATTTGAAATTTTGACAAGTAACCGCCCAGGCTATATATCATGTTAAACTGTCTGGTCACAACAAATGTATACAGCAGTTATGATAGTTGATAAAGATCTTTTAAATACCTCTGACTCGGAGGTTGACACTGAGAAATCAGTTTGACGTTGAGGGTTAAAGGCGGTGTTTTTATCCATTGGTGGGACTACAGCCGGGGAGGCAGCAGGTTGAGTAGGAGGTGGGGCAGCTGGGTGATGTTGCTTGGGGCTAGGTCTCTCTATTTGGGGCGAGTTTTGTGCCTTGTTTGGCGCTTGGTTGTTGGGCGCCTGATAGCGGTTAAGTTAACTCTGGTTAATTGAATGTTGTTGGTTATATAACTAAAATTCTGGTATAGGCTGGAACTAAAGAATCTAATTCAAGATCATGATATAATTATTAGTGACCTGTTTCCTGCGCGGAGTTCTCCACGAAGTTTCCTGCTCTGCTCTCTTTCTGCCCTTGTTTGAATCGTTCTGATGATCAATCCTCGGTTTAGGGGAGTCGCGTGCATCTTGTTTCTTCCGCTTCCCTCTTCCTTTCCTATTGAGAAATTAGTAAGACCTATCTGGCATCAACATTATCTCTATCACAGAAAATACAAAGAATGAAAAAATAAAATCCTGGTGAGAACACTTATCGTCACCATAACAATACAGTTGGGTGTAACCATATCGACTAGGCTAGATGTCACAAAAATAACAGCCAACAACTCTGACAGCAGACTGACTTGTTTCTAACACGAGGTTGGGAGTAGCGGGTGTGGCCAGGTTCGTTAACATCAGACAAGTTCAGTTCGTCTAGAGACAAAGACTCCAGACTTATAGCAGGACTCGTACTCTGACTTGCTCCTTCAAATATAGAGCCTGAGAGAAAAGGGGTAAAAATCTTGGGATTATGAAGAAGACAACTAAATTGGAAATGTTATAACAAGGAGATTAGGAAAATGTTCGTTGATACTTTCCATTAGTCTCAATCCTCAAAAAATTTCATAAAACGCAGATACACAAACCAGCCCTCTCAAATTACCTTTGACGATACTGAGTATCTGTTCCAGCAAGTACTGAGAAGTATTGTGTTTAGCGATGGTTTGGAGACACTTCATGACCCCTGATAAGAGACGAGCTCTGTTCAGGTTGTCTCCGTGGAGACGGGCGGTTGCCAGAGTGGTTAGTGTGCTCACTATGTGTGTCACAAACATCTCATCCGTCACACTGAAGTACACAGAATTTAATAATAAGATAAGGCGTTCTGTTAAAATAGTTTCAGTTTTTCGGTGTTGATTTCACGATTCTCTAGCTCTATGTTTGAGCCTGCTGGGTGGTATAACGTTAGAACTGGGTACCTGTTGAGCATGTTGTTGAGACAGCGCAGTGCTAGATGCTGTACCTCCCTCTCAGGGGCAAGACCTAGACTTAGCTCCAACATCATCCCTCTTTCACCGAGCAGCACGTCTAGTGTTCTTAGTGTCTGTAAACAGAGAGTTTACTTAGATACTTTATATTGTGGGATAGCATTTTAACTGTTAGAGGTTCTGGTTTCATTTTACGTAATACAGTATTCCTGACTGGACTACAAGATCCATAGACCTAGAGTTGTGCGTCTAAGATCACTGAAAAATACACTCTGCTTCCGGCCTTTATAATTGACTTTTTTGAGGGGACTCAGGATTTTTTCAATATCTGTGGTCTACTATGTGTCAATAAATAAAACTCCCTGATCCCTCTGAGGTCCTTTCTAAAAATTTAAATTTCAGAGGTCTCAGAAGACAACTTTATACGTGCTGCAAAATACAGCAATAGATAAAGTAATAAATACAAGATAAAAGTAATAGCCATAGTAACGGCTAAAGGCACCACATCACTGTTTACACTTCCGTATTGTGCGGAATAGTATTTCTAATATTAGGACCTAAGAGCTGCAATTGTTATGATTACACAGTTAACTGAAACTCACAGTTTACATACAGTTAACTTACATTGAGGTCGGTGTTATAGAGAAGGGCCCCAAGTGCCTCAACAGTGCAGTACAGATAGTTGGCAGCCCTGCACACATCTATTATAAACGTAGCACAGTTGTTCAGCTCCTGTGTCGTAAACACACACTGAGGGAGGTGGATTAATCTAGATATAATCTGTCATCTAGTGACCGGCACATGTGCAATAAACAGGCTCTAAGTTACATGGGTATTTGTTTGATTAGATCCGATGCGTAGTTATCTTGTCAAATGTTTGAATCATGTCAGTTAATAAACAGATAAATATTTCGCAAGAAATGTTGAAGAAAATAATATTTGTGTCAGAACAGATAGAATCGAAAGACGTGAAATTCCTGTAATGTGCGCGGCGTAAGGCCGCGCGTTTATACGATAAAACAATATCATTCAGTCTGTACTAAAATACTAGCGCGTTACGCAAAGTACACAAGGAAATAGTGACAACCTAGTGTGGCAATGGAACTTGGATTATAAGTACACCGTACCTGAGTCGCGTTAAGGGAGAGAACTGCTAGTTGGCACCATTTTATCTGCAATTTAGTTTCATCTCCACACTGCTTGAATATGTTCAACAATCCAGCCTTCACTTCCTGTCACAATAAGTTCACCTTGGCACATCACAAACTTTTATATAGATTGTCAATCAAAAGTTATAAATAGCTATTTTGAGAAGGTATTAAACACTAAAAGGCGGGTTAAGGAGTGTATTAGAGCAAGGAGGTTAGTGCTTACCACTGGATTGGTCGTGTTAAGATTGCCAGAGTGGAGCTCGAACAGCAATCCTTGCAGAGTTAAACTCAGTTCAGATTTAGAGGTATGCTGATCTAATTTAGTAGCCTTACTCCAACCGTCCATTCCATTGGGATCACCTAGTTTACAATGTATTTATTATTGGTTAACGATATTATATTAATTCACAATGTTAGTATCCACTATAATATGTAATCTAATTAATTTAAATTACAATAAATTAAATTTGAGATCCAATTTAATTCATAGATATTTATTGTTGACATTGCACGTCCAGTTATTCGGAATACTCTCAAAATTATAATCGCTGTCATTATCGTGGTAGAATAAAACACAGCTAACTTTCTAAAACTTGAAATAAAACAACAAGAAATTTACAGAAAATCTTGAAGTCAAATTAACCATGTAAAACATTCATCAGAGTTGATCACAAATCAGTAAGCTAAACTAAATACATCGAAACTTTGCTAAGCGAGTTAATTAACAGTCGCTCGCTTGCAATTGTAACATACAAATAACTTGTTAAATATACCGCATTATAAGCTTCACTTTCTACCGTATAAACTTCGAGGTACACTGCAAACAATACACAATACACTGTACACAGTGCACACAGTATACATTTTAATTGTTAACGGACAATTAAAATTTTCCAGTGTCAATAATTTGTTCCCCATCATGTCTTATTGGTGAGGTGCGCAGAGTTTTCAAGAAAGACGTTACATTTTCCTCAAAAACCGCCAAATTGTCAGCAAAAACAAACTAAAATTTGCTTCGATTGCAGCCAGTACAAATCGAGAAATCTTACAAAACTGAACATGTTTAAACTTGCTTAAAACTCAATAAACATGAGCTTCCAGATGGAAATACCATTTTACGATCCTATCAATTTTATTTCATCTTTCTACTGACATTCACTGTGGTCACACAAAGATTTGTTCCACAGACCACACTTGCGCTGTGTAAGTGCGCTTTTTGTAATTAAATTATGCAGATAAACAAGGTGGCCTAGAATTACCTGTACATCTAGTTTAACAGTGGTCTAATCCAAACAATTAATTCTCAACCAATTCGCACTTTAAAGCGCACTTACGCGTCATAACACCATAGTATCACCTTGAAGGTGGTAATACCCAACACCTTGTAAGTAGTAACACCTAACACCTTGTAGGTGGTAACACCTTGTAGGTGGTAACACCTAGTCACTCAGACACAAATACAGCTCATCTCAAAACGCTCACTAATCTCATATCAAGACACTGATTAGTATTTCAGCTCACAACTTACATTATATGTACTTTTCTGACCAACTAGTAGAGAGAAATTCAGGATGGAAAAAAACCGGAAATTATTTACTACCATCAGTCGTCGAGCTAATCTTATGGTTATAATATTAGAAAGCAACAGAATGATATTCAAACAATCTCCAAGCTATGACACACACGAAGTTTTGGAGCCTCAATTTGTGGGCGTAAATTTCGAACTAATTATATAACTATTACATAGCGGTTACTAAATATCTCCTTTTTGCAACCTCCCCTCCGTGCATATCCGTAAGTAACCGCTCTCCCCAAGTTCTGCCTGCCTCGAACTGGTTACTAACATCAAAATTTTGTATAATAGGAATGTATCCATTGCATTCGCTGTATTGGTGTTAGAAGGTAATAACACTATCAGCTGTGTGTTGTCCGAGTTCAAACAAAAATACTCTATAATAACGTCCAGATAGCCCAGAACGGGCTGCACATCATACAACATTTCGGTCGGGCCCAGCACACAAGTCACATAACAAGACACACTTACTGGTCACGTGACACACTGCCAAGTTCGGTCAACAAAATTATCATTATATTATAGTGGGATTATAGTACTATCACATGGAATTCGACAAAATAAAACTATAAAATTTAAACAAAATTAAGAGAAAATCTGTAAGTGTGGTAAAGCCCAGATGTTAATCTAAATAATAAGTTTTCTACCCGGCACAATCAACCACATTTGAGACTAGACACTATCTAGATATTATCATCTCGAGGAATTCTGTAACTATGGTAACCCCACATCACGTGATCTAAATCACGTGACCTCACGTCAACAAGGAAGGGTCGTTATCGACTGCCTCGTAAAACAATATATAGCCCACTTCCAACCCGTTAGAAGTTCTAGGATTGTCATGACCAAAGAAATCCTCTATACTTTTCTCGTCTACCTTCTCCACAACTTCATCGTCAAATATAAGCCAGAAGTCGTGGGATTTAACAGCACAGATATAATGTCCCTTATTTGGTCCGTTACCACAGTGCACCACCACAGACATGAGACTGTACAAGCACTCGGGGTTGTTAGCGTGTTCGGACGTGATGAAGAGCCGCAACTCTAGGGGGAATACCACCCGGTATGTGAGCTTCTTGTACCTATTGTCATTCTCCACGTATTTAAAGCGCTTTAGGTGCAGTGCCAGCACTTTGGGTTGCTTTTTGATGCGCATGCGCTTCTGCGCCTCCTGCTTGCTACAGCAGGACTCACAGAAGTATTTCTGCGCCCCTGATAAGGTCTCCATGCTGGAGAAGCTGCGCAGACAGTGGTTAAGTGACGTGTTTTGTTCTATCTCTACCGACAGATCCATGAAGGGCTCGTCTTTACAGCTAACAGCTTCACATGTCAAACATTTCGTCTCATTCGTGATTATGCCCTCGAAAATCTCCTGGAAAAGAACAGGTATAACAAGAAATGCGGCCGCTTTTCTTTTGTGGATGGCCGCTCAATTTCCCGATCCGTGATGGCGTATTTATCATATTCCATACAACCTGGGGACGGCCCAGTCTTTACTGTTTATATAAACATGCAAATATGGCGAAGTGACATGCCGACTGCCGAGCGCCGCCCAGTTAATATAATTCTATATTGAATTTGAAAATCGTGTATACTTCTATGTAACCATATGTTTATTGTTTATGCAACCTGACACGGATCTGTGCAAAATAGTAATACCAACTCAAAATAATAATAATATGCTATTAATTAGTGCCTAGTGGGATACGTACATGATGAAATTAATAATGTACTTGGTTGGTTCAGCGCCGCGCGCCAACAATTATATAATTCAGATTGTCACGCAAAATAACTTTGCGCAGGTAGTCACGTGGGCGATAACAGTGCTCGCAGGCACGTTCGGTCGCACACACGGTCGCACACACAGTCGCAAAGCTACCATATTAAAAAAAAACCTCGATCGCTAACCCTTGTCCTTGACTCTTTTGTGCCTTCGGCACTTTGAGTCATGGATCGGGAAAAAATGCTAAATTAGGTTAATGGTAGTGGTACACTTGCCTTGTGAGCAATTAAATGTCGTATAATAAGTATAATTTTCTGTAAACTCCTTCCCTGCAACTTGAGGCTCCTTACTCACTACCGATACAGGTAGCGCATATATTTTAAAATAATAAACCGAGTTCAAATTGACACGGTTACAAAAAAGGTATAATCATTTAAAACACCATCACTATTTTATACGACTCAATGGATTTGGAGAAAAATTAAAATAATGAGGGACACAGACTGAATATGTCGGATGATTCATGGAATAGTTCAGGTAATTTCGTTAAACTCGGCATTTAAAGGTATTTAAGATATCCGGATATCAAGATATAATTGGCACGATTTAATTTTAAGTTGGCCATGTTCGTATGCTCATAAGTCTCAAATCATACTGTCTGACCAATTTTTTGCCGCGCCCAAAATGAATCTCGGATCAACTTGTTCCGGATGGAATTTTCGCAGCATTTCAGGGTTGACAGGGCATATTATATTTATACACATTATAATAGACATTATAATATATTATAGGTTTGTCGCAAGGGGAAGATTAAAATAGGGTGAACACTAATTTCTGCCAGATAATTTAGGTCGCAGATAAAATGAGGTATTTATAACCTGCTCATATGATTAACCAACAACACAAGGAAGGTGGTTAACCATGTCAGAGCGGCTGACTGTGAGTGATGTGAGCAAATGTGTAAAAGTGAACAAAAGTATTTATATAATGAAATGAAATGAAATGAAATGAAATGAAATGAAATGAAATGAAATGAAATGAAATGAAATGAAATGAAATGAAATGAAATGAAATGAAATGAAATAAATAATAACAAATAATAAATAAATATAAAAGGTAAATTGTATATTTACAAGAAGTCCGGAGGAGAATTTAGGGTGAAAATGCTTTGAAAAGTACCCTAATATAAGTTATGAACCTGAACCAAAATATCATCTATCAGAGATTTGACAAAGGTTTTGACGTTCATTGAAGTAGTTTGACCTACTCCAAACACTGTTAGTTTTTAGTGTTCAAGCACATTTCTAACTGTCAGGATTTGCAAATACATTAAATAGAAATGCACGAATTAGGTCAGAAATGCAGCCATACCCGGGAGCGTTTATTCACAGATTTAAAGTTAAACAGATTTGTCTGATTTGTTGAGTTGAAGCTTTATGGTCAAGTTCGGAGACAACCTGTACATTTTTTACTTTTTTAGAAGTGTGTGGTGGAGCCAGCTCAACACAGACTGAAACTCCCTGATTATATGGCTGACAAGACATTTTTCAGGACTTTCTCTGAGTAAAAAAAAAAAATTAAAAGGTTGAACGGTTGAGCCGATACAGGTGGTATTAAACAAACCCTTAAAAGGTGGAGATTTAAGGTGGAGACTGGCTCTGGTTGAAGAAACTTTTGATTAAGGTGGAAAAGGTTATTGGTAACACAAACTACATCAAATTTGCAATATGATGGTTTTATCAATATTTTATCTAAGTGCTCAACCGAGGTGGAGAAATTAAATGCACTTTTCAAATCTGCTCAACCGGGGGTGGAGAAAGGTTTAGAGAGTTCTAGGTTAGCTAGAAAGTTGCGTCTCGGCCTTTTCTACTTCCCGTTAAATTTTGTTTTTGCCATTGACGCTCAACAGGGTGGAGATCTTTCATTAAGAAACAGTAAAAAGCCTGTCAAACATGCCTAAATTCATTGGTTTTATCACTAATTCTAATCTGCTCTGTTAACTGCTACTGTAGGGGATCATAAAACTGTCACCCCTTCTGTTTTAAAGCAAAGTGTTCTAGCAAATGAAAAAACTATCAAAGTTGTGAAAAGGTGCTCAACAAGGTGGAGAAATTGTTGATTAAACATCAAAACATTAAAAAATGCATTAAAACTGGCCCACCGGGTTGAGTTGAGCTTTGGCAGTTGATTTCTGGAAGGAATAACATTGGGTGACCCTTTAGCATGTATACAACTCATCAAACTAGCCATCAACCACTCAACCGCGGTGGAGAACCTTGACTTCTGAGGTCAAATTTACGCCCAAATTTGCCAAATTTGAGTCTCCACCTATGTTGAGTGTACTTTTCAGCAAGGATGCCTTGTAATATGAGTTGGTAGATGATTTAGAATCATTGGTATCGCAAATGGACTGCCACAGTCACTCTACAGCTCCTAAACTACAGAATAACAGATTTTGAACTGCATGTTATGCTGTCTCCACCTCGGTTGAGCCGATTCTGAGGATCCTATTCTATGAAATATGATTGGTATAACCCATAATATTAAATATTAGGACTTTGGAGCAATTAAAAAGCATGAGAGGGTAAGTTCTAGTCACTTATATTAGCTCATGTAGTCAGTGAGCTGCTCCACCTGTGTTGAGCAGACAAACCTGCTCAACCGGCACTTTTTGAGTACCCACCTGTCTTACGTAACTTTAAATTGTGAAATTTGGAGTAAATATTTTTTTCATAAGTGATTTACAGCTCCTTTATTTTTGTAATTTTCAGGTGGCCACTGTCTCCACCAAGGTTGAGTTATTTAAATTTTGAACCCAGATATCATTATAGAAAGGTTAGGAGTATAATATCTGAAGAGCCTGTACCCCTTGGACTTTCAGAGGAATTATAATTAATTTTACCGTATATGGCAGTGAAATAAGTGTAATTAGTGACTCATTTTATGTACAGGTTGTCTCCGAACTTGACCTTATGCTTTCGGGTGGAGTTGATAAAGCTGTCAGATCATTATTTTGAGGCAACTATTAACAATTGAACACGGAACAGCTTAAAGAAGATCCACCATCAATATTGACAGGTGATAATTTGGTAGACCCTATAATTGGGTTATGACGCAATGTTCGGATGACACCGAGTTTATCTCCGATCTACAAGATGCGCATAATATTAACATTATTAAATAGTTAATAAATATGACACAGTGTTAAAACTAGTGTGTCAGTAAGTTTGGTATATGTACAGGGTTTTACGATTGACAGTACGCGTGTTTCAAATATTTTAATTTACCTCAACCCAAGTCCTTTTCAGTTTCTCCTTCTCCTCGTCGTCAAACTCGCTCCGCAACAAATCAGATATTGAGTTCAACAAGTAGTTTAGAAACTGAAATTAAACAGTATTAAAATATGTATTAGAACTTGAATTAGAATATTATGTTCAATTCAATAAACATTTCAAAAATGTCAAAAATGATTTACTTCTCCTGGAGGATTACTGGATAGAGAAGCTTGGGACAGCATTCCCTCTTGGTCTTAATGACAAGAAGAAAGGAACGGGCAACATCTCCCAAGATCGGGTTATGAATTATTTTAGTGGACAGATTGCTCGATACAAACGTGGCAGAGGGAATGGAAAGAAGAAAGTTCAGCCTAAGAAGTCTCTGGATACCATAGAGTCTGATATTAACAGGCTGAAAGATAACATCTCTTCAGAACATTCCATATACAAAACATTAAAATGTTATAGCTTATCAGATTTAGACACTCTCTACTCTTTGAGTCAAAATAATTCAGGATTGATTTACAACGTATGTTCCTCTTTCTGTTCAACATTTTCCCCCAAATACCATCAGAACAAATCTGAATCCAGTAATAGAGAATTTATAATTGTTCCATTTAATTGCAAATTCATTGATAATCTTAACCTAAAATCTATTTTCTCTGACACTTCAGTCATTGATTTGCTTCCCATTTTGATTCAGTCTTTTACACCATTACAGATTTATTATGAGTATAATGATCCTATAAGTCTTTCTATTTGTAACTATGCTTCATTCTTAAAGAAACTTTCTATTTCTGATATTAAATCTATTTTAGGTAGTCCATGCGATTGTCACTCCTCCCCTTTCAATTATCCTCCTCATGGACATGTAGTTACTGGTAATTTAGATATTGTTGATAATGTTGAACTTAGGGAAGTACTTTCCTACGGTTGTAAATACAGGATTCCCACATTTAAATCTCCAGATGAGATATATATGTCAGTTACCGAAGCTGTCGATAAATTTATAAAATCAAAAAGTAGAAAGTACTGTCAAAAAGAAGTAAAGTTCAGCGATTGGAAGGAAAAAGTGTTATCAATAGTTTCCAATCGTATTGAATATTACAAGAAAAACTTTCCTGAAACATTTGAAATAAAAGAAAACACACTGGAAAAAGATGATGTTAAAAGAAGTCTTAAATTGCTGAAAAGTAAATACATTATTTGTAGTATCGACAAAGCTTCTGGTAATTTTTCATTTATTTGTAAAAAGTTTTATGTAAAAACTCTTGTCAATGAAATGGGTTTTGATCCTAATACTCTAGAATGTATAGGTAATGATACATATAAACCCTGTAGCGAAGACGAGACTCATTATGTCAATAAAATATCTGAGAGTCTAAAGGAGAGATTTAATGTACAAGTTGAAGATAAAAACTTGCGACTAGCACGCATCTTCTGGAACCCTAAGCTTCATAAGAACCCTTACAAGGCGAGGTTCATTGCAGGTGCCCGTTTTTGCGTTACGAAACAACTTAACGTCCAAGTTAACTGTTGTCTGAAACTTTTGAGGAAATACTTCAAGAAATACTGCGAGGCCATCTACAACAACAGCGGTATAAACATGTTTTGGAGCATAGATTCCTCAAGTGAATTCCTTGAAGCTATCAAAAATAGCGATGTTTATAATATACAAGTTTATGATTTTACTACTCTTTATACCAGATTAGACTTGATTGAAGTAGAGAATATGATTAATGAAGTTGTTGATTTAATATTTTCAGACCGTAACAGATATATTTGTATTTCTAAAAGAGACAGTAATACATGTTTCTTTTCCAATAAAACCTATGATTCTCATGCCTGCTTTAGTCAAGATGACCTAAAAGAGGCTGTTAAATTTATTATTTATAACACTTATGTCGTCTTCGGTGGGATTGTATTCATACAAACCAAGGGTATTCCTATGGGTGGAAATTCAAGTTCCCCTTTAGCTGATCTCACTGTTGGCAAAAAGGAATTTAATTATATGAAACGTTTACTTCAGGAAAAGAAAATGGGATTAGCAAAGATATTATCCAATAATAAACGATATGTTGACGATTTATCTATTATTAACTACCTTTACTTTCATAAATTGATTAAAGATATTTATCCTAATTCATTGGAGATGGAGCGAGCTGGTTCCAATAATAAAATCATTAACTACCTTGATTTAAATATTAATATTTCCACAGAAGGACTAGAAATATCAGTGTATAACAAAACTGATGATTTTAATTTTCATGTTGTATCCCTTACATTTCCTCACAGTAACATCCCAACCGAGGTTGGCTACAACGTTTTTTCAAGTCAAGTTCTTAGATATGGTAATGTCTGCACTAGATTGGATATCTTTACCTCCCATCTTCACAAAATATTCAAAATTCTAATTGATAGAGGATATAGCCGTGATAGACTGATTAAAGGCATTAAACGTTGTCTGAGGAAATATGATAACGTTTTCAGGAAGTTCGGTATTCTAGATGACCGTAACATTATTAAAGAACTCCCCTGATATCTTTTGATTTATTGAAACACGGGTACTAACTCTGCTAAACTGAACAAATTCTGAAACTTAGGTGAATAAGTGTACAACGTGCTAAACCGAAGTTCAGACTGACCAGTGAAAATGGGCGAGCGTACCAAGTGTCATTTTAATTAGAAGTTTTAGTCAGTGATTTATTATTGAAGCTTGTAATTACAATATCTAATACTCCTATAAATACTTTAATTAATTGTTTATCCCGTTCTTCTTTTTCCTTCCTCTTTTCCTTGTCATCCCCTTTAGTTTTAAGATTCTTGCTATAAATGGCTACAGCTAACACTATTAATGCTAAGTACCAAACAACAAGTGGGAGGTGGATCGTTGGTACCATTAAATCGATTTAACACCGCAATTCCAGTCGCAAGCCTGGGACCACTACTAGCATAGTCACAACATCTACAAAGCTGCCATATAGCCTGACTGACAATTTTCTCGACTGACTGACAATGTTTCTTCCTTTTCCCCCATTTAGAATACAAAGATTAGTACATTTTAGCTTATGATTAATATTATATTTTTACCTATAGTTTACCTAGATTACGTCCGTATCATGGTATCAAGTACTGGTGGTCGGTTCTTCCGCCCCGTTGGATACATAATTGATAGCTTTTCTTGATATTGCTCTATAATTACATTTATATCTCTCCCGGCCATTGGTTCCGAGATTTGGTTGATCTTTGTTTTCTTGGGCGCCCTCCTTGAAGTCTTGTTGTTGTACATACATCTCCTGATTTATCCTGTATTTACCTGTTTATTTCATTTTCTGGCGTGAGCTGTCCGCCATGCTACGGTACGAGAAACAGCGGCAGTGCAAGATCCGGTTCTAAGAGATTTTTATGGTCGCGAAGAATCTCGCCAGGCTACATTGCGTCGGTGGGAGAACTATTTAGGTTCATGACATCTAACGCCCGCCCAATCATGGCAGCCCCATGACAATAGCTATAGGTTGATGTCCGACCCGTTGTCCTTGGCCTATCTCGAGTCGTTGGGTCTAGGCGGAAACGCCGAAAGGGATGATGTTACCTTCTTGACTTAAACGTAATGGTAAATTTTTCTCAAAATCCTTGAATAAATGGGTTACCCCTAGTAATGTCTTTTCTAGCACTTTTAGATGTTGCAATGGTAGAGGTTGTCTCACTTGTAACAGTTTTAATCCTGTTAATACATTTAGGAGCAGTACTTTTAATAATGATTTTATCTTTGGACATACAAATTTTATATTTAATTGTAAAACTAATAATAATGTTATTTATGTTATTACCTGTTCTACCTGTAAAAAACAATATGTTGGAGAAACAACTCAACCACTTCATAAAAGAGTCAATGGCCACAGAAATTGTGTCAAAGCCAAATCATCCACATTTTTATATGAACATTTTAATATTCCTGGTCACGTCTTCTCAGATGCTTCCATACAGATTGTAGATTATGTTGATTCTGACATGTCCACCGATGTCAAAAATGATTTACTTCTCCTGGAGGATTACTGGATAGAGAAGCTTGGGACAGCATTCCCTCTTGGTCTTAATGACAAGAAGAAAGGAACGGGCAACATCTCCCAAGATCGGGTTATGAATTATTTTAGTGGACAGATTGCTCGATACAAACGTGGCAGAGGGAATGGAAAGAAGAAAGTTCAGCCTAAGAAGTCTCTGGATACCATAGAGTCTGATATTAACAGGCTGAAAGATAACATCTCTTCAGAACATTCCATATACAAAACATTAAAATGTTATAGCTTATCAGATTTAGACACTCTCTACTCTTTGAGTCAAAATAATTCAGGATTGATTTACAACGTATGTTCCTCTTTCTGTTCAACATTTTCCCCCAAATACCATCAGAACAAATCTGAATCCAGTAATAGAGAATTTATAATTGTTCCATTTAATTGCAAATTCATTGATAATCTTAACCTAAAATCTATTTTCTCTGACACTTCAGTCATTGATTTGCTTCCCATTTTGATTCAGTCTTTTACACCATTACAGATTTATTATGAGTATAATGATCCTATAAGTCTTTCTATTTGTAACTATGCTTCATTCTTAAAGAAACTTTCTATTTCTGATATTAAATCTATTTTAGGTAGTCCATGCGATTGTCACTCCTCCCCTTTCAATTATCCTCCTCATGGACATGTAGTTACTGGTAATTTAGATATTGTTGATAATGTTGAACTTAGGGAAGTACTTTCCTACGGTTGTAAATACAGGATTCCCACATTTAAATCTCCAGATGAGATATATATGTCAGTTACCGAAGCTGTCGATAAATTTATAAAATCAAAAAGTAGAAAGTACTGTCAAAAAGAAGTAAAGTTCAGCGATTGGAAGGAAAAAGTGTTATCAATAGTTTCCAATCGTATTGAATATTACAAGAAAAACTTTCCTGAAACATTTGAAATAAAAGAAAACACACTGGAAAAAGATGATGTTAAAAGAAGTCTTAAATTGCTGAAAAGTAAATACATTATTTGTAGTATCGACAAAGCTTCTGGTAATTTTTCATTTATTTGTAAAAAGTTTTATGTAAAAACTCTTGTCAATGAAATGGGTTTTGATCCTAATACTCTAGAATGTATAGGTAATGATACATATAAACCCTGTAGCGAAGACGAGACTCATTATGTCAATAAAATATCTGAGAGTCTAAAGGAGAGATTTAATGTACAAGTTGAAGATAAAAACTTGCGACTAGCACGCATCTTCTGGAACCCTAAGCTTCATAAGAACCCTTACAAGGCGAGGTTCATTGCAGGTGCCCGTTTTTGCGTTACGAAACAACTTAACGTCCAAGTTAACTGTTGTCTGAAACTTAAATGAGGAAATACTTCAAGAAATACTGCGAGGCCATCTACAACAACAGCGGTATAAACATGTTTTGGAGCATAGATTCCTCAAGTGAATTCCTTGAAGCTATCAAAAATAGCGATGTTTATAATATACAAGTTTATGATTTTACTACTCTTTATACCAGATTAGACTTGATTGAAGTAGAGAATATGATTAATGAAGTTGTTGATTTAATATTTTCAGACCGTAACAGATATATTTGTATTTCTAAAAGAGACAGTAATACATGTTTCTTTTCCAATAAAACCTATGATTCTCATGCCTGCTTTAGTCAAGATGACCTAAAAGAGGCTGTTAAATTTATTATTTATAACACTTATGTCGTCTTCGGTGGGATTGTATTCATACAAACCAAGGGTATTCCTATGGGTGGAAATTCAAGTTCCCCTTTAGCTGATCTCACTGTTGGCAAAAAGGAATTTAATTATATGAAACGTTTACTTCAGGAAAAGAAAATGGGATTAGCAAAGATATTATCCAATAATAAACGATATGTTGACGATTTATCTATTATTAACTACCTTTACTTTCATAAATTGATTAAAGATATTTATCCTAATTCATTGGAGATGGAGCGAGCTGGTTCCAATAATAAAATCATTAACTACCTTGATTTAAATATTAATATTTCCACAGAAGGACTAGAAATATCAGTGTATAACAAAACTGATGATTTTAATTTTCATGTTGTATCCCTTACATTTCCTCACAGTAACATCCCAACCGAGGTTGGCTACAACGTTTTTTCAAGTCAAGTTCTTAGATATGGTAATGTCTGCACTAGATTGGATATCTTTACCTCCCATCTTCACAAAATATTCAAAATTCTAATTGATAGAGGATATAGCCGTGATAGACTGATTAAAGGCATTAAACGTTGTCTGAGGAAATATGATAACGTTTTCAGGAAGTTCGGTATTCTAGATGACCGTAACATTAGTAAAGAACTCCCCTGATATCTTTTGATTTATTGAAACACGGGTACTAACTCTGCTAAACTGAACAAATTCTGAAACTTAGGTGAATAAGTGTACAACGTGCTAAACCGAAGTTCAGACTGACCAGTGAAAATGGGCGAGCGTACCAAGTGTCATTTTAATTAGAAGTTTTAGTCAGTGATTTATTATTGAAGCTTGTAATTACAATATCTAATACTCCTATAAATACTTTAATTAATTGTTTATCCCGTTCTTCTTTTTCCTTCCTCTTTTCCTTGTCATCCCCTTTAGTTTTAAGATTCTTGCTATAAATGGCTACAGCTAACACTATTAATGCTAAGTACCAAACAACAAGTGGGAGGTGGATCGTTGGTACCATTAAATCGATTTAACACCGCAATTCCAGTCGCAAGCCTGGGACCACTACTAGCATAGTCACAACATCTACAAAGCTGCCATATAGCCTGACTGACAATTTTCTCGACTGACTGACAATGTTTCTTCCTTTTCCCCCATTTAGAATACAAAGATTAGTACATTTTAGCTTATGATTAATATTATATTTTTACCTATAGTTTACCTAGATTCAGAAACTGAAATTAAACGGTTTCCAGTTAATCGAGTTTAACAGATATAATAATTCAGAAACTGAAATTAAACGGTCTGAACTCTGCTTTTAAACGATCGCGTTATCGACGTGGGTATCGAGTTAACTTTAAATTATGCTAAAAATATGAAATAACTCTTGAAATTAGCGTTTTAGAGAGTAATTTTGTCTTTCAGCTACTATACTTTCACATTTGTGGCTAAAATATCTCATATCTATACAGTATACACTTATTTTCATTGTTCAACCATCGATCTTGTGTGTTTGTTCCAAAGGGTGTAGTGCAAGTGGAATTATTATTCACACAAAAATTTGTAAATCACAATCTTAAATCTTCAGGATAGAGTACCACATACTATATAAATTTGTTCATTAAAACCACCGGTACCTTCCAGCAAGGGTCTCGTGTCAAACGTAATAACACGTGTCATGTTTTCATTCGCAAAATACATAATTAATCTGTAATTAATCTGTCACGTACATGAAATGAGTTGCAGTGTTATGACTCCAACGTGGTGGACAGACGACACGTTTAACTCATAGACTCGTAGACGGCACTTTTAACACATTGTATCGATTTATGTCCACAAACAGGAATTTCAAATTTCATAAATTTGGTAGAAACTTAGAAATGGCCCAGAACAAATTTCCACAACTACCGAGTAATTGAAGCGCAAAAGCACATGTAATCATTACAAACCAATCCACCCTCACTCTTTCAAACACAAGGAAATATCTTATAAAGTAACCTCGTGAGCGTCCTGCTGGAGGAAGTTGTTGTAGTTCTCATTCTCTTTCCGTAATCTGGAGATAAACTTCTTCGGAGCGTATATACCTGTCCTCTTCTTCTGTGAGGTAATACTGCTGTACAGCTCGTATAGACAGTACAGCAGATTCTCCTTCCTAGGCTTCTCTAACGGCACTTTCAATACCTGAACCAATTAATAACTGTATTGACTGACAAAAAAGAAGAAATTTATGATTTGTTTCGCTATCTTGCGACCCCTAGTGTCAATAATCGAACATTTCCGGGAAATTGATATCTACATAGCAATTTAGAATTAAAAAATCCTGACCAGTTAGGGTAGAAATTAGGGTGAGGATAGACTTCAGAGACCCTAAGCTAACTCAAATTTGTTAAAATTGTCTACCCTAATGTCTACCCCTAGTGGTCAGGCTTCTCGGATACTGCCCAATTTGGTTGCTCAATTCAATAGAATAAAAAGTTTTAAATTCTAACACCACTGACTTCCGGCTCTATTCAAGAGTGAGAAGCTACACAACAAAAAGGTTACAAAAACAATGGGATAAAAACAACTACATATTTATCACCAAGCCGCGCGTGACGTGTTACTTTAATTGTAGTAGTGTACTGCTGCCAACTGATTCACGGTTTATACTTCCAGTTTAGTCAGTTGTGTAGGGAAATAGTTATATGGTGCTTTGTTGTTAAAAACATATTTTACCAATCTGTAGTATCTTTTTTTAAATTTTTTCCCTCGTGTACTTGATCAAGATTGCATCTTACATTGGATATAGACTCGTCCTATCATTTCTCTAACAATATTGTACAGTAATATCAATCTGTTCCATTGCCTAATTATCATAAAAACAGAGTAAAACTAGTGCAAAAAGTTATAATGTAAAGAAAAATAATTAAGGCAGCATAGAATGATTCTGCAGTAGTTTCAGTGTAGCTTAGTGTGTAACTACTAACTAGTAACTGTGCACTTTTATGTGAGTTTGTGACTTCAAGTGCATAATATTTAGTTATTATGAAATATGATTTTAATGTTTTTCTGAGAAGGACCTAAAAATGTGATTGTTGTAGCTACTAGATATTATGTGCATAAACTTGAAAAATCTGTTCAATTGGACAAAAAGAGCTCATATTATGGCTCCTATTATGTCATGTGATGGTTAGTTTGGTATTGGAGTTGGACACACCCAGTACCCACTATTCTATTTGAAGATATCCAAGTGAGCCAACCGATATTCTCCGTACCATAAAAAGAGCTTTGCAATAACCACCATGTCAATGTCGGGGTTTGATCCTGGTATTATTTGGCGTGATTTTGATCAGACTAAATTGTAGATGCTGATCATTTAATTTTTTAATGCTGTCAGTTTACAAATTTTATGCTTCACTGCAATACTTCACTGCGTTACTACTTTAATTTCTGCTAATACTAAAGTAAAGGTCAGTCGACATGGGTCGGACGGCATGAAAACCAGACCTTATATGGACGCTCCTGCAGAGTGCAGAGTGTGCAGACCTTACTTACTGTAATATTGACGTACAACTTGTGCATGTGGTCTTTAAAATGAGGAAGTTGTTGCATAAGCAAGTTTTATAGTTTTTTTAAATCTTACCATTACCATTTAACTTAAAGTTCTCTTTGACCTCAAAATATAGAAGTTAAACAGTTTATAGATACTGAGATAGTTTGGTCATGAATTTTCAAGCAAAAAACTTGTTCAAATGTTCATTGTTCATCCAAGATATATAATGAGGCCACTGAATAAAAGCTGTATCTTATGTTCAAAGTTGTAACCACCACACTGATATCCTAACTGCAGGTCCGATGCTAATGAGAAAACAGATGGGGAAGGAACTGGAAGAATTCGCCCTGAACACCTCAGGTCACGGTCTGAGACAGGTGTTCCACGGCCACCGCGCCCTCATCAGACTTGTATTCTTCGTGCTGTGGGTCAGCGCCGTCACCTTCTGTATCTTCAGAGCCTCTCTCAGCGTCAGAAAGTACCTTGCTGGAGCTACTACCAGCAGGTATGAGATGCACCCTGCCTCTGCAGCGGCTATCATGAAGTTCCCCACAATCACTGCTTGTAACAAGAACAAAATAAGGAAGACTTATCTGGACGACAAGCCGGAGCTCAAGGATTGGTGGCGAGGTGTGTCTAATTTCAACTTCGAACTGCTTCATTCACTGAATTGGAACAGCCCAGAGATGGTCAAACACGAGAACGAGACTTACGCGGAACTACTGCGCAGCGCTCAAATGCACAACGACACATTCATCACTTGCACACAAGGACACATGAGATACTGTGATAAAACAGACATGGGGCTAGACTACTACGAGCGGGATGTGGAGTTTGTGAGTGGTAGTTGTTTCAGGATCAACCCAGCAGGAACCCTGCACGGCAAGAGTGGTGACTACGGTGTGTTATCCCTCATCTTCCTCGCTGACAGAGACGAGTACTCGGACCCACGTGACAATGTAGGCTGGGTGCTAGCCACTCACGAGTCAGAGAGATACGGAGCTTCAGTAAACAATGGTATACACATCTCACCGGGGTACGCCTACTACATTAACCTGGACACCATGAACATACGCGCGAGTAAGGAGCACTGTGCGGAGAAACAGGGGGTGCGGTCTGGGTATGGCAGGTACGATCAGTCAACTTGTTTGTTGGATTGCAGGGACAGGATGCTGAACAGGACATGTGGGTGTCTGAACACTACTCCACCCCTGAACGATGTGTACAACTACACTGAGTGTACCCTGAAGGAGGTCGCTGATTGCAGTCTACACGCTTACTTACAGTAGGTTCCATAATAAAACAGTTATATGGTACTAGCAATAATATAGGAATATAGGAATATACTATTAACGTATACTAGTAATAAAGTAATATAATAGTACTAGTAATATAGTAATAATATTATTCCTATATTACTAATATAGGAATATGATAGTAGTACTAGTAGTATAGTAATAAAGTTATAAAGCTGTAGAGCTCGCCAACCCGAGCAGCATCGAGGTTAACTGTCTCTAACTACATAGCCTCAACGAATGTAATGGATTCATAGAGTTGTTATAATTTACAATACGATATACTATAAAGTGTACAGACACTATTACCATGGGGGTATTTGATGTGTAAGTTACTTAACTATTTAGTTTTTACTATTTAACAGTTCGCTTGTGCGGACTTTGCTCTTATTTACGATGCTATTCATTCATTTCATCATTTCAACATGGTCATTGGTCAACGTAATATTATGAGCGCTTAAGGGGGCAGGGGGGGGGGGGGTCTTTATGAAATTTCTCTCGAAATTGATTTTATAGTTGTTTCTGATAGAGGGGAGTGATATCTATCTGCTGCTTTTGGTCCCATGGAAAAATATTGTTCCTAGCCGAATTTATTGCCGGTCAAAGGTCAGCGTGCATGTGTAATTGTATTGCGCCTATCTTAAAATTCTGATCGAATGGAATCTTTTAAATGGTCCTTAGAACATATCCTGAAAGTTTCAAGGTGATGCTCAAAAAATGTAGGAGGAGAATTTTAGACTCGATTTTCAGGGCGCGCGATTGAAAATCGCTCGCGCAATACAATTACACATGCACGCTGACCTTTGACCGGCAATAAATTCGGCTAGGAACAATATTTTTCCATGGGACCAAAAGCAGCAGATAGATATCACTCCCCTCTATCAGAAACAACTATAAAATCAATTTCGAGAGAAATTTCATAAAGACCCCCCCCTGCCCCCTGGCCTTAACTGTTGGACAAGTGATGCAAGTTAAACTGCTAGAAGATATAATAAACGTTTATCAAATTTGATGTAAACCTACAAACGATCTAAGCTCAGTCCTTCAAGTTAACGATATAATGAGTTATTAATTACTAAAACCTAGATCTTTCCAGGTATGTGCTAGAGTTTGCGGACGTGAACACAGAACACCACAACTGTGATTGTGACATTGAAGCCTGTATTTACACAGTCTTTAGGAGCACTGTTACAGCTCACCCTATCCCAGAAACCGAGATCATCTACAAACTCAACACCTGGAAAACTCGTCCTTCACACAAACAAAAGTTCAAACGTTTCCTCAACTACACCGTCAAGGACGTGGCAAGGAACATGGCTAAAGTGGACATTTTCTTCGGTTCCAGTTCCATTACTGATGTGGAAGAGGTGGTGGCGTATGATTTTGATAACTTGTTGGGTGACATTGGGGGTGTTATGGGGCTGTTTTTGGGGGCTAGTATTTTCACCACAATGGAGTTATTTACCTTGCTGATTAACATGCTTTCAATTGTGTACCAGTGGAAAGTGAGACCAATGTTACACCCCGAGAGGAGAAAGTTCACTATTATCTCCGAGACTAATTTGTAGTATATCAATAACGCATTAGTTGTTGTGCAGTATATGATTTTAACTAATACAGATGATGAGATATCCTTTCAGACAATTACAGTAAATTCGATGTTTAATAATCCATGATGAAAGAAACATGATTTCCTCATGCATGAAAATATCTTCATTCCTTGTTTAATATTTTCCTACAAACATTGTTTAATTGGTTATAATATTAGACACGCGGGTTTCATCCGATGTGCTTGTTGTAAATATGTCGTCTTTAAAAGTTGGCCCCGGAGGGCCTACCAGTAGAAGATGTACACTTGCTAATATAAAAAAGAAGAGGTTGTAATTTACCTTGTCTCGGAAGGGTTTGCAGTAGAAGAGGGCTTGTAGGACCGAGTTACAATAGCAGGTGTTCCCGAAGTTGACGAGCCCGTAGTAATGCTCGTTTAGGGGATACTCGGCCCCGATGTCACGCTCCAGCTGAGAGCTGGTCCCTCCCATCACACCACACCACCTGAACACATTTCGGTGGGAAACAACCACACTGTAATATATTGGCGGGAAACTATCCAACTTTTAACTTTTGGAGTGATGCTAACTGTCTGCAAATAACTTTATGAACAGTCTTCATTTTTACGTTTTTAAAATTTTTACATTTCGAATTTTTTTCAGGACATGAAATTACCTCCTATGTTCGGAATGAGGACCACGGTAGTTTAAAAAATCGTGTGTGAACTTCAACTCAGCAGCAACATCGCCTCCCCTCTTCCATCAACCATTTGTAGGCATAGCTAGTGTTTTTAAGGTTATTTATTAATATAAATCTAACTATCATTACAGAGGGTTGATCCCCCGGTTGATCAATAGTAAAATTTTTAGCTTTTTTCTGTCTGAGTTCACCTCTGCAGTACTCACATTCATAACATTATCATACAATTGCAATTTTTATATGGGTAATAATATAAACCACTTACACTCTATCGAAATTATTATTGAAAATCGCAAATCAATTTTAACCTCGACAGTCACCCAGTTGTTATAGAAAAACGAGCCACCAGTATTACAATAAGTTATTATTCAGTAGAAAACTCAAATGATGTAATTCAAGAAATCGTAGACACAATGTAACTCATATCTTGCAGCGATTGTTCAAGGAAATGAACGACATCCTAATTTATAAATTAGTCTGGTGCGGCGAACTATTAGTTTTGCTAAAGTAGAATTGATCTCAGAGTTTATCTTGATACCAGTTCTCTAGTGGGCCTGTACCACCCAAGAAGTCTTATATACACAAGGAGAGATTTTTATTGCAACTCTGTAAGAGCTGAAATCTACTCGGTTACATTTAATCGGATGATTTGTAGAAATTGTCTAAGAAAGTGTTACTTCTCTCTTCTTTCTTTTGCTTCTGTGTGTCCGTGATATCAAAGTAGTTGTATATGTTGTAATTTTGTGCCCAAAACTGGTGGAATTCGTCAAATGTGTGCCGACCTAAAAAATGTGTTTTAGATAAGAATAACTGAAACAATATCAAACAGCTGTCTTGAATTTTCAGAGGACATGATACTTTCTCAGCCATTGCGTGTTCTTCAAAGTACAGGAACAAGGTACTGTCAACAAACTTCATGCTCTTCTGACTGATCACAATAAAATAACATTAAAGAATCGCAGATGTAACATAAAAGTTTGATATTGTTTTAGTGAGTGGCTACCTTTAACTACCATAAGATCAATGACTCGAATATCAGTCACGTTCTTGTTTTTCAGGAACTCCTTTTTCAATTGTTTTCTAGCCGTAGCTATCGGGATCTGTGGATCAGTATTGATTAAGGCTAGGGAAAATATATTAATAGTCCGGTTTCACAGGATGTAACAGGTAAATCATCATGCCTTATTAGGCTGGAACTAGGGAACTGCACCCTAAACTATCAATGACTAGGAGCCACTTTTAGAATATCACAAAGTGTTATCAAAAATTTATTTATTTAACAGCTTACATCCATCATGTGAGATCTCATTGTCCATTCCATCTCACGATAAAAATCCCGATACAAAGCAGTTACTCCTGAAATACATGATTTGGTTCAATTGTCTGAGAGAATAAAAATTAGAGCAATTTATTAAACATTTTTTAATTTATAACTGCTCTTTATTCCTGAGACTTACGTTTATGAAACGTATTTTAACTTATAAATACCTCTTCTTGCTTCTTCAGGAGTTTTCGAAAGAATAGGTCTAACAATGCGAGTTGTAACTTGCCTACTCATCACTATTGGGGATATTAATCAATCACAATCAAACATCAAATTGCAAACTTGCTTTGAGTTGTAATTCAATCAAGATAAGAATATTGCTAATTTGAATCGCTTTGAGTTATTACATATCTGCAAAAGGATATATTGAACAGAGGGTTGGAGGAAGGTCTAGAAAAGCTAGTCTAGTTAACTAATATCTTCATTAAGATAAAAAAGTACACTTTAGGGTTTATTCTATTCTGTGCAGCATGATGTACATTATTCAAAAATCGAATATTTCAGACCACGCCCATATAATATTAAATCACCTATATTGTTCTTTCCAAACATACTAGACCCAATTATCTTAAATGTCTGTAGATAATAAATTGCTGCTAAATCTGATCTGAAAAAATGAGGCAAAATGGATATGAAATGACGAAGTTAGCAAGCAATTTGTGTATCTTGTTACCAGAATTGATTGGGTGATTATGTGACACAACACCTTAACTGGGCTTCATTCACCATTTAACGGGTCACCTAATCACGTGATCAGGTCAGCCAATCACCGGATCACACGTAATGAATAAACTTGTTATGCTTCATATCTCAGTCATCTGAAAATCTAGACCTCTCAATTTTTCAGGACAAACGTAATTCGAATGGCCAAACACAATTCAATAAAGTTTTGCTCGATTCGATTATCAGAACTATCAAATAAATGCGAAAATGAACCTCCATTCGAACAAAATGAACATGAATATTCTTTGATTTAACATATTTCTCAAATGAGTGGTAGTAAGTCATACCAAAAAGAATTACCTCAATCAGACAATCAGTGACTGAGCTGTAAAGGCGAGCGTATGTAACGTTACTTGTGGCCCACCCTGCAGTTTCAAAAAGTAGTCGCTAAAACGCCAGAGTTAATTATTCATCTCAAAGGAATGTAATCGTATTCTCATCACATACCTTCCCTTCTCAACATCCAAGTCTGCTATTTTTACAGCACTATTACTCTTCAATCCTCTTTCTCCTCTAAGAGTGATGACTGTGGTTCTCAAGAGGTCAAGTATGGCTATTTTGCATCTAAATAAGATGCCTGTGTTAACTAGAATTAATTAGTATTAATTAGTTTATTTCAAACAATGTAGTCCATTCAATCGGATGCTTGGCAAGTGGAGAAAAACAGACAGGCCTAGACGATAGTTTAAGTCGTTCTAAAGATCTGCAGCTGTGCCAAATTGGTGGAGTTGAGGTCACGTTTAGAGCTAACAATAGCCAAGTACCATTAATCTCTGAGAAACCCTCACAGTCGTCTCAGCATGATAATCAGGCTAGGAAGCTGCAATTGACAGTTAACTGAGGAAAGGCCCTGAATCTTGTATGCAGCCGTTCAGTAGACACACATTAAAGTGAACTGGAACCATAGTGATTAATGTTTTTCCTTCCTCCGCTTTAGGTCAATCGTGGACCGTGGCTGGGAGAGGTTGAGAGCCTCAAACCAGCACTCTCGTCCTGGCTGCAGTGAGGCGCTTTATCATCCAGTCTATCAATGGAGCCAGTTTTTCCTCTACCCATGTCCAGCTTATTTTTACAGCAAAAAGAAACAAAAGAATCGATAAAAAGAAAAATCCTCAACTTGATAGGAAGAAAGTAGCAAAAAATTATGTTTGTGTTGAATGAAACAGTCTCAAGGCAAAACAGAAAGTCTATTTTTGGCAACTGACCCAATTTAAAGCAAATCAAAGTCAAGCAAACTTTAAACAATGAAATCAGGAAAACCTTAGATTTGCTCATTTGAGTCACAGCAAAAAAATCTAGAAAAATATAAATTCTTTACATCAAAAAATTAAGAATGACAAGATATTGACTTCATAAAGTGAAGTATTAATAAAATGATGGTATAGTACTGATCATGTTTATTATGACTGTGCCAAACTATGAATAGCAAATAAAATCAAATAATAATATCACAAAACATCATCACACATCATTATAAATATTTCTACGAAAATTAAAAATAAAAAATAAAATTATAGGTTCAAAGACTATGTAATATTAATGATTAACTACTTCGTGGGTACAGAGGAAAGAAGACTGACATCAAACATGACACCCTCTATCAAAAATCTCGTACAACCATTTCCGTTACCTATGTTTTGTGCTCTGCTAACTGTAACACTTGAATTGATTGTGCTCTTCCAGTCTTCCAATTGCACTACTTGATTTGATTGTATGTATATATTGTTTAAATGATATTAACTACTTTCCATTAATTTAGGTCAATAAAACGTTTATTAGCAACATTGGGATTGAACTTAAAATATTCATCATGATTTGCTTTATTCCTTTCGAAATTAGTTGTAGGTTTACAACCTACCAAGACGCGCGCCGGGTTGGACTCGTCGACGGTCCAATATATGGAAAAGATATTTTACGAGTATCACCGGTTAAGAAATTAGGCGAAGTAGCACGGGCGGGTCAGTTTATTTTGCAAAAATTGAAAGCTTGTTTAGCTTGCCTCGTTTTATTTTTCTCGCTCATACGATTCATAATTAATTCATTGTTGTTTTATTTGTTGTTCGAGACCAAAGTAAAATGAAGGTTGACGCGTTGACTTTAGTATTTAATTTTAGCTTTTATTCACTTCCAGCGTCCACCTTAATGCTTAATCTTTACCTAGCCATGAGTCTAATATATTCGCGTACTGCATGACGCGCTTGTTTCACAAATAATATAGACTGTGCCGCTTTCGTGCTTCGGCGGTCGCGCGCTATACTTTAACGGGTGATACTCGTAAAATATCTGTTCCATACTCGGCGCGCGTCCTGGTAGGTTGTAAACCTACAAGCTATACTACAAGCGAGAGTGGAGAGGGCTCTGGTTAGAGCAATGTTCACATAGCCATGTGTTTGTAGCGCGATGCGTTACTGTGCCGCGCCGCGCACCAATCACCAATGAGGCTTCTCACAGCTAGATCGGCGAAATGCGCTACTGTGCCGCGCCGAGCTGCCATGAATTGACATCGTCAATTAACCATGTGTATACGCGTACTGCGTGACGCGCTTGTTTCACAAGTTGCGCGCTACTGCAAGTGAGAGGGCTCTGGTTAGAGCAAGTGAAAATAGTATAAAGATTTGTAGCACTTTAACTTAAAATACTTACCATAAAAATAAAAATTAGCATTTACAAATGTTACAGGTTACTGGGCCGCGCTCAGCCTGTCATTCCGCCTAATCTCTATTGTTTATAAACATGATAGCCTGAGGTCCCCAGGTAATGACAAATGTACACAGAACGGTCAAAATCTAATCGCCACCCGCGTTTTGGTGGATTATACACTTACAAGTCCTTGCTACACGTTGTATACCTCTCTCGTGCACGCGAACCCGAAGCGTGCACTCCGGTGGCAGTATGCATGATGCATAATTTAATGCTTCAAATTAATGTATATTCTTGTCATACGTTGTATGACCCGCCACGCCCGAGTGGGGGTCACGACGTCATACAAGTATATTCTAGGTTTAATTATAACTTTCGCTGTTTTTAAATAAGCCTGAGTTCCCCAGGTAATAAATATTTAACGGGTGATACTCGTAAAATATCTGTTCCATACTCGGCGCGCGTCCTGGTAGGTTGTAAACCTACAAATAAATATGCATAAATTCTGACATTTTAATTTCTAGAAATAAAATGAATCACAAGTTTTAGCTGAAACAATTTCTTACAAAAACTAAATTCATAACATCAAATTCTGGTATTAAAAACTTCAAAAATGAAAAAGGTAATATTTTCAAAATGAGAGAAAATTCAATTTGAAATAAATTCCATTAAATTTCACGGTAAAATTATTGTGTAGTGAACCCGTGAATAAAATACTGTTAAAAACAGTTAATGAACATAAGTCTTCAATTGACGTCTCACCACGTGACGTTGTGCTAAACCACGTGACTGGTGACGTTGTGAAATAACAATACGACTTACCATCATTATCAATATATCCATTCTATTTCCAACACAAGTCAGAAAATACTTTCATTCAAAGTTCAGGTACATGCCAGATTGCAAGAATAAGCATGCACTCTATAGAGTCTAATATTAATAATATTATTAATGATATTACTAATATTAATAATATTAGTAATAAATTTATCATGAAATTATTTATAAAAGCTTTAAAACAAACAATTCTTATTAGAAACACGTTAAAAACCTCCAGTTTAGTGAAATCTGTATTAAAAACTTAAAACCCCTGGCCAATGTTGTGACCCCTGGCCAATGTTATTAAACGGAACTCTGTCACATTGTCAAACAGTGGCACAGTTCTCTGTCACATTTGGGAATTGTTACACTGCAAGAAATCGTCTGATTCATGTGAATAATAAATATAGAACCTATGGTAGGGCGGTACCGAGATTCAAACCAACTCTCTCGAATATGAGGCTGAGGATCAACCCAGTTGGCTGCTCTACCACTCAACTAGTACTACCATCAGTGTTGCGTTATTCCATTTAGATTAGAGTTCACAGCTTCTAGAAGCTTCTCCTCGTTTCCAGTAGAATCTACTGATAAAAGCCGCTCAATGAGCTGGTTTACTAGAGATGACGACACGTTTTCATCGTTAGAACTAGCTGGAATCATTAGAGGAACTTGGTCTGTTTTATGTTTGTTGGTGTTATTATTTAGATTGCTGGTTAGATTGTTGTTCAGATTGTTGTTCAGATTGTTGTTAATAGTATTGTTCAGGTTGTTGTTCATGCCATTGTTGATACTGCTCAGAACAGAGGTAAGCAGAGAGTTAAGCTGGTTAGTAACATCACTTCCAGCACTGTTGCCAGCTGCTGAGTTGCCAGCCTGAGAGTTCAGACCCTGAGCCTGGCTAACCAGAGGAGCATAACTGGAGTGAGGTCGAGAGTCAGAGAAACTGGAGGTAGGGTGGTGCTCTATCACTGTCAGAGGCTTGTTAGAGTTGCGCTGGTTCTGACTGAACATGGGAGATAATGCGGGAGAAAAGGGAACACTTCCCATGGGTGTTACCATGGGAACACTGCAAGCAGGTGTTACCATGCCATTACCCATTCCAAAGTCTGTGGTGAATATGGGTTTGGAGAGGGCACCGGCCTGCATCTCGGACTCGTTAGCTTCTTCTAGTCGGTACAGGCCATTACCAATAGGAACTGCTTTTAGTAACTTGGAGTTCTCAAAGCTCGGGGCACTGACTGAAGTCACCGGCACTGAAATTAACACGGTTATAATATTATAAATCATGATGTAGGGCGGGCCTAGGGGTAATGTTATGCAGGGGTAATGTTATGCGGGGGTAATGTAGGGGTAATGCAGGGGTAATGTTATGCAGGGGTAATGTTATGCGGGGGTAATGTTATGCGGGGGTAATGTAGGGTGATATAGGGCGGGCCTAGGGGTAATGTAATGTAAGGTGGGGAGTTGCTAATCAGATGAGATATTCTATACCCCCTTTTCTGCTTTATAATGTACCACATTAATTAAATATGACTGATTAAATGCTGAAGATAAAAGAAATATATTCATTTTGCTAAGATTATGTTTGCGTTTCATTGCTCAACAGCTGTTCGAAGGATCAAATATAAGATTATCTATCTACAGAACGCAGCATAGTTGAGCACATATCTACTTTAGACTGGTCCAGTATCATCATTGATCGGTGAACACGAACCCTATAAATGTTAAAGGACTGTCTTAAGGAAGCATATGCAAATGCAAACTTGGTCACTTTTCATGATCTGGAAATCAATCGGTTAAGTCTTCTGCGGAAATGCCTGTTGACCAAGCGCCCTGTCCAATCCTTAAGGGCCAGTGGCTTGAAAGCTCTCCCTGAGGAACAGGCTCGTGCGCTCCTCCAGGAGGTGGAAACAAAAGCAACCCTCCGTGCTATCGAGAACAAGTCAAGGCAGATTAACATCTTGAAGAAACAGATTGCTGATATTCAGAGAGATCATCCTGACTCTCCTGAACTTATCAAAGATAGCAAGTTGCTTCACATCCAACAGAAGAAGCTTTTAAAGAAGATGAAATTTTTAGAGGAGTGTGATGGCACTAAATTTTCAGAATGGAAGCCTAAGAAGAAGGTAGTAGCAGTTTCAGTGAATCAGTTTACAAGGAAGGTCACAGCTAAGAAGCTCAAGAGAAAGCTCAAAGCAAAAGCCAGGAAGAACAGGAAGAAAGAGCAGGCAATGAGGAAGAAAGCCAAGGAAGCTCTTGAGAGAAATCTTGTTGTTAACCTGACAGACATTGATATTCCGGATTATAGCATTGCGGTCCTTTCGTATGGTCCTGGATGGATACCCTGCCCGGATTTTGATGAGATGCAGTTCAAAGTAGATGGGTACAATGCTGCCAACAAACAAGCATGGAAAGCTGTTTTTAAGAACTCAGCACGGGATAACGAAGTTCCTATGGAGCTACTGAAGAAACCAGTAACAGCTCCTTGTACTTCTTTGGAAGACCCAGCCATCAAGTCTGCAAAAGACAACATTGTCAATTTTGTAGACAACTTCAAGCCCAGAAAAGTTGAATCTAATATGAACCGCTATGAGAGTGAAGGGTATATGTGGTTGAAGAAGGCTGTCAAGGATGGCTTAATAGCCATAACATCGGCTGATAAGGGCGGTGCGATAATCATTGTCACCCCTCAGATAATCAAGGATATCACTTCTGCCAAAGTTGAGGACCCTTTGAGATACAGACCTTTGCAAACTGATCCTACTGGATCTTTGAGAGGGAGGTTGTTAGAGCTGTGGTCATCTGGTTTGGAGCGGAAGTATGTAAGTGGTGAACAGTCTAAGTGTGTGGTTGGTTTGATTCAGAAGTCTGATCGGGACACTCTTTCACAGAGCACTTCAGATCTAGTCAAGCCCGATATTCCGTATGGTTACCCATTACTGAAAATTCACAAGCTGACTGAGACTGAACTTAGAGAGAAAAAGATTCCACCCAGTCGATTCGTGACTGATCTCTCTAGAGGAGTAACTGCAAGATCAGATAAGTTTGTTGTTTGGAAGTGGTTGGGACCTCTTGCCAGGGATTACTGTATAGATCTTGTTAAAGATTCAACTGCAGCTCTCATAAAACTCGAGGAATTGGCAGCTTCCGGACAAGTAGTCGATACTTGGATCAGCTTCAGTATTGATATTGTTTCTCTATACGATTCTCTGCAACATAGCTTGGTGATGTCAGCCTTAGATGATGCTATGGAGTCGTGTAGACCAGATTGGTCTGAGGAGTTCAGGACTTGGCTGAAGGGACTGATACAGCTTAGTTTTGATTCGGCAGTCTTGAAGAATGCAGACAACTGGTATGAGGTCGTTAACGGTGTACCCACTGGAGGTATCAATTCAGTGGATTGCGGTAACATTGCTTTGTTCTTTGTCCTAAAGAGTCTGGTTTACGACCCGGTTGTTAGACCAGAGGAGCTCAAGAACCTTGATCGGTTTGTGGATGATATTTCGGGCCAAGGTATGTGGAGAGGTTCTATGATTGGTTTTGAAGAATGGGTAGGGTCATTACGCAGTAAGATGGTTGATAACTATGGCTTAGATATTACATACGAAGTGAAACCAATCACGGAGTTCACTCAGTTCCTGGACATTCAGTACAAGTTTGTTGGAGGGAGACTCACAACAGATCTGTTTAGGAAACCTACTGACGCCAACAGGTATCTTGAATTCTCAAGTTTCCATCCACGACATACCTTCCGGAGTATAGTCTTCTCACAGGCACTTCGATACAGAAGGATAATCAATGATGACGTCTTGCTGGATGAGAGATTGGCAGAGCTTCAGTTGTTTTTTGAACGGTCTTCATATCCTACTGATATGGTGAGAGAGGTCATCAGTGATGTCAGATCGATACCAAGAACTTTACAGTACAAGGCAAAGGATCAGGGTCCCCCTTCTTTCACACCATGGATTGTTACATTCGGTGCGGGCTATGAGGAAACCAAGGAAAAGGCTAAAGAGGCCAGTAACATCATCTCAAATAGCCGTACATGGAGCAGTGAGAACCCTGAGAGGATCCCTAAACTCCAAGTGGTGACCAGGCGAGCCCCTAACTTAAAGGACACTTTATTCAAGAGAAAGAAGCTTGCCTTAGGTTCAGAGTCAAGAACAACTGACCCATGCACCAAACCTGGTGAGAAGAAGAAAGGCAGACCCTGCCAAACTTGTCAGCTTGTGAGTGGCAATTCCATGGTCTCCAATAATGGACACTCAGTCAGAACTCAAGGTGGTAACTGTAAGACACGCAACATTGTGTACGGCGCGACGTGCAAACTTTGTACTGTTAATAACGTATACGTGGGAAAAACAGTCACCAGCCTCAGCCAACGTGTGAATGGTCATCGCAGTAAATATTATGAGATTTTAGAGGCGAGTAGTAAGGGGAATGTTGAGAGCCACAGAGATTTTGATGACGAGAATGTTTTAAGGTCACATCTTTTTTCAGTTCATAATTTGAGGGAGAGATCTGTTTTCAATGAAAGTTTCCATTTTGATATTTTGTGTTCTACATCCCCAGATAATATTAGAAAGTCAGAACAGTTTTATATTAACAAATTGAAGACACTTTATCCGTTTGGCCTGAACAATGTGAATTCCGTTTCTGGAAGCTAATTTTTCATGGTGTCCCGAATTTTATTTTTAAATCGTCCATTTTTTGTTTATATATGCAGTCTATCAATTTTTGAATTGCGTCTTTTTGATTTAATGAACTACTGCAGACTCCACATTATTATAGTATATGCCATTAATTTTGTTCCGATTTTAAACTATTCCATTTTTACGAGATGCTAAATTAATTTTTTGAGACTTAACTACATTTTTGATGAGAATTTTTGACATTTTCAAACTAACCATTGATATTCTCAGATTATGTGACTGATTAAATGCTGAAGATAAAAGAAATATATTCATTTTGCTAAGATTATGTTTGCGTTTCATTGCTCAACAGCTGTTCGAAGGATCAAATATAAGATTAATAAACCGTGTAACTATAACCCAAGAAAATAGAGAAGAGGGAGGGCTACAGTAATAATATGCAAGTTTGAGCAATATTTCATTGTCAGGAGGCGGGAAGATGTCCGTCAAGCAGATTGTTATTATAGGCATTACCAGGTTACAAAATCCGTTTATTATAATCAGAAACTAAATTACCGGCACTGAAATAAGCAAGCTATTTTACAGTACTGGGGATCGTTCATATATATTACATAAGCAATTTCAGACTCATCCTCTTTTCTGTCAAACTCCGTAATAGGTATTATGCCGGTCCCGTCAGGATGGGGCCATCAAAATGTGGTCAAAATGCGCGGACGAAACAGACTTCTTATCTTCTAGCACATTTTATACAGATTAGCACATATAGAGGTTGTGTAACTTGTGGTATATAGTGCTTCAGTGATGCTAATAACCTATTTTCAAGCCCTAGATGTATGTTCAACTGCATATATGCCGTCCAAAAATGAGAATTCAATTTCGGCCACATTTCTAGGGCCCCATTCTGACGGGACCGGTAGAAAACATTTAAGAGTTCGTAAAAACCGGAAACCCCTTAATTTGTGAACAAACTTTAAAGTTCAGATTTTGTCTATATCAAGTGTTAAACCGTTAACAACTAGGTTGACGTGTTGGGAGCAGAACAAAACAAAGTTCAAATAATCAACTAAACGAGGTTTCAATAGTCTATTTTGCCCTGCAGCAGCGGTAAGTATAATATAATCAGTGAACGATCCCTTACTGCGCCAAGATCTGACTGCACTTACCCAGGTTGATAGTATTTCCAGAGTTGCTACCTCGCGGCTCCGGTGCAGGTGAGATGGGTGTCAGACCTACACCACTGGGCATGACAGAGGGAATGTGAGACATGGAGGTAATTGGAGGAGGAGGGGGAGGCGGCAGGTTAACTGGCTTCACTCCTCTCGATCTGCGCCCTCCTCTTCCTTTCTTCACTGTTGTAGTGTTGGCTGCTACTGATGCAGCGTTCGGGTGACCAGCTGAGGGAGGATATACTTGTAAGATGTTAGTGTAGAAGACCCCCATGTTAGGGGTTGATAAGGTGCTTTACTCTGTTTCAACCACAATATAAAGTAGTTCTTAGTTTTATAATCCGGTTCTAAATGAGGTAAAAAGGTAAAGTAAGAGAAGATAAGAACCTGTTCCAATGACGGTATCCTCGTTGGCAGGCAACTGACAATCCTTGAAAGTCTCTGGGATAAACTTGTATGGTTTTTTGGACCCTCTGTAGCAGTACTTCTTTCTAGCAGGTTTAGGAGCATCGTCATTCCTGGTAAGTACCTTGCGGGGTTTCAGGGGAGGCTGTCTCTTCTTGCCTGGTCTGAAGGAGTGAGAATATGTTATGGTGCGGACTATTAATCATATCTAATTATAAAAACTTATTATTAGATAAAGGTCTAATCGATTAGTTAATTGATGACTTTAATTAACCCAGTTGAATACTCAAAGATAAACAGTATAAGATAGCTTACCCTATGTCGTGTAAATTACAGCGCAGCATGGTTTTGCACGTGCACCTCAGTGCCCCAGAGTCTCTGATGGGGCTGTTCTCTTTCAGAATATCCAGCAAGTTCTCCAGACTGGTCATATCAGAGAGGATGTTGTACTCACTGCGCGGCGGCAGCTCGGGGGACTTGGCACGTGACGTGGTGGGTTGTTGTGATGCAGACGTCACAGGCTCACTTGATGACGTCACTGGAGTGTCAGGAGGTGATGTCACAGCAGGAGAGGCGGGAGAGTCGAAGAGAGATGGAATGTTGATAACAGGGCGCATGTCAGGGTTGAAGGTGGGCTTGGCGGGTTCTTTGTTGTAAGCTATTGTAACATTTGGGGGAGGTGCTGATTTGACAAACGGCCGAGGGGTTGTTGCGGTTAGGATATCAGATGTGTTGAAGTTGCTGGAAATAACAGATATTTCAGGTTGAGATGCCTCACCGCTCGCAACACGTTGAGACGCCTCCACGGTGGTATTTTCAGTGGAGACACTGGCGTGTGAGGTAGAGGGAGACTGAGTGGTTAAGGGGAGGGAGGAGGAGGAGGTAGACAGGGAGGAGGATATAATTCCGGGAGAGGAAACAGGGAAGTCTTGGATCGGGATTGTGATACTGGATATGGTGCTATGTTTTATAGGGGATACGTTGCTAGCAGTGGTGGCTTGCTCACCAGTCTGTCCTGTCATATACTCTGATAGCAGCTGACTACAAAGTGCCTGGTAAGAGTGAGATGAGTTCTTGGAGAGATCGTTCAGTATCTCCAATATCTCGTTAAGAGTATCCTTCTTCTCTCCTGGTCGATCTGTTGAGGGTGTTGTTTCCATAGCAACACTCTCCAGCTCCTTCTTCACTGCAACAGGAGGCTGTGCTTCCATTGGTTGTTCCTCAATTTGTTGCTCCGTGACGGCAACATTAACTATAACTTCGGGTTTCTCCTCTTCTTCAAACTTCTTTAAATTCACTATCACCTCCTCTTCTTTAATCACTTCAGGTTCAGGTTTAGGAACACGTTTCTTGAAACATCTTCTCTTTTTCTTAGAACTAAGTTGCTCTCGAGCACGCTGGACTGATCTTTTGATACTGTCAACTTTAGGACCACTATTGTGTCGTCGAACCTGGGAAATAGCGCGTGTTATTTGAGCAATATCACCGGTTCTCTATAGCTTCTTAGTCTTAGTACAATCAAGTTTTTTCTGAGTAACATAAAGTGTTATCTGAGCAAAATATTGTTTTATCTGGGAAAATATCGCCAGTTCTCTTACCTTGTTTTTTAAAGTCACTGGTACTTTGAAGTTCAGTCTTCTACTTTGGTCCAATCTCTGTTGTTTCGGATTACCTTCCGTTTCTGAAATGCGTTTTAATAAGTGGATTCAGTTTAATTATTTAAAAGAGTTTCAATAGATGTAATAATGAAATTAAAGTAACCAGGTAATACTGTAATAGTAACCAGGTAACAGTAACCAGGTAACAGTAACTAGGTAACAGTAACCAGGTAACAGTAACCAGGTAACAGTAACCAGGTAACAGTAACAGTAACTAGGTAACAGTGACAGTAACCAGGTAACAGTAACCAGGTAACAGTAACCAGGTAACAGTAACCAGGTAACAGTAACCAGGTAACAGTAACCATGTAACAGTAACTAGGTAACAGTAACCAGGTAACAGTAACCAGGTAACAGTAACTAGGTAACAGTAACCAGGTAACAGTAACCAGGTCACAGGGGGTCACAGTAACCAATTTTAAGTAACCAGGTAATACTGTAATAGTAACTAGGTATCAGTAACCAGGTAACAGTAACCAGGTAACAGTAACCAGGTAACAGTAACCAGGTAACAGTAACCAGGTAACAGTAACCAGGTAACAGTAACCAGGTAACAGTAACCAGGTAACAGTAACCAGGTAACAGTAACCAAGTAACAGTAACCAGGTAACAGTAACAGTAACCAGGTAACAGTAACCAGGTCACAGGGGGTCACAGTAACCAGGTATTAGTAACCAGGTAACAGTAACTAGGTAACAGTAACCAGGTAACAGTAACCAACCAGGTAACAGTAACAGAACAGGTATGAGTGACGCAGTGCCCAAAGTATGCAAAGTGATTTACAGATCTCATCATATCGCATCCTCACAGTATATTCTTATATTCGGAAAGAGTGTAGGTCGGTTCACGTGAGTATTAATATTTTATCGGGCACACACAAAGTAGGCTCATCTCAAGTTACATATTTATTTTGTGACACGTGGTCTGGTCGGAGGACTCGTCACCGTACCACGTGGTCGGGACACCACGTGGTACAGTTGCCATGGTAACGTGACTTATCACACTGTCACGTGGTCCTACGTGTAACATCACACCAGCATCACTAAGTTAATTATATTTCTCTTTACAATATAAACTTTACATTCAGAGCCCACGTGCCGCTAGGCTCCCACGTGACACACTTTCTGCCCAATGATAAGAAAAGAGATCCATTGCGGTCCAATGAGTAGTTGTCACGTGGTAGCCAGAGCAACGCACGTGGCAGCTCGCTACAGAATGTGTCACGTGAGGGATCTGGTGTAAGGCAAATGAGAGGGATCTTGAGAGCAGTGTGAACACAACAAATGTACATTAAAATATGGATCCCGGCTAGTAACGGCATTTTGTATACCTGAAACGAGACAGTGAGTTGTTGACTTGTGGAGGGTGAACTGTGAGAGAGTGAGGGAGAGTGAGAGAGAGTAACAGAGAGTGAGGGAGAGTGAGGGTGAACTGTGAGAGAGTGAGGGAGAGTGAGGGAGAGTGAGGGAGAGTGAGAGAGGGGTTACCTTTAGTTATAGGGTCGTGGTTGTGAGGCCCAGTGGAGCCAACTATGGTGTCCCCGAACGTGTAGACCGCACAGCAGCAGTAAAGTCTCCTGTAGTGTCTGCAAACCCACACGCCACATCTGCAAGCCTGCAAGGGAGAGAGAGAGGGCTGTTAGTATCCGGTTATCTATTTTGGAACGTTTGATAACTGCCGGCTAGTAACCTTACTCAAACTATAAATATAGCATGACCCTTACCGTATATAGTAACCCTAATGACTAACCCTTAAAGTTAATGCACAATCCCACCCATACCCTGAAACTTATGTCTAGGATGGGGGAGGGGAGTGGGGAGGGGAGGGGAGGGGGGGGGGGGCTAAGAGTTCATATGCAGCCCGAGAGATGGCAAAATCCTGCAGTTAGCCCATTAAGCTAATGCACGTTTCCAACGTGGTGCTGGTCGGTGATACTGATATAGCCAGGATGGTGATATCCTCCTCCAGCCTGACCAGCTCTACTAGACCTTAGTAAGGAGGGAAAACACTTCACTAGACCAGGACTCTCTCTCTTTGAGACCCGACAAAGTTAGCCATGTCATGGTTCTCGGTGAGACAGTGGCCGGTAAAGTGTGACATATCACTCGCTTTCCTCATCACATGGTTACATATTCCTAATGTAACCCCGCTAAGAAGTAAAGGATCTAAATTATGAGTCGAGGCAACATCAAGAAGTTGATGTCCTGAGGGGGGTTTGAGTCATCTTCATACTTTACAGGAGAACTATAACAGCACCGCACACTGAGTCATCTTCATACCTCCCTTTACAAGATAACTATAACATCACCGCACACTGAGTCATCTTCATACCTCACTTTACAAGATAACTATAACAGCACCGCACACTGAGTCATCTTCATACCTCACTTTACAGGATAACTATAACATCACCGCACACTGAGTCATCTTCATACCTCACTTTACAGGAGAGCTATAACAGCACCGCACACTGAGTCATCTTCATACCTCACTTTACAAGAGAGCTATAACATCACCGCACACTGAGTCATCTTCATACCTCACTTTACAAGAGAGCTATAACAGCACCGCACACTGAGTCATCTTCATACCTCACTTTACAAGAGAGCTATAACATCACCGCACACTGAGTCATCTTCATACCTCACTTTACAGGAGAACTATAACATCACCGCACACTGAGTCATCTTCATACCTCACTTTACAGGAGAACTATAACAGCACCGCACACTGAGTCATCTTCATACCTCACTTTACAGGAGAGCTATAACATCACCGCACACTGAGTCATCTTCATACCTCACTTTACAAGATAACTATAACAGCACCGCACACTGAGTCATCTTCATACCTCACTTTACAAGAGAGCTATAACATCACCGCACACTGAGTCATCTTCATACCTCACTTTACAGGAGAACTATAACAGCACCGCACACTGAGTCATCTTCATACCTCACTTTACAGGATAACTATAACATCACCGCACACTGAGTCATCTTCATACCTCACTTTACAGGATAACTATAACATCACCGCACACTGAGTCATCTTCATACCTCACTTTACAAGAGAGCTATAACAGCACCGCACACTGAGTCATCTTCATACCTCACTTTACAAGAGAGCTATAACAGCACCGCACACTGAGTCATCTTCATACCTCACTTTACAGGAGAGCTATAACAACACCGCACACTGAGTCATCTTCATACCTCACTTTACAGGAGAACTATAACAGCACCGCACACTGAGTCATCTTCATACCTCACTTTACAGGAGAACTATAACATCACCGCACACTGAGTCATCTTCATACCTCACTTTACAGGAGAACTATAACATCACCGCACACTGAGTCATCTTCATACCTCACTTTACAAGAGAGCTATAACATCACCGCACACTGAGTCATCTTCATACCTCACTTTACAGGAGAACTATAACAGCACCGCACACTGAGTCATCTTCATACCTCACTTTACAGGAGAACTATAACATCACCGCACACTGAGTCATCTTCATACCTCACTTTACAGGAGAACTATAACATCACCGCACACTGAGTCATCTTCATACCTCACTTTACAGGAGAACTATAACATCACCGCACACTGAGTCATCTTCATACCTCACTTTACAGGAGAACTATAACATCACCGCACACTGAGTCATCTTCATACCTCACTTTACAAGAGAGCTATAACATCACCGCACACTGAGTCATCTTCATACCTCACTTTACAAGATAACTATAACAGCACCGCACACTGAGTCATCTTCATACCTCACTTTACAAGATAACTATAACATCACCGCACACTGAGTCATCTTCATACTTTACAAGAGAGCTATAACAGCACCGCACACTGACTCATCTTCATACCTCACTTTACAAGAGAGCTATAACATCACCGCACACTGAGTCATCTTCATACCTCACTTTACAAGATAACTATAACAGCACCGCACACTGAGTCATCTTCATACCTCACTTTACAAGCGAGCTATAACATCACCGCACACTGAGTCATCTTCATACCTCACTTTACAGGAGAACTATGACAGCACCGCACACTGAGTCATCTTCATACCTCACTTTACAGGAGAACTATAACATCACCGCACACTGAGTCATCTTCATACCTCACTTTACAGGAGAACTATAACATCACCGCACACTGAGTCATCTTCATACCTCACTTTACAAGAGAGCTATAACATCACCGCACACTGAGTCATCTTCATACCTCACTTTACAGGAGAACTATAACAGCACCGCACACTGAGTCATCTTCATACCTCACTTTACAGGAGAACTATAACATCACCGCACACTGAGTCATCTTCATACCTCACTTTACAGGAGAACTATAACATCACCGCACACTGAGTCATCTTCATACCTCACTTTACAGGAGAACTATAACATCACCGCACACTGAGTCATCTTCATACCTCACTTTACAGGAGAACTATAACATCACCGCACACTGAGTCATCTTCATACCTCACTTTACAAGAGAGCTATAACATCACCGCACACTGAGTCATCTTCATACCTCACTTTACAAGATAACTATAACAGCACCGCACACTGAGTCATCTTCATACCTCACTTTACAAGATAACTATAACATCACCGCACACTGAGTCATCTTCATACTTTACAAGAGAGCTATAACAGCACCGCACACTGACTCATCTTCATACCTCACTTTACAAGAGAGCTATAACATCACCGCACACTGAGTCATCTTCATACCTCACTTTACAAGATAACTATAACAGCACCGCACACTGAGTCATCTTCATACCTCACTTTACAAGCGAGCTATAACATCACCGCACACTGAGTCATCTTCATACCTCACTTTACAGGAGAACTATAACATCACCGCACACTGAGTCATCTTCATACCTCACTTTACAGGATAACTATAAAACTTATAACAGCAACGCACACTCATGACTGTCAAGTCTCTGGATTCAGATCGATCAAACTTTTTATGTGCCTCGACAAATGTTTCCCAACGCCTCCGAAAGTCAATTTACAGTCTTTACAGGACAAAAACTACAGTTGCCATGGTAACGTGACTAACACGTTCACTTCAAGAAAATGTCTATAAAAGGTATGATTCGGACAGTTCTTACAAGCATACGAGCACGAGAACACTTGGAAATATGTAAAATCCATCCGAGGAATGATAATAGCTTTACGATAATAAGGCCGATAAAAAAGCAGTCAGAAGACAGTTAAAACAGGGGGGGGGGGGGGGGGGGGGGGGGGGGGGGGGACCGGGGGGGAGGTCACTGAGGGAATCGTGCAGGAAGCCCAACTAAGGTGTCGTTAGCAAACTATCACACGATGACCCAATCAATTTTGCTCGAACTAGATAATATTATCTAATGTGTACAGGAAATCACCAAGGCAGAACAGAATGTATGTCTTATCTTTAACATATGTTTAAGGGACAACTTTAACTAAGATAACACTTACAAAGTGCATATTTGCTGACTTCAAATATTAAACGAAATGATGGTTCCTACCTTTCCGAATTTGTTTTTCTTGTTGATTGTTCTCTTGAAATAGTAGACATGTCCACGAGTATCCTCCAGGACTCTACTCTTGTTGCTTGGATACACTACTTTACTCTTCTGTTCGTTGGACAGGAACTTGGCGAAGTCTCCTGGTTCCTTCAAATCCTGTAATACGTTAGGTTAGACTCTACCTTAGAGCTGATGAGGGTGTTTTGTTTACAGTGATTTTTATTTTTTAATCAATATTACTTATATACAGCGTTGATTTTTCTTAAGTTAGGATTTCAAGTTAGAGATATAATAACTGACAGTAACTGTGAGAGGGATACAGATAACAGATTTATAAATAGAATTATACTTATAGCGAGATAATATAAATGTAAGTAGAACTATAGCTTTACAGGTGGTAGAAATACAGTTACAATTTACCAAGTAAAGATAATACTATCATCTTGTACCTATCAGACGAAAATAGACTTAATATTAATAGATAAGAAGTAAAACCTGATAGCACTCATCAGTAGTCTCAGAATTAGATTCACCCAACATTTTCAGTACCGTAGCTAGATTCTTAGATTCTGAAGTGGTTATAAGATTTTAATTAAAGGTAGGTCAAGAAGCGAGGTTCAAATTGAACTTAGAGCTGAATAGTCGGGTTTTTTCATGGGAACAAACCTTTCAGGTTATGATAATATTCAATAACTACTAAGTTCTGTTACGTTAGAGAATAAGATTTAAAAATACGTGTTTAAATATAGAAACAAAATATTGTGCCAGCTGATGATGTTATAGTTTAGGGTAGATAAAATAAGATGCAAGGATAGCAGCTGACTGTTAAGGTTGAGCACTTAATGAAATCAGACGAAGGACCTAGAATTGAAATATGTGTAGCTTACCAGCGGCATTCATAGCGATACATACACTGTTCAGAAGTATTACCCGATCATATGACTCTACCTGTACAGTTTAGTGGGTTAATTGGGTAATCAATTAATTAATTAATTAGTGAGGTTTGTTAGCAAGTATAAAGATTAAATTTCTATATTACTGGTAAATGTCTATAAAACTGGTGCTTACAATGTTGAAAATTATTTTATACTATTCGGTAAATTAGTAAATGAAACAAACTTGAAGTAAGATAAAAGCATTAGTTTTCAAATTTGAAAAGTACATTTGCAAGCTTGTTATTCGTAATTTTGTACACAAATTTTGTACACACATATCAAAATTGAAAGAAATTAAAGGTAAAAATATAAAATTCAATTCTCAGATTTGTAAAAAAATAAAAATCGTTAAAAAGGATAAAAATCTCGAAAACATTTCAAATTTGACTCATAAATGGTGTGGGAGGTTAGACCAACATCAAAAACTCTACTGCCGTTAGACATGCAGCTCACAACAAACAACTCTCGTTACCTGCTCATTTTGGTTATGTATCAGTACAATCTTGTGCCAACCTTGATTCGTTGCCGCTAAATTGTATGTCAAACATTCCTCAACATTAAAAAATAAGTTCATATACACTGCTCTTATAATTTAGATCCTATATTCCTTACTCTAACCGTACCATTTTTGTTTTTTCACCAAGAATCTCTGAAGTCTGAACACTCATAAATTCCTGACAGAAATGTGACATCATAAATTAAATGCGAGCAGAAGTGTAAGTAGCGAGCAGAAGGGATCAGAATCCCATCTGCCTCAACTCTTCAAAACCACCGTTATCCACAAAGTAGATCTCTCCAGACCAGCCCAACTTAATAAAATCTTTAGCAGCCGAGAAGGCCGCATCCCCCTCCTCAGAGTACAGCACGAGAGTCTGCTGCTTTCTCAGCGTCTTCAGGAACTTCTTAATCCTCCTTTTCTTGTTGGGTACCCTGACAGCTCTATTCAGAACACCTGACTCAGCCTTACTAGTCTGCACGTCCACCAGCTGCATGTTCTCTGCTCGGTTGTTGAAGGCACGGCGTGAGTGGATGTGAGAGATGGGGAAGAGGTCGGGGACACAGACTGTTCCTTCCACCAGCAATGTAACAGGCTGCTTTAGAAGGCTGGGAGTCAGAGGTCAGCTGTTGAGAGTGTGCTGCTATTCTCCCAGCTAGACCGGGGAATCCTCCTGAGTGAAGCGAGTGCACGTTGCTGAACCCGTACCTCAGCAGTTTCAGAGCCGCACTCAGCGCTCTGGTCCCACCCTTACAGTACACTAGAATATTACTGTCCTCCTTAGCACCCGCCAGTTGGTCCCACAGGTGCTGGTAGTTCACAGCAGGGTTCACTGCTAGGCCAGGAGTGTGGAGGGACATGTTAGAGTGGCCCTCCTCCCACTCCTCATCAGACCTCACGTCTACTCTGTAGTCAAACTCCGTGAACCTGCTCACTGCTTCCTCCTCACTAACCATGCTGGGGCACTGTGACACTGAATCTTCACTCCCCTCCACACACTGCTGCACGGTAGGGGGAGGCAACTCACAAAAGCCTGTATCTTTACACATACCCCCGTAGGAGGGGAAGGAAAGCTGACCCCTCCTGGTGAGATCACACTGACAGGGGTTATCACAGGTGGTGAAACAGTCAGCTCCACAGGGTGACATCTTCAGACACATCTGGGGAGGGTTACTGGCACTGCACACTGAGAGAACAGTCAGAAGGAGGAGGAGGAGGAGGTGTGACGTCATCATTACTATTTATCAGCTTTACGGGGCACTACTTACTTCGCTGATTGACCTTTTTAACTGTCCACTGATCTTCACGCTTCAGTGATTTAACTGAGACGCTGAAAATTTAATGGTAGCAAGATGCTTCTTAATTGTAATAATGAAATAATTTTACAGTGAATGATGATGAATTAACCATTGCTTGAGTTTAGCGAAATTAATTGCAATATGCTCGGCTACCGAAAGAGAATAATCGATGGGGTGAATATAATTTTTGCTCGGCGACGATTAATTTTGAATTTAAAATAAATCATGAACCATTACTCGGTCGATCTACAATTAAAAATACTTAATATTAGAATAAATTTGATTGGCCTTTAATTAAGAGGCTACATAAGGTTATTAATGTATAATAGTCTCAAGAGATCAGCACTGTTTGGGACCACAAAACTTGCTGAACTAGCGGGAAAGGTTGCTGCTCAAATAATATTATAGTGGTTTCTTCTACAGACTCCTCTTTTGGTGCAGTCACACAGATTATACGGTCAATGAAAAACACGAAACCTAAAAATAACAAGGTCTCATCAGAATATAGATGGATTTAAGGGTGATTATTTTAAAATGATGATGTGTGGCACAATCATTAGAGAGAAGAGATCACAAGCTATTATTTTATAACCAACAATTGATTGAGCAGAAACAGGTGCACCAGCTACAGACAGGTGATTATAAAATTGTAAACAATATTAGCAGTACAACATTAGTGTCAAAACTAATTATATAACAGAGACAAAGACAATGAGAGCCACGGTTGATAACATAAAGAGCACGAGCAAAGTACAATGGAATGAATCGTGTGCGGTTCAACTTGGAAACCAGGACGGAAGCTAACTTCAAAACTGAGGGAGAGATAAAGTGTGCTGATTAGAAACCCGGGTGCAGTAAAACTAGAAGCAGAGAACGTTCCTGGAGAGAGAGAGAGACAGAGAGAGAGAGAGAGCGAGGTAAGAGGAATGTGCTGGTTACCACGTGACTTGAGCTCTACTACAGAGTAACACGTGACTTTAGAGCCCCACGTGACAGCGCTCCGTAAAAAGCACACTGCAACTCAACACTAAACACTGTCAAACTATAGGTCACGTGACGCGCAGTGCACGTGTGAACTGGTCAGTGTTAACACTTGGTACCGGCTAGGAACAGTAGTGGGACCTGGACTACACTCCAGTGTAGTGTGTCCCGTTAAAACAACAACACGTATTAGTGGAGAGGAGGAGCAATTACAAAGATTAGCGTACCGGGTCTCTCTACTCTCTCTGGGTCAGGTGACTTGGCAACACACAGCCCGATCACGTGACCTAGCAACACAGAGCAGTCCCACGTGACTTGGCAAGACACATCAACACCACGTGACGCGGCCCGCACTCAGCCAGACCCACGTGATACTTCTACACTCACACATTAACATGTCTTACACTCTACAATACAGAGCCCACGTGCTACGAGCACTAAAACTCACCACGTGACTAATCTATCACGTGGGCAGAGAGACAGCAATCCGGTCAGGTGAGGATAAATGCTACCAGTCTTTTGAGAAAAGTCACGTGAGCAGCCCGCTCAGTAATCAGATAGGAGTAATGAGTCACGAGGTCCACTGGAAACTCAAGTGTCACGTGCTACTGCCGAGATTGTGTTATATGATTATCGCCCGGCCCACGTGACTCGTCGCCCGGGTAACCTGTGTAGCTTCTCTGAGATATCCTTGTTCCAAGTTCACGAGGGTCACGTGGTCACAGTCCAGTAAATACTCTCGCTCAATCCTACAGTGGGTGAGAGAGCAACCTGACAGCAAGCATTCCTCTCAGTCAGCTATTTAGTCGTCACTCTGCTCTCCAACACCACGTGACACACCTCTATTTACGTAGAAGACAGCCCGATAGTTACCATGACAACAGTACATTGGTCGACAGAGTAGCACGTGATCCAGGTGTACCACGTGATATTCTCGCCTAATGGTTATTGTAATCCTCCAAATATATGGGGAGCGCTGGAGAGTCACGTGACCTAACTGAGACAGTATCAGAGAATCTCACGTGGTCTCCCGGTCAATTAGAGCGGCCTGCAGATCCAGCCCACGTGACTGGAACAAAGCCCACGTGCACTTGACCAGGCTGCCTCAATTTTCAGTTTTAAAGTACAGGACCTCATGTGACACAGAGTCACTACTCACCGCCGCCCGCGCTAAAGCTGCCTTATATAAATACAGTGTGCGAGGTGTATTTGTTAGGTAGGGACTGGATACTGAATAAATACATTAAAGTGTACACTATTCTCATTCTTTACACTGTACACATGTGCACTGTACTAATGTACACCATACATTGTACACGGTGTACCTAGATACGGTACACTTTACACAATACACGTTTACTAATAGCACCACGTGGCAGGTAGTGGCACGTGTTCTTGCAAGATTACCCATTTTGACAGGGATGCTTGTCTCAATTATAAAACTAGGTGACGGTTGAGACTGGTAGCGATACAGTTCTGCTTTATATAATTTATATAATTAAACTTGTTTTTGAGTAAAACTGCAAATTTAAATGATATTGATTAATTATTGAGCTTACAAAATACAATAACTATAAGAACGGCGATGAATACGGTCCTTACGAACGTTTCAGAATCTTAGTAAACGTTAAGAGTAACACTGAATCCTGATAAACCGTGACCGGAATTTGCAGAAAGTATTTTACTTCCCCACAACTGAAACTTTACTGGCGTTGTAAACGTGTAAGCAAGAGACCTGATTGCTGATTTACCGGTATTTTTATTCTACGGGTGAAAAGTTGCCGAAATATTGAAAATCTAATTCCATTTCCCCAAAGAGATCCGCAGTGAATTGGGTTTAAACTGTACTTTTAAAGGTAAAACTAAATAATCATTAAGCGAGAATATCACGTGGTTATTAATATTATCTGGTAACTTGGTAAAGTAATCATTAATGTGACGTAATCATTAATGTAACGTAATCATTAATGGTAACTACATGGTAAGGAGCAGAGACGACGAGTTGACAACAAGAAATTTGTTATAATTATAAGTTCCTTGTTTCAACCTCAAAACTGTAACAGAATAGAGCTACAATCTTAGAATATACTGTCAGAGGCAATAATAGTGCACTAGTACGTAATATAGTACGTACTTGATATTATCATAGATTTTACCATACTGGACGTGAAATTATGTTCATGTCGCCTAATTTCTTAATTTGCATAGCTTTTACAATCCCAGCAGCAGCGCATGTAGTGCGTAACGTAACCTATAAACGCAAAACAGAACACTCAAATAGAACAAATACGCGTGTAAACTGTAAAGTGAAAGCTACAGCGCGTTTGTCAATAGCAACCCATGTGACATGCAAGTCACGAGGCTAAGATAACCAGTCCACGCCTCTTACACAGGCCCGCTCGGCGCCTCTTTCACTGCACCCCTGTTACTTAGCAACCACCCGCCCACGTGCAATATGGTGGCAGTCACGTGACTGCAATTAGCTTTGCACGTGATCGCCAGCCTGCAGTTCACTTATCAGTAATACACTGTCAGGTTCATTCACCTGTCAGATAAGCAACTATTCGGTAGCATGATTATCGTCTTATTTCAGCAGTTCAAACCTGAACACTTGAACAATATAGCTGTGTGCACGACTTTTCTATTTAATCAGAAAATCCACGACTCACTTTGGGTGTTGATGTCGAAGCACACGATTACAGTTCAATGTAACAGAACAAAATGGACTCTCTAACTATAAAGCCGCTATCACGATGGAAAATATCCATACAATATCAAATATGGATCCCTCAACAAACATAGATTTAGAATATACAACTGTATCACACACAAAGATAAACCGCGACAGTGACTGTACCGATTACGGATACGCTTGACCTCGAATCCCGCGAGGTTCTAACCTCGTGACTATGATCACGTGAGGGACACGTGGGGTATGAACAATAAACTAACAGTAACTTGTTCCCCCGGCACACCACATGACCGCATCGTCACAAGCTGTTCAGCTCATGATTGTTAACACAAACCCTCTGAAACAACAACCTCTCTTAGGTATCGTATCAATACCTCCACGAAGGAGTATTCCCCGAAAAGCTCAAACTTGCTAAGGTTATCCCACTCCATAAAGGAGGATCGCGCAGCGAAATTACAAACTACAGACCAATCTCACTTTTGTCCTGCTTCTCAAAGATATTCGAAAAAATAATGCATGCACGTTTAGTAAAGCACCTAAAATCACGTAATATTCTATATGCGTCGCAATTTGGTTTTAGATCGGGTCACAGTTGTGAACATGCGTTGCTTGAAGCTCAGTTTAACATACATAAAGCTCTAGAAAGGAAGCAAGTGTCAGCATTACTGCTTCTTGACTTCTCCAAGGCGTTTGACCTAGTAGACAGTGAGATACTGCTACATAAGCTGGAGCACTATGGTGTAAGAGGCCTTAGCTTATCCTGGTTTGAGTCTTATCTAACTAACCGGAAACAGTATGTTCACGTCAACGGTTGCAGTTCAGAAAAAATGGGATTGGAACATGGAGTTCCTCAAGGGTCCATTCTTGGTCCTATATTGTTCATTATTTACATAAACGACCTTGCAAATGTAAGCGATATAGCCCATTATATTTTCTTCGCTGATGATGCAAACATCATCGTTTCTGCCGACACGTACACTGAACTGAACATGCGTGCAAACAGAGTATTAAATACTGTACAGACATGGGTTAAAAACAACGGTCTTAAACTCAATATAGGAAAAACTAAATACATGATATTCACTAACAGATTACCAGAGGATATAAATATTAGTATAGAAGGACAGCGACTAGTGAAAAGTGAACATGAACGATTTTTAGGTGTCATTATTGACTCAAAACTTAGCTGGAGCCAGCACATTAAACAGTTAAAGACTAAAATATCCAGAAATGCAGGCGTAATGATGAAACTTAAAAGTTCCATTCCGAATAAAGCTCAAAAAATGCTATACAATAGTTTAATTCAATCTCACCTGTATTACTGCGCTATATACTGTTTGGGGTACTAAATCTTTAAATTCCATTCAGTCTTTATTCTCTGCTCAAAAGAAAGCTATTCGCGCCACTGATTCAGATTATCATAACTATTTTTACGACAAAGAAAAACGTAAACTACCATCTCACACAAAATCCATCTTCAACAAAATAGGAATTTTGGCTCTTCCTAACCTCATTGCTAAAAGCTGTCTAACTTTGATGCACAAGGTTTATATGGGAGTAGCACCATCGAGTATCTGTAGTATATTTGAAAAATCACCGCTTAGACAAACGGAAAGGAGAAATCCAAAGTATTTTGAAATTAAGTTCAACAGATTACGGATCACCGATTATAGCATCTCTAACGTAGGACCACGATTATATAACAACACGATAAACGAAATAAACAAAATCCTTCCCTTCAACGTACCTAAGTTACAAGATAAGTTTATTAATTCATACAAGGACAACATTGTACGTTACTTACTGGACAAACAAAAACTTGACCTAGAAAACCTTTCGTGGACGGACAAGAACTTTGTCCTTTACAACTTTTAAACAAAATATTAGCAAAATATAACAGCTGTAAGAATCCTAAACGTTAGTGCACTGTGCAGTCAAATAAATGAACTGCGAAAATGCATTTGACAGTCAGTCACTGCAATTTATTCTGCAACTTATTTTTCAATTTTCACTGCCACACTTAGGCTTATCTTGCCTACACATTTAAAAAAAAAAACGAAATTCCTTGCGCACCGCGTACTAAAATTACTTGGATTTCTACCGCTTTGATAAATGACTACATGAAGATGGGGAGTTAATATTGTTGATTTATATAATATAGATTATTTATTCTTTAGTGTAGATTAACTTTATTTTTATATATTTTACCAAGTGTGAAGGATCAACCATACGTTATTGATATTTTTGAAATATTTAATGATACATTGATATAATAATAAATGATTGTAATATTTTTATTGAGGCACATGCCACCCCATCGCGGGTTTACTACTACTACTACTACAATGTTTCCAGGACCCCTATTAACTGGGGTGACCGACAGCTTCACCTAATTTGACACATTTCCCACTCTTCGCCCAGTTCATACTACAACTGGACCCAAATACGACGACTTCACCCAAATTTACAGGACCAAAAAACACAAGTTTCTGGGAGCTATCATCCGGTATCAATTCACCTATAAATTATTACAATCCAGATAATATTATATTCTTATTCAAATGTGTACATTTTTTGATATTAAATTTATGTGAAACTTTAACGTTAAGGAGTGTTATGGAACGACAGCACATGACAGCGATGTAGTGGATGTAAACAGTAAAAATCGACGCTTACATCTTTCAAAATAGAACATAAAAGGAATTTGGATTGATTTTTAATAAATATCAAAATTATTTTCGATCCTTTCATCACAGAAAACAAACCTAATTAATTGAAGTGAAAGTAAGTCAGGTCCAGGCCCTATGGCTATATAATCTACATTTCAGAAAGTGTAAAATTTCTGAAATTCCGTCCACGCCGCAGTTCTAAACGTAATAAGCGAACTTCTTATTGTCCACCGGTTTTTATTTGGGGATTTACTTGCATCAGAAAAAAGATCAAATAACCGATACACATTTAAATTTAATGTTTTAATAAATACATAGACAGCTGGATATATTACAATAAAATTTAAACATTATTTATTTTCTGACAGCTATTTACATTTCCACAGTAAAAAATAATAAATGGAAAATGCCCAGTTTTATAATAATTTAGCTTCTGTCGGTGGCATTTTCCGTTGACTGTACACATAAAGCGAAAACATTTGGTAAAATCCAGATAACGTCAATAACGACTAGGATAAGTAAATATTAAAATGATAAGTAATAAAAAGTAATACTGATAGTAATAAAGCGGTTGAAGATATATTAATTAAACACCACCATAAATTAGTCAGATTCATCCTCCCAAAATCTAATATCAATTCTCATTTGTAAAACACACTGGGAAATCTGTTTATTTCAGAAATTTGGTGCTTTAGGATGACTATCAAGAACAAATCAATACCACACCAAGCACAATATATTCAAAAGCCAAAAAGGATAATTTCGAAGTTGTGGATTAGATGACCAGGTATATGAATAATATGATTAGTCAAAGTCAAGTTAACGGTTATTTCAGCAGGACGGATATGATGTAGGATAGAAGGTGGGATATATATTGTAGGATAGAAGGTGGGATATATATTGTAGGATAGAAGGTGGGATATATCTTGTAGGATAGAAGGTGGGATATATATTGTAGGATAGAAGGTGGGATATATATTGTAGGATAGAACGTAGGGTATAGGGTAGGATTGAAAGTGCGAGGGTAGTTCCACACCGTTACTCATCATCAGAGAAAGAGTCCTCAGTCAATTCGTGTTCCTGAAAAATATCTTTGATAAGATAAGATATAAGATAAAATTACGGCTGTAACAAGCAACACACTGTATACACGGCGAAATGTTTAAAAGTAGTAATTATTTAAAAAGATAATAGTGGTGGGTTATATTCGGTTTTTATTTCACACCTAGCAGTTAAAGTTACAATATTTGCGGTTTGTTCCCACCGTTCTCACGGTAGAACAGCATGTGGGTAACATTTTCTCAAGGTAGAATAGCACACGTAGGCACCATGTGACTGCAGTTTCCAAGGTCACGTGCCGCGCGATGCCAAGCACTCCAAACATACGAAGATACGAATGCTCCTAGTCCTATGATTTCGTTCGCACAATTCTGTTTTGTACACTCAGATTCATTGGTAGTCGTGATATTACAGTGCCGAGCCTTTTGGTTACTCGACTGCTAACACCACGTTTACCAACTTTTCCTCGTTACAAAACCTATCATTAGCAGTCTCATTAATAAAGTTAGTGTTACCTTGACATCCCTTTCAGAAGAAAGGTTGAGGTAAGCGTAGAAAACAGTGAGTTGTTCCTGCTCCTGGAGCTGATCCACTAAACTGTTCTCCTTGGCTCGTATCTCCTGCAATCACATAATATGTTATCCTAACAACTGAATAAGGTTACCATGGCAACTGCGTGAGGTTACCATGGCAATTACACGAGGTAACAATAGTAACCCGAATTATTATTATTAGACAATTTTCTTATTTTTTTTGGGGAGGCCGAGGAGGGATGGGGTTAAATTCAGCCGCTTTTTGTGTCTAATGATCATTCCGAGTAAAAACATCTAATTTCACCACAAAATTATGCATTATGACATTCAAAGTGAATTAATCTCGCAAAAATCGTGATCACGGTACTCCAAATCTATCACATCAGATTAGATTTAACGGATAAAATGTTCCGGTAATCTCTTACAATTATAAATCCTTTCATGCTAAATGGTAGTACGTCAAATTGATGGGATTTACCATGTAGACCCTGCTAAACAAGCATTAGATAAAATTAAAAGTAATGGAGAATGTTAGTTAAAACAACAGAAGGGGAAGCAGGGAGGGGTATAAAACCCCCGGTTCTAAATCTCCTTACTATCAGTATTCAGTACCCCTCGCTTCCTGTTTCAATGAGTTGGACGATTTTACTGGTTCTGACGTCATGCTATTCTCTCCTAGGTAATCACTTAATTAATTGATAATTAGGTAATTACATGGCTCGTTTAGTTACTTCTTCATAGCTGTTTTAGTGAGGTGTTTATGAAACTCCATGCCCAACTTAATATGGGTTTTTGTTTAACAATATCAAGTATTCCCCCAACACTCCTGTAACATGACTAGATTTCTTTAAATCTACTTCTTCTATTTTATCTTCCTCCACATGATTATCTTCCTTCACTTCATCAAAATGTACCCCAGGGGAAGGTGCGAGTTGGAGCTGGAATGATTTCTGGCTAAATGTAGGAAAGACAGGTCAGGAGAAGGGAGGCGATGATTATGTTGACTGGTTGGGTGACAGTTTCACCAGTAGTTTCTCAAGCAGCTCTAACTCCTGGTACTGGAGTACTACACCTACTGAATATCGTGAGTATTTCCTCCTCACCTTGTCGTATCTCGTATGAGCAATTTGTACGAGATTTATGTAACTTATTCTGAATGTACGGAGTTTGAAACGTAAACTCCAAGTGTGCCGGGTGTTGAGCTGTTCCCCAGTCCGCGGCCCCCCGTTTAACCCCCAGACTTGACACCGGAACCCCAGATACCTGTCCGCCTGACTACCCCTGGGTCTTCTACTCTGGTCGGTACTGCTGCAAGCACATATACGAGAAGTTTGAGTCCTTGTTCGATAGGAGTTGTGATGGGGGTCCGCTCACTATATCCAGCAAGTGCTGCCAGGATGATGATTACGTAGTGTGTGATACCAGACCTTGCACTGATTACTCGGGTAAAGTATAACTGCTACTTTTCAATAATAAAAAACAAAAGCAGTTCCCGTTGGTCGTATCTACGTGATTGTCAGACATTTTTGAACAGTCGAGATTACAAAACTGCAAATCATAAATAATGTTCCTATCCGGATATCAAATAACTAGGACTTCTCTCAACCTTAATGCCACCCCTAAAAGTGATTTCCGATATTCATTACCGGGAGATCCCTTGGTAAGTTTAAAGCATTTTTTGAGGGATTCGTTGTTTTGCTGGAGAACCGATCACAATTTACTGTGACTACGACCCTATTGTGATTTTCCGATCATCTTTCTCCTCCAGTATCCCATCATGTAAAGTGCATGTTCTTATAAGTGTGTCCTCCCCTCAGGCGATGAACTACTTTGGAATGGGATTATCATCCATATGCATGTTTGATGTTGGTGCAAAAAAATGTCCTGAAATTATAAAGTCTTTAGGTGCACCTAATAATGTAGACCGAATAGGCGCGGTTTGGCGTCTTTAAAGTTTGCACACAATGACCGGTACCTTTTTACACGCTATCATTAATAATAAAACTCTGCAGCAGAAACAACAGAGCCAGCTGGTACGAGCACATCTTATAAAGATCCTTCTTCAAGCCCACCTACAAGTCCTACAATCTCTACAATAACCAGCCGCAGCCCGACAGCATCTTCACCTTCTACCGACTGGGTAATTCATAAGTTTTATCTAATGTAGACTAGGTCCAAGGGCAGTGACGCAGTAACATTGGTATATTTCGAGTTTGTGGACCTGGGCGGTACCGGTGTAAAGACCACGTTTAAATTTTGGTAGATTCGACACTATTTATAACCGGTTCTGGCGAGGGAGGAATTTAGTGTGACAATTCTCAAGTATAATCCTCACATCATCGGATACTCCACCATCAGGACACCCCACCAATAGATGATACAAAGACCTACAAGATGGAGGAGGATGAGGACAGTGAAGACATTGAGAAGGCAGTAACAGCATATTACTCTGACTATAGTGGATGGTGGGATTGGGACGATTATTTGGTCACACGCCCACCACCCCATCCACCTCTTCCACCCCATCCACCGATACCTCCCCCAACTGACGTGGAGATCTACGAACAGGAACTCGTAGATATAGGTTTGTTATTCTAGTTCGTTAGTGATTTATATCTATGATTTTCTAATATTAATCTGTGACACTGATCAAAATGACCTTTAGAACATTCTGGCATGGAAATTCATGATGTCCTCACTCAAGATCTCTCAGTATGTATGTTCCTGTCTACCTTTGGAGATATCTGCGATCCTCAGTCTCAACAAAATCCAAAACCACTCACCGAGCTGAGCGACCCTTATTACGATCCTTTCTACGATTCTTACTACGATCCTTGGCTTTACGATCCTTACTACTCGTACGATCCTTACTACTACCCACATACGGACTCTATGGACGACACTGGTATGTACATTAATGCAATAATGGGCTAAAACAAGTTACAGACATGAAGAAGTTTAACTAAATAGGGGTGGATCACAGCTTGTAGACAAGAAAATACCCGTAGCCGATCTGTTGATGGGCTCTGGACCACGAGGGGTTCAGTCCACTCATAAGATGAGTAGACTGCTTTGAAACTTCAACAAATTAATCCAGTGGTTTTTTATATTTTCTCTCATATTTTCATAATACTAATCAGAAAGCCTAACAAAATCTGTCTTTATTTCAGGAACGTACAGCACTGATACATGGTGGTAGGTTTATCCAGGCCTTCATACTGAAAGTTGCTTAAAATATTTTTCATAGTTTTCAAGGTAATGTTTCCCAATTTTTAAGGTTTTCAAGTACATTAATTCGTGTAATTGCAAGGTCACCAAGGCTCTATAAAAGAGACACAGACACTGCAGATGAGAATCCGAAAAAAGTTGCAGAACGGAATTTGATGCAAAAGAAGAGAGATGTCGCTGGGCAGAATTCAAGAGGAAAGAGAGGGACGTTGCGAAGCAAGATTGGAAACAAAAGAAGAGACATTATTGAGGACGGAGGGAAGAAATCAGGGCACCAACGTCCCCCTCAACAATTCATAGACAAGATGAAGAAAGTTCTGGAGATACGGAAGAAGTTAGCGGAGACAGAGATTGTCCAACGTGAGACGGGTGAAACAGGAGGAGAAGAGACAGAAAAAAAGGAAGAAGAAGGAGAAGAGACGGAAGGAAAGAATGAGGATTTGAAACGCAGAAGGAAGCGGAGGTCAGTTAAGAAAGGCAGATGGCTCCGAGGGTATCGTCAGCCAGGAGGAATAGGCACCCGAGGGAAGAGGTCAGCAAAAGAGGAGTTCGTTAGAGGAAACAGAAATCACCACGTATAGTAGGAACTGTTAACAGAGGCCAACAGGGTACCCAGTTGATTCAAGGACTGTGAACCACACCCACGTTACTAAGCTTGATTTTCTAGGATTTCTTGTTTGATGTAACACACTCTCCTTTCGCAAGTCACGTGTGAGTGGATAAATATGTGTGTTATATCAAACAGGACGAATGGAATTTGGAGACTGGAATTTAACCGGTTTTGATACTGTCATTTGTCTTTCTTTGATAATGATATTTAACTGCATTTCAACTAACTGTATCATTTGTTCAATAAATGTGTGATCAAAATCTTTGTCAAAGTCAAGATCTTAAATCGGTCTTCTACATAATTGGGAGCTTTAGCATCATTAAACTCATGATATCTAAATTTGAATTTATGTCAAGACGAGCCAGAAGACCTTATAAGGAGGGAGCTTACAGATTGGGAAATTAAAAACAGTGGAATTTGATTATGACTTTTATATGTGCACTGTGTACAAACCACGCTTGCTGTCAGAATTATGATTTGATTAGAAATCCTTTTATTATACGACCTAATTAAATTCCAAATAGCATAGTTTTTATTATTAAATCGGCAATAATGACCAGTACAGGTAAAAACTGTTATTATGACATAATATTATAATGATAAGGTTTAAAAAAGGATATTAAACTAGTTGCATCCTTGCTTAGACAATGTCAAGGTGATAAATTTAACAATGTACCATATGTTTTGACTTTGTTCAGTTCTCACGTTTGAAACGATGCTGAAAAATACCGGATTTGAAACGGAAACATTTGTATAAATAAACGAAGTCAACTTAACCATTTCAAACAAAGAAGTTATAATCTTTAACACCAAAACTCAACCTTAGACCATTGCGGTAAATTTCTCACCTTTACAATATAAAGCATCCTCTGATGTCCAACAACTCATAAAATATTTCTATCATCTAAAGTAATCAAGCCAACAAACCCTTCTAAAAATTAAATATTTTGGTGTAGTGTTCTCTGTCATTGCTGCCCTGAGTGTGGCTAGCCCCGTGGAGCTGGAGGGACCACAGGGAAACTTTATCGACACTATCATAGAAATGGTTAAAGGATTTGTCTGCGACATGGACAAACTTCCGGTGAGACACTGCTATATTTGTAACTCGTATTGGTCAACCACTTACTTTGGTTAAAGCCCTTCTTCTTATTATCGAACTGTTTTTAAAGAAATGATCTTTAGTAAAAGTACGTTATTTGTATAATGGCCCAATACGGTGGGATTGCTATGGTAATATTATCTTCATTCAACATAAAATTGTATTTAACCGCAATAATTTACTTCAGTTCGACAACCAGATGATCCAAATGATCTTTAACATGGTGAAGGGATTCCTCTGCAAACACGAATAAGCTGTATCTACTCTAACAGAAGAAGTGTGATCCTCAGGATGACTGTGTGATGTTTGAATCAATAAAAACAGCTACGATTATTGGTTATGAACATTTTATAAAATCTTGAGTCTCGTTCCTTTAATGACAGGCAAGATGGTATTTAAAAAGTAAACTTTTCCCTTCATAAAGCACCAGGACTATTGACAAGGCTGTTGTCATATCCGATTTCTTTTTTGACACAAAAACAAGCTTACAGTTTGGGATCGTTCACATATTACGTAATAAATTTTTGAACAATCTTTGACCCCCCCCCCCCCTCTCCGTAATCAGTTTTACACATAGCTATTGTGTCAAAATTACACTAGCGTAATCATTTGGAACCCTCCCTCCTCCTCGGCTGATTACGTAATATTGTGTGAAGTGTGAACGTCCCCTTTGAACGTTTTCGCTTCAGTGCAATGTTCTAAAATCTTAAAATACTTGACCCCCTCTGAAAAGTTCGTCAGATCAGGCCGGCCGGACCGGATACGTCCAGGTTCCATTTATTACGCACTGGGCGTGCGCGCGCGCATTCAGCCAGTTAAATTTGATTTTAGCGATCACATTTTATCATAACAAAACTTTCGCGTCGGCGCTAAAATTTTAATGTAGACCTTATTTCCTAATTAGGCACGTTCAGAATTTGAATTTGTTGCGCAGGGATTAACAACCTAGTGTTAACAGTAAGGGCAGGTGGTCTGAGGAAACATATGTGAAATGTCTAGCTGTCTACAGCTACACGCCCGCTGTTACAACTTGTCAGGCATAATCTTAACACTGACATAATCATATTAATCCGAAAATATCAAATTTCAGAAGCTGTTACAATTGGCCGATCCTGGCTATAAATTTTAATCCTGATATTAAACAGCGAACAAGTTAATGAGGTAGTCTCTTAAAATAGTGCAGTACAGGGTACGAGAAAATGATAGTAGAATTTTAGACTGCAGAGCCATACGTACTCGATTATAGGGATTATAGAGCTATACTATATACTGTATATATACAGTATCATATTTCAAATCAGTTCCGTACAACAAACCAACAGCAGAGAAAAAAAAGTAATCGCTCATGCCATGTTACTGTACGGATTGATGGGACCTAACGGATTCCGGAAGGATGGTTGTAATTAAGGATGTGGACTTGACGGAAAATGGTAAAGGGGAGATCTCCAGAATTACAACCTTTCAACCCTTTGAAATAACAAGACTGACACAACATTAATATTTAAATATACAAATAAAATTCAGATCAGGCTGTAACAGGAGATTCCACAATTTTAAATTGAATTCAGCGTCCAAACAGCTCGAAGGATGCTTTGATTGGGGACCGTCCTCCAACTTCACAATCTTGTTTTCCACGACTCCCATCCAAACCATGATCATACTGGTGCACCAAGCTTTGGGGCATAATGCTCTGCAAATAAAACATCAAGCGGCGGAAACACCAATAACAATTAGGACCAATTCTAGGACGCATTGTTCAAACATATTTAATTATTATCATTTAGCGTTGTTGTGGTTTCCGCAACAGTTGTGGCTAGGTGCAGCGCAATGTATAAAGCGGTTGAAGGAGAAGTCAGATTTCTCCACCTCTAAAATTAGCATGTGCCGAACTACCCCCCCCCCCCCCCCGGCCATTCCCCCGCCCCCCCCCCCCCCCCCCCCCCCCAAGTGTAATAATTACTTACGCTCAGAATATTCTTAAGCTTCTTGTTCTGCTCCCATAGCCCCCAATATCTTCGCACATAACTTTCTTCAATGTTCCGTAATGTACTCTGCAGATAGTTATCATGGTCATGGTGACAAGAAAATAATTTCAAATACTTCAGATAATCATGTCGTCACGCTGGGTTATGACGTCACACCACGTGTTATGACGTCACACCACACATTAAAAGTTACCTTGTCAGATTCCCATGAGTTGTTATCAACACAATGTTGCAGTCTCAGTATCTCCCGCTCCCTATCTACTAAGTAAGAGATTAGCTCCTTGTCAGAGTTCGTCAACTTCAGGTCCTGAACGTCAAATTAAGTTCTGTGACGTAATAAAATTGCTGTGATGGGCTCATCTAAATTCATAAAAAATTTATTCTGCGAATTTTAAAGCTTACTGTACAGATCCATAAGCTATTTGTATTTAATTCAAAGATCAAACTGGATATTTGTATTTGTACCTTATTGTTGGTACGAGACAGCAGCTCATCTGATACCTGAAAAACAAGTTGTTTAGATAGAAACTTCTTTATATTTGATAGGATTTATGATCCTGGAATATTTATAAATTTTGTTATTCGTGGTTGACATAACTTTTCTAAACAGTTGTCAAGGTATAGCTATTACGTACTGCAATTTCTTATTTCATTCGTAGCACATAATATTGTTTCATAGCAATAATTAATTAGCACACAAATAACTAAATAAAACAACAGTCTAACAGAAATACAAAATTTAAATATAATCCCACAAAACTGCCATTACCTTAATATCATCAGTAACACGAAAAAAGCTTTAACTTACATCCAACTCCTAAAGTATGTCATGTGTCTCCGTAAAATAAATTACATTCCATTGAACACGAGAGCTAAACTGGTAATCTGGCCAAATACGGTTAAAACACTCTCTACAGCTGCTGTTATTAAGGTATTATTTGCCACACAAGTAGTTAGATTATACGTGTACAGTAGTGCAGTAGTGCAGTACCACTGCAGTGGAGGAGTTGTACAGATTTAAACAATATAGAGGATCTAAAAGCCATGTTTCTGAGAGGGAAGTGCAGATAAGTAACGGTGCAAATGGAGCTCTCTGATTGAACAAGACAAATCACGTGGTTTCAGGGAGCTGCTGTGATTGGTTAAAGTATTGGAAGTTTCGTGTTTCTAAGGTAGGTTCAGCACTTGTTTGGATACACCTGTACCTGTTTGGATATTATTGTAGCTATCTTATTTGTTGCTTTTGCTGTGGATCTGCTAGGACGATCTTTATTATTTTGTTTATTTACCTTTCACAAAAGTTTCGTTAATTAGTTTATATTTTACTTATTTGTTTAGAAAGTGAGACATAATGCTGAATTAGGATTGGTTGAACAGGTAATATAGGAAATGGAGACCTCCTCATCGCCCATCATAAAAATGTAAAAACTTCGACTCACTAATACCTATAATTTAAAACAAGATGATAAAATCATAAAAGTTGAACATCAATCAAAACAAGAAGTATTACATAAGCAAATATTTGCCACTTTAATAGTTAAAAAAATGAGCTATCAATTTAGTAACTATGGGATATAATGATGATAACAGTGATTTCTAAATGTTCCTTAATACAATCAGTTCACACTTAGAGTTTTACCGATCCACTTTTTAATCTTCATAAGTTCACCTCTAGCTATCTCATTCGTTTCGTACTGCATCATAAACCCATGCACATGTTTAACCTCGCTTAACTCCACGCTGTTTCCATTTTCTCGTAGATAGTGCGCGTACCACTCCCCCTCGTCGCGCAGCGTGTCTGCAGCCGCGACCGTTATGTACGCGGGGGGCAGGTTACTGACGTCTTCTGCGTGAAGCGGGAGCAGGTAACTATTACCCATAATCTCCATAAAAGTAACGTTATCAGAATGCTCAGCCAACATTTTAACTTCCTTTATCGTTTCCAACTGACTGGCATCCTTGTTTACCACTGTCTGCCAGAACTTGGGAGCTTTGGTCGGTATCTTTTCAGGGTCCCCCAACCAACGGGTAAATCTGTCTCCTCCTGATACATACATAGATATACAGGCCATGGCCATTTCAGGGTGAGGGAAGAATGAGGTGCCGTTATCTATCATGGAGGGGTGAGAGCTACTGTAACCTTGTAGAAGAGGGTAGAGGAGGATCTGCCCTGCTAGACCAGGTCTTTTCTTATCTTCTGGTGTCTTATCTTGAGGAGCGTCTTGTGTCTCTGTTTCTGGAAGTGCCTCTTCTGTCTCAGTCTCTGGAAGCACGTCCTGTGTCTCAGCCTCTAGTGGTGCCCCCTGTCTGTCTCTGTACAGCAGACTAACAGCAGCAGATAAGTTCCCTCCCGCACTATCTCCAGCTACAAAGATACTGTTACAATCCACCCCCAACATCTCACTGTTATCATGTACCCACTGCACTGCAGAGTAGCTGTCTATCAGACCAGCTGGGAAGCGGTGCTCTGGAGCTAGTCTGTACTCCACACTCACCACCACCATCTCCAAGTAGTGGGACATCTGAGAGATAGACTTGTTGAAGCCTGCCGCGGACAGAAAGCAGAACCCTCCCCCGTGTATGTACACTACACAGCCCTTGTTGGAGATTGTACATGGTTTGTACACGTACACTTCCACGTGCTTGTTTACTTTGTAGATGGTTTGTTCTGTAGTGGCAGATGATTTACCAGTGTACTTCATGAAACAGTCCAGGAAACCACGTGAGTACTTCATATCTAGGTAAATGTATTTATTCAACATCACCAAGCCCACCCACAGGTCAAAGAATACAAGCAATATGAATGCACGCTTGGGGACTTTGTTTGACTCAACTACCACGGCGATGGCATTCTTGGTGAAGGAGTAAAGTGAAGCAATGAGGATGACGATGGAGAGGAGGTTTCTCCACTGATAAGAAACATAACAAAGCAGTCCGAACAGGGGCACACTCTGTGCTAGCCAGAGTATCTTACTCGTTCCTCCTTCAAACATTCTAGCTAGTATAGGATAGTGTGTTAGTTTCAGTATATTAGATACATTACTCTTTCATCAGGACTTAGGTTCAGAGTCATAATAACAAGGCTCCTAAATCCACCAGACTGATAAGACAAGGCCTCACTAGTCACTAAGTGAGAATTGCCTCCCCACGTGTATTGCCATAGTAACGAACCTGGGTACTGTGAGGAATGTCAGAGTCAGGCGAGTTCTCGGACTGGTCGAATATGGCCTGATAGTCCCAAGTAGGAGAGGGTTGTAGTATTGGGGACAGTGTACCGTCAGAAGAACCACTCAGCTCTTGTAGCTCTAACCTGGGGTAGGGCACTCGTAATCGTGTGTATTATCGAGTATTATAGTAAATTACTAAGAGTAGTCACTAGTCAACTTTCAATTCTCAGGGCAACATGTGTTGATTAACACGCTCTAGCTAGCATTTTATCAATATCGTTTTATATTCAGAGGAATTAGCCGTAGTGCAGTGAGATTTTCAGAGTTTGCAGAAAACGAGTGCAACGGAATTATGTAAGATAAGTGTAACCAAGGCCTACAGCCGGTACTTCACTATCGCAGTTGAAATGCAAAAGTTTAAACCCGCTTAGTCGAAAACACGCACCAAACAATCAAGGCACGTTCGTAAAAAAAAGTTAATTAACAATTCCGGAATCTTGTGACCGGCAGGTCCACTATGTATTATCTCATTATAAAAGGGATTAAGTCGTTCGTAAATTACACACGCACGAACCCACTCACAGAGTTTTTGGGACTATTAATATAGATTGTTCGAGTAAGCAGTTTATAAATATTATTATAGACTATTTTGAGTAAGTTAAATAAGAAATACCTCAGTTCTTGTGCAGTTGTAGACTGGTTTTTAAAGAAAGTATCGTAACTTTCAATCAGCTCCTTATTGAAGTTAATCTTTTTCAGTAAATCGTCTATTCGATCCAACAGCTGCTGAAACGAATTTACTTTTTTCACAATTTATTACATAGTACAATTAAAAAAACAACAATTGATATTAACACTGTTTGTACGGTAACGGCCTCGGTGCCCGACTAAAAAGTTCTGGACATTCAAAAGTTTGGTCGTTCAAATAGCTTTTCGACATATTCACAGGTTTAATATTAGTAATTACTTGCAGTTTACATATTCGCATAATAACTTCTTCTTGACATACAAAATCTTAGCTTTGATTTTAGTAATTTTTCGGATTTGACGTATGTGCACGAACTTGTTCAAATAATCGTTTACAATCAGAACTATGTATATTTTAGAGTGCATTTACAGTGACCTTGTTTGGTATCACAATATGAATAACACAAATAACTCCAGGATGTGCAGGATAATTATTACACTAGCAGCGCTGTTAGCCGTCTGTATAGCAAGGGAATGCTATGTCTGTGAGCAGGGTTCTATTAAAGAAACTGTTGATGGAGAGACAATAGAATGTAAGGGAAAATTACAAAATATTCAAATTAATTGTGCCAGCATCTTAAATTGTTGTTAGATACCCTAGATCATAGCAGAAGGTAGAGTTTCTAATTCATCATGAAACATGATACTCAATAACCGTTCGACTGTAACGTAGTAACCCCAGTCACTATAGTAACTTTGACAAGAGCACTAAATTTCAGCTGATCAGAGTAGGTTCAAGGTATGCATCCCCGCAGAGAAACAAACGTGTTCATCAAGTAAAGACCAGTGTGTCAGTGCTTCAATCATTGCAACGTCAGTATTTGTGGGAATTTTACAATTTAGACATTAAACTCTTTTTTTTTCTGAAATAAGCAGAAAAAGTTTAACAATGTAAAAAGGAAAGGGTATTTAATATTTATGTAACCCAGGACAGAATACATATAAAATGGAATACATTGACACTTGCTTACAATAATAATTTCAATGTTATAGAGTGACCTCAACAAAAGATAATAAGAAGATGGAGACTGTACTTCAGATAGATGCACTGAAAGGGTGTGCAAGCAAGGAGGATACGACTTGTGATGATTTTAAGAAAGACCTGCAAGAAGTTGCTGATACTGTTTCGTTAAACAAATGTAAGTAATACAAAAGTTTAGGCTTTATATCCTAATAAAACATATCATTTCTGTGTCTAGATTGGGTCTTAAGAATTCACTAATTCACAGTTATGACCAGATTATACAAAAAAAATGACACTACAATCTACATTGTAACCAAATAAAAAACACACTATTCCCAGGTGTGGTTAAGAAATGTGGATCAGATAACTGTAACGACAACACAGTGAGTGACATCTCCTCTTGGGAGGACAGCGCCGCAAAAAGGGGAGCTGTTCAAAACACACTGCTTCTCACTGTTGCTCTCATCTGTTTCTGTATTGCGGTTTGATAAAATATAACTCAGCTCATACCAGACTAACTTAGTATTAGAAGAAAACTGTAGCTCTCTGGGTCATATTTTGGAATGATGTATTTTATCTGGTGTATCCAAGGACCACTATCATAATTTAATAATAGCACAGAATGATAATTCTTTCAGATTATAGACAGTGTCACAGTGTGCCTATAAAATATGCAATATAAATTTATTTGTAGTACTTTACCCGAAATGTGTGTGTTCAATTCATACTTATAGCAAACAATTAAAGGAATGGTTTAATTAATGTTAAACTGGCGCAAGATTGAACCATTTTAGGTCCTCACTCAAAAAAACGATATTATACAATTTGTTCCAGATTAAAATTTTGCATCATTGGATCTTTAAGATTCGGGTGTATTCACATTTATTTTATAAACAGAGCAATAATACTAAATGGTGTGTGTATATCTTCTAACAAATGACCACTTCAGAAGAATTAATGTAATTAATGTGATTGAAGATACAACTGCAATCTAATTTTTACCTGCTTGCTAGTTGTGTTAGGGTAACTGACAAGAAGTTCACCATTGACATGTTCCAAGTTGTTCTCGTTTGTAAAGCTATCATCAAAACTTGCTCTGTCAGAACTTAGCATGAGTTCAGACGAAGTCTCTATTAGGGTTCCGGACAGTGACATACATTTCATTGCTACAGAGAATAGTGTTGGATTTAGTGGTGAGCTTTCTTTCCAAAAAGAAAAACTACACGATTGCACCCACTTGAAATCCCCTCAGTTTCGTAATCACCACAAAAAACTGGAGGCATATATCATCCCAAAAGTCCGTTGTTTTGTTCAATTTTACGATATAGCTGGAGTTTGGGGGCACACCGCATAGCCCCCAATAATAGTTTGAGTATCAAATTTGAGTGCCCTTAATCTTATTAGTAGTATGGAATAATACTATTTTCACATTACACTGCAATGTAGATGTACTGAATGAGAAAAGTTTAATGTGCAGACAACATGAAATTTTATGCAGACAAGATCAATTTGTTGGCCAACATTTTCAGCTAAACCAAGCCAAAGTTTTAAGGAGGATGAGAGCTGGGGGCATTTTTACCCTACATCATGGGGGTGATTCGCCATCAGCGTCTAAAAGTACGCCTCATTAGACTACTTTTATACCTTCACGACCTTTTTACAAGAATTTTGTTAAAATTTGGGCAAGCGATTTAGTAGGAGCGAATTATAGTCAAAATAGTATACAAACAATATACACATAATATCACAAGGACTCATTGCACTGAGGGGAATAATCAGAGGAAGATCAACAGCCCAACATTTTGAACTGCAAGACGTTTCCTTCAACCTCATCCCTCAGAAGACAAGCTTTGAGGGAAAAAAATAAAAAAAAGGGGGGACCCCCAACCCATGTAGCTGAGACACCTCACAGCAAGTATACCAAAGTGGCTCTTGCTTTGTGAATGGTGCATCAACTACCCGCCGAAGCGGTGGGTTGGGAGTCCCCCCTGGCATCATTTCGTCCGTAAAATTATATATACAACATAAAATAGTACAGTAAAATATCAAAATTTAAAATTATTCAAACAATATACACATAATAATATAGCAATGACCCTATATAAAATCAACCCTTTAAGAATTCAAAAAATTCCCTTAACAATTAAAAATTACCCTTGGCCTTGTGGCTCCAAGTTAAGATCTAGACTGTTTATGTCAACAATGTTTTTTCTCGCACCTCTGTCTCCACGGAGAGAAATCACTGTTGTTCTGAGAATTTCAAAGCGAAGGCGCTTTCTTATGTATCCTACGGCGTCTGAGTATCTCTGGCCAGTGTGGTACTCCATCTTACTGGCCAGCTTCTTGACCAGTCTCTCAGCTCACCCCATTCCACCAGAAGTCGAGAACACTAAAGGTGTGAAGCTTCCTTTCTCCACTTCAAGAACCCTTGCATTGTAACATCGCTTTTTCTCATTTTCATGGGTCAGGTACATTGCTGGTATCGGTTTGCATGCATTGGTGGGGGCTGGGGCATGAAATACCCTTACATCAAAAAATGCCCTCTCTGAAGCATTCCAAATCGATCTTGCAGAAATGTCCAGCCTGGCTTGGTCTCCTAGGACTGTTCCCCTTGGTAACTCTAGACCATCAACTGGAAGAAGAACTGGCTCAGTCTGCACATCCTTGCATTTCACAGCTCTCATTAGTTCTGCAAAGGTGTCTCTCAGCGAGTTGTGGCGCAGTGACACATATCCACCAAGTTTGCAGATGAGCGCATGGTTTGCTGAGTATTTCTGGCCACACGTACATGTTTTAGGGCAGTCCTTCAAGTTCAGGTTGTATCTGAGAGCTATTGCATCTGAGAACTGTTGTTTATTCAGTGGACCACGTAGAATCTTGCCTCAAGAAAAACAACACGTTCTTGGAATATTTATTGATCTTAGTAAAGCCTTTGATACAATATCACATGAAAAGTTACTGCATAAGTTAGAAAATTATGGAATCCGTGGAAATGCAAATAACCTTATAGCAAGTTACCTGTCGAACAGATACCAGTATGTCTCAGTATTAGGTGAAGACTCCGAGAAACTTCCAGTAGTCTATGGAGTGCCGCAGGGGAGCTGTCTTGGTCCCTTACTTTTTATTATTTATATTAATGACATCCGTAACTCATCAATTATAGGAAAGTTTATACTATTTGCCGACGACACTAACATATTTATAGAAGACACATGTGTCAAAAGACTATACGAAAAAGGAAATGAAGTTCTATCATTTGTGTACAAGTATATGAAACTAAACTTATTACATATTAACATTAAGAAATGTTGTTTTATTCATTTTAAACCCTCACGGGCCAAAGAGGAAGTAGAAAATGACGAGAACATACTAACTTTAAATAATGTAGTTATTAAAAGAGTTCATGAAGCTAAATTTCTAGGCGTTATTATTGACGACCAACTTAACTGGAAATCACATACGCAGTCACTTAACTCAAAAATTAAATGCGAAGTAGGAAAGCTGTGCAGAATACGACACATTGTCCCAAAGCAGTATTATAAGGATTTATATCATACTCTATTTGAATCACATTTAGGATTTGGAATATCTGTGTGGGGTGGTATTAGCAATAACCGACTTGAACCTATCTTTAAAACACAGAAAAAGTGTATAAGAATTCTGTTTGGGGATAGAGAAGCTTACCTAGAGAAGTTTAAAACGTGTGCCCGAACACGACCTGTTGATAAGCAAAGACTGGGGGTGGACTTTTACCAAAAAGAACACTCCAAGCCCTTGTTTAAAACCCACAGGTTGTTGACGGTCCACAATCTGTACAAGTACACTTGTCTCTTAGAACTATTCAAAATTAATAAGTTAGAGGAACCATTATCACTGTACTCATCATTTAACAGGTCACCACGACGAGAGGATTATTTCATTACATCACAACCATCCTCACAATTCATCTACCAATCATCCTACATGTGGAACAGCTGTCGACAAACATCAAGTAAGATAAGTTTTAATACTCCGACAAACGGGTTTAAGAATATATTGAAAATTGCCTTACGAGAATTGCAATTCAAGCATGATACACTTGATTGGTGTGAGCTTAATTTTGCCACAAATGAGCTCAAGTTCTGATTTATGTGAGTTACTAAAATGACCATATATCTTTTCTCATACATACAACCACTGCACTCCAACCAAAAACATTACTTACACCATACTCCACAAATGATATATATATATATACACAAACACACTAGTACCGAGCAATCGCACTGTAAAACATGCTCACGATACACTCAAAATTGGAAATATTCAACGGCTTGTATATGAAACTTACACTTACACTCAGTGTACACCCAGTGTTAACTAGTATTACACACTGGTAAACTCTACGTAACACGCGAAAATAATAATTCTATGGCGTTTTCATTGTCACATCTCACGTCGACGGGATTTAACGCGCGCGCGCGTAACATCTTATCTTACTGCTATCTCAACGAATAAACACACAACGACTTTGACAATTGACCGACGACTAAACGATTGTGAGTTATGACGGACTTAACTGTATGGGTCAACTACTAAAACTGCATTGTATACTATCTTAATCATTATACTGGACATGAGATGACGAAGTATCTTAAGCAGCACTTTATACCTCCACTTAGAACTTGATTAGTCACGAACAATAGAATCATTATAAATCAATACAATAAAACATCTTGATCAATAAATGCCTAGCAGCACCAGACAGCGGCCGTGTACCTTTTTCGACTCCACGGAGTCCCTGATGGACTTTTGTTTACTTTTGTTATTAATTTGACCCCAACCTTTCTTTCTCGAAACATAAATCCTACTGTACTTCATTACAGTATTAAGATAATATAAAGCAAATCATGTGAATATATGACTACGAAATAGATCTATAGATTTGTCCATAATATTTAATACCGTATTGATGGTTTTGAATTTTGTATATTGAATTTTAATGTGAAGCGTTTACTCTTCCCCCTCGGCAATTAATTAGAAAGTTAGATTAATGACAATAATTGCCAAATGACGTAGTAGATATAGATGTTCAATGTTGTAGAGTGATTTCAAGAGTAGTGGTCCACAGGGGTCCGAAAAAGCCATACAGGCACTTGGGTCCTTATCCTTGTCACTAGTCCCAATTGGATTCACTTTACACAAAATATGAACGTTTACAATTTAGACGTACACATTGGCACGATATTTATTAGAAAGCAAACAGTATAAAATAATACGTGCGTGCGCGGCTTGAGCCGCGCCGCATAACAATTTATGCGTTTAGGGGCTGGAGTACGCGTGTTTACAGATTAATGAATTGTTGCATTGAAAATATTTAAAGTTGACGATATATTATGATTTAATAGTAAATTTTTCAAAGCTGGCTTTGGACTTAGGTAAAATTATAACTTATTTATTTTAAAGAAAAAACCACGGATAGTTTTAAATTTACATAGTCGTATAACTATAATCAAGTTAATCCTGTTTTCAAGAATGCGCGGCTTTGGCGGCTAGTTATTGACTTGTACATAAAATTGAATTTTAAATAGAAATGTGAATGTATTAAAATTTAAAACTTTCAAAACGGAGGCTTAATAAATATTATTATATTATGATTGTAAAATAAAGGATAAAATTTTAAATTTGTTTCACTAAAAATTTGTTTCACTAATTTAATTCAACATTATTCATCAGATATCCATACTCTTCTAAAGGTAGTGCTGTTAACCAAGCACTTGCCCCTTTCTCAGCCGCTAGTTGGAACATCAACTTTGCCAGTGGTGTTGACTCGAGCTCCTGGCGTATTTCTGCTTGTTTTTGTCGATAAAAGAGATTTCGTTCAGTCGTTATCTCAGTTTTCACTCCTTTACTGTGTCTCCAGTCCTCTGTGTAGTTGTCTATCTGCTTGAGAATAGCTTCTTTAAGGGGTTTTGTGGCTCTACATGAGAAATTGTACCCTCGGTCTGCCATTTCCATCATAACTGGTATACCCAATCCTCCATATCTTGGTGGTAGAGCCATTATGTTCCTTAGTTCATCAGTGCAGCTAAACAGCCTGTTAATGATAGCTGGGATAAACTCATCACGTGTTACTTGTTCTAGAGGAGTGAGCCTATCTGCAACTCCTGGGGTAGTTCTGCA